TACTCAGACATCATCACGATGGGGTAGACTCTCTCTTCAGAGCCGCACCATGGTCTGGGTAAGAAAGCCGAGGTCGGCATACTTGGTCACCATTCGAAACGACAGCATCGACAGCAGTAGCGAGGCATATGGAGGATTGAGAAGCCAGACCGGTATTTAGCAGACATCCTCGAGCCAAGTGCAAAGCGTACTCAGTAACCTCCTCACAACCGCCGCTAATCACACAACTATGCCCTAACATTACTCTTTGAGAAGCTCTCAATTAGAACGCTTTAGAATCAAAAGTGGCGGCAATAAGGACGATAGCAATGAGCATGATCACGGAGGGCGGCTAAACGGACCGCGAGAGAGTAAAAACTCGAAAAAGTGGCAAATATTCCGATGATAGAGGACGTCCTTACTTTATCCGGATTCATTGCGTGATTTATGGCGCATGCTCGTGGTCCAGTTCCGTTTGTGATATAGGACAGACTTGATATTGGCGAATAATAGTCAAGGAGAAGGTTCAAACCGCAAGTTAGCTGGCCGCAAGCTGCAATTTCTCCTTTCTGAGTTTTGCAGACTGGCCGGGATATCGTAATATCTTTGGGCTTGGGTATGTATCTACTCTCTTCATGTACGGATATCAAATACGGAGCTCTTCGATAGCAAGTGGCCTGCGAGACACATTTACGGGATGTGGTCTGCAGATTTGTTATGTCTTGTCGCTCGAGACGGTTATCAGAAATCTGAATAGTTACAAGGAGGAGCGAATAGGACTTTCCCCGCCCAGTTCGTTCTCTGAGGCAACCCGCGAGAGGGAGGTTGACACAGGTCGACGATGAGGCTACTGGATCAGCTCGACCGGCGGTCTGCTCCCGAGTCATTCGGGGGGTCAATCATGGTTGATAATGGCATTAGATCAGTCAGTGAGAGTGGGCTCGCCGAGCTTGATCGGCGGTCTACCGGAGTGGCCCTTTACGATCCATATCAGGACGGCACGAGGACGGATACGAACTGCGGCGAGAGTCGCCACGCGAGCTATCCTACAACGGGAGCCAAATCCGCCGTGTTCTCTTTCGGTGGGACCGGGAAGCCAAGTCGCGGTGGTCAGCCCGTCAAGTAGTCTGGAGTTCTTTGCTCACCGTCTTGGCTAAGATTAATACTCGCAATGTAGTCGTTGTTCATAACGGCCAAGACGCAAAAGAGGCGGTGCTCGGAATGCCGCAACAATTGTACAGCTCAGCAAATCCGATCTGGATTCCACGACGAGATTGACTTCGTCCTTGTTCGGTTGGGGACTCATGGATCAGCATAGAGAGGCTCTCGTTGAAGCGAAATGCATGTTGCCTTGGCAGCCCAAGTTGTCAGAACACTTCCCAAGTGGTTGTCGATCTTTCGAGGTGGGCGCGCCCTCTCGGGTTGTCATTGTGGCATATGCCATCTAGTCAAAATTGCTTACCTTTCGTTCAAATAGGTGTATCGGGTGCGAATTGCGTCGATAAAATGGGTTGATGGCTTCATCGACAGCAGCGGTTTCGCAAAGTTCCTTCAAAGGATTGACAAGGCTGGATCGCCGGTAATGACCCTGCTGTCTCGTGGTTGTCGATCAGAACTGTAGCGAGAACATGGCGTAGAGACAGCGGCTTCGTCAAGCACCTATGATCGACTGACCGCCAGCCGGTGGACGAAAACCACGCTTTCCGGGACTGCGGCGGCACCTCGCCTCAGCCAGAATCTCCCGAGACCCCCTTTCACGGCATGCCGCGACTCGGTTTGTGGCACCGCTCGAAGCTGGACGAGCGCCGTCAGTTGTCGGTTACCGGAATCTGGGTTCCTCTGATAATGGAGAGGCAGGATTCGGAATGCGGCACTGAGGGTGGCTGAGAGCGATTAATATCTCCCATCTACCGGAGCTAGTCTGGAGATCATCGATCTTGGGTGACGCGGCCATCCGGGGAAATGTTGGTGTTTGTTGAAACGGCTCGAACGGCTGCGGATGGAACGATGGACGGATGTGACATTAGCGCGGAGGCAGACGGTCGGAGCCGACAGGTCTCGGATGCAAAATGCCGGCCGGGAGAGCCGTGAAGATAAACTGGATCCCGCCTATCTCACTATCTCGTGTAATTCGTATGGAGGCTAAAAGTGGGATACGAAGCCTATCATAATCATCTGCCCACAACCCAAAGTCAGTTGGGCAGAAGATGAGAGAGGAAAAAAAAAAACCCTGGGCAAATACGATGCTTGTAATCTGGCGCGCGCACTGGAACGAGCCAGTGAGAATGGCCCGAGGCTGGCACGATGGAGGCGCCGTTGGGCTTTGCGGGGATTGGGTGGAAGACTTTCGTTTTACGGCTCCTCGGCACGCGAGGTTTTCCGCGTTTTCCATACCATTGAAGGCAAGGCTTGAACGATAGGGCGCGCTAGTACCTGACAGCACGATGGGCTGGGAGGGGGGCGAGGATGGCGAATGATTTGTGCCCTGGATTTGGATTCCTGTACCTCGCGACTCGGTCCAGCGGCCGGCGTGGCTTCTCGATGGCAACTATGCCATTTCCTGAGCATCGTCAAGGCTTCGCCATTGCCACTAACACAACCAACGAGCCGAAGAGGCAAGTGAGGATGGCTCACGTGGTTTAGACTGCCCCGAACAAAGAGCTGGACCGGGCAACCATCCGGCAACAGCGTTCGGCTCCAAACCCTCTTGAAAGAAAGTTGCGAAGACAGTGGCCCGGCCAAGTTGACAAAGGAGGAATTGCAGGTGAACCCTGGCAACCGAGGAGGTGGATGACACCATTTTGTGGTGGGAATATCGGATTTTTTTTTTGTAGGCGGTGGTGGTCTGTTGACTTTGCGACTGCGATTGTGTCGTTCGTCTGTGCCGTCAATCACTCAGAAGTGTCTCTCCGGCCCCCCGGTCTCGCTAGTTTGGCGCATGGTCCCAAAAAGCTTGACCGTGGTGTCTCATAGTGTTTCGCAAGGAGAAAGGGGTCTCTTCTCTTGGTTGTGACGTGTGTCTGAAATCAAGACAATTCAATGGCCTTGGAGACCTGACAGTAGTCAGCTCCTAATAAGTCAGAACAGACAAACAAAACATCAGCAACAAACGGACAGACATCAGAAGGCGCATGTCGTCTGTTGAAAGCTAGGAGAAACGGGCCTGCAGGCTGCACTAGAGCTGCAGATAAACGAGGGGCCACAATAGAGAAGACTGCGAGAGAGATTAGTTAAGACCGGGGGTAGGTAAATTAGACATGTCGCCAAGCTTTTGGTGAACATGCAGAGCCAGTCACCAGCGAGAAACTGGCGACTAGTCAGCACCCATCACCATCTCTCCGACGGGTAGAGGGTAGGGTGCCCTGCAGCAGTGCGAGGTTCGATGCAGTCAGCGCGGACCAGCTTGTTGCCCGAACCATCCCTTCCATCCGACGTCCAAAAGGCAAAAGTCCCTTCTTCCTCGTGACGGCGCCGCGGTAGGCGAGGAAAGAAGCAACAGCGAAGCGAGAGTGGCGGCGGGATACCGCAGACTCAGTGGTGGTGGATGAGCAGAGAGGCCCCCAAGCCCCTCCATTCTGTTACGCGCCCCAGCCCTGTCTCCTGTCTCCTCTGAAGCGTTCGTTACCGTTCGTCGGGTGATGGATTTGCTTCAGAACCTGAGGGAGGTCCCGGGAGGCTGTGTTTGCGAAGGATGGCTCTGTTCGCAAAGGAGGGGCAGCTGAAGAGTAAAGTAAACGGAGCGGCATCCGGCAAAAGAGGCAAAGAGACTCGAGGCAATGGTGACGCGCTACGGGAGTGACGGCGAGACTAAGACGGAGGGAAGGGAAGGGTAGATCCAGGGCTGGGGAGAGCCCGGCAACGTAGAACTACCTGGGTGAGGTTAGAATGACGATGGGAGAACGGAAGCTGCGAGTTGGAACCCAATTCCTCCGTCCAAAGAAGCAAGCAGCCAATAGACGACAAAGTCAAAGCTGGGACGAGGGGCTTCAACTGGAATTGATAGAGAAATCGGTATCCGTATCCGTCAAAAAAAGGAGGAATAAAGTCGCCGCTGCACACACGGACCTTTTGAAAGAAGAGCAAAAAAAGTACTCTGTAAGGTAATAGGTAGATGTATCCAATCTGTTAGGGAAGGCAAGCTGGAGATGATGTGTGACGCTAGGCCGAGATGAGACAAATTCAGTGAGCATCGTATCCAGCAGGCGGGAGCCCAGGAGCCATGCACTTGCCTTTTCCATTTTTAATTTACATGTCACGATTCGGCCTATTCTTGTTGGTGCCGCTTCTCTCTTTCTCTTACTTCTTCCCTCGACAACCCTCCCGTCTTTATTATTACTTCCCCGAGAAGTTCGTCTTCCCGTTTCCTCTTTCCCATCAGTCAAACACCACTCGCTGATTGAAAGTGACACTCGCTCGACCGCGTCGCGCCTGTGAGCACCGAATATCCCGGCTTTTCACCCACCACCACCTTCTTCCTTTCTAGTCACTCACTCATCCCACCATCCAATCCAACAAATCCCGGAAGAACCGTTTTCTTGATCCTTCCACTGTCTCAGTCTCACTCTTCCATCCTGCCGCTTGGCTATTTTCCCCATTACCCACCATCATATTCTCGTCACTCTCTTGGACTCGCGCTAGCGAACGATACGAATATCACCGTACGACTTCTACGACCCAAGGTCTAATTACTCAATACCCAATTCCTACCGGAATCACAACGACATAATGCTTGTGAGTACCAATTCGACTTTTTTGTCATTGTCGCTTTCCCCCATTGGCTCGGCTGTCGCAACCGAGGCCGTTGGTAGCAGCCATCCATCGCGGTGACGATCATGCGCCAGACGAAGCCAAGTTCTGCTGTACCATGCGAACAGCCAACCTCATTGCTCGGATCGAGACTGCTGCCAAAGCCTCGTCATCGATCCCGCTTTCTTACTACTCTCCTGCGTCAACATACGGAACATCCAACTCTAACCAGCTTTCATTAGGTCCAATCTGCTCTCATCGCACTTAGTGCGACCTTGGCTGCTGCTGTCAAGCCCCTCACCGTCAAGGGCAATGCCTTCGTCAACGACGCCGGCGAGAAGTTCCAGATCGTTGGTCTCGACTACCAGATCGGTGGTAGCGCTGGCTACGACCCCAAGCACGGCAAGGATCCTCTCAGCGACGCCGACGTCTGCATGCGCGATGCTGCCCTGCTCCAGCGTCTCGGCGCCAACGCCATCCGTGTCTACAACCTGGACCCTAACCTGAACCACGATGCTTGCGCCTCCATCTTCAACGCCGCTGGAATGTACATGATCCTCGACGTCAACTCTCCCCTCGTCGGCGAGAGTATCTCCAGCTTCCAGCCCTGGACCAGCTACTACGCGGCCTACATGAACCGCACCTTCGCTATCGTCGAGGCCTTCAAGAGCTACCCCAACACCTTGGCCTTCTTCTCCGGCAACGAGGTTATGAACAACGTCGAGACCGCCAAGGACGTTCCCCCTTACCTCCGCGCCATCACCCGTGACTTGAAGAACTACATCTCCAAGCACGCCGACCGCACCATTCCCGTCGGTTACTCCGCTGCCGATGTCCGTTCCATCCTCGTCGACTCCTTCAACTACGTTACTTGCGCCGAGAACGGTGACGAGAAGGACCCCAGCCGCGCCGACATCTTCGGCCTCAACTCCTACTCTTGGTGCGGTGAATCCAGCTTCAAGACCTCCACCTACGACCAGCTCGTTGCCGACCTGAAGGACACCCCCGTTCCCGTCTTCTTCTCCGAGTTTGGCTGCAACAAGGTCACCCCCCGTGTCTTCACCGAGATCCAGTCCATCTACGGCACCGACATGAACTCTGTTTTCTCTGGCGGTCTCGTCTACGAGTACAGCCAGGAGGACAACAACTACGGTATTGTCAAGGTCAACGACGACAAGTCTGTCAAGCTCCTCGTTGACTACGACAACCTGGCCACCCAGTACAAGAAGGTCGACTTCAAGACCCTTCAGACCACCAAGGCCTCCACCTCGTCTCCCAAGCCTCCCAAGTGCGACTCCTCTCTCATCACCGAGAAGGGCTTCAACAACAACTTTACCCTCCCCGTCGTTCCCCCTGGTGGCCAGGACCTGATCGACAAGGGCATCAGCCCCAAGCCCTCCGGCAAGATCATCTCCATCTCCGACTGGAGCGTCAAGTACAAGGTCTACGCCTCTGACGGCAAGACCGAGCTCACCAACCTCGCCGTCTCTCCCCTCTCCGACGACTCCACCAACACCCCCGGCACCAACACTGCCGGCGGTACTCAGGCTGCTACTGGCACTGGCGCCGCGGCGACCGGCACGTCCACCAGCAGCCCTAACCAGAACGCCGGTGTTGCGATGCGCCCTGAGGTGATGGCCCTGGCCGCGCCTCTTGTTGCTCTTCTTTTCTTGTAAAGCTTTGATGAGTACGGGGATAGGGTACTTGGCTTAATGTGCAGTTTGGAGGTTATGACTTGGTTTCTTTCTGGCGACATAGATTCCCCGCGGTTTGTGTAAAAACCTGAATAGATGCGAATGCGTCATTGATAACGTTTTCTACTACTTCGCAATGAAGTTTATTCTACTTTTTCAACGATGCTCCCTCAATGCCTCATGATTGTGACTCTGGTGCCCGAGTGATGTGCGTGAAGATATGAGCTAGGTTAGTGTTACATCGATAATGAATCCACTTACTTTCACTGCATCTTGAACCCCATCAGAGGCATCCAAATAACCACTCCAACGACGTTTAGCTACTATCAGAGGAGTAAGGCAATGTCCATGTTTAGATCGCTGTGTCTTCTCTAACTTTGCCTACCGCCTAAGCATGAAACTATTAATACAGAGAATGAATACCTCGCATAATCTCGCGGAAACAAGGGGTCGCCTCGCCCCCAACGGGCTCCCTCACCGCCCGTATAAGGTACCTTACCCAACGGCCGAGTCTTCAGCGGTTCTTTTCTGCCGGCATTAGAACAGCGCCAGCTGGACCCCAACCAATAGAATCCCCTATCGCCCCCGAAAATGGAGTGACTCTGAAACCCAAAGGGATGATGGAAATGTGTCACTCCACGACACGGGACCCTGAGGCGAGAGGCGCCCCCGACTCACTCCCTCTGTCAGCCCCCCCGTGTGACTGACCGCCCGCCCGCCGAACCGCACCCAGCCCGCACCCGCACCCGCACCCGCACCGCCCCTCCGTGCCACCCCCGAATCCGAACCTTAGGCGTGCTGCCCCTCCATCCAAAGCCCTTTTTTCCCTCCGCGCGTGGTGTGTGTGTCGTGGTGCTTCCCTATGCTGCCCCGCCTCCGACCGCTCGTCCGCGCAATCCCAAGACAACCTCCAGCGACCACCTATTTCTGGAAGAGACAGTTCGCCATGGCTCCCGGTACGTCAGAAGGACTCCCTTGAATCCCGTGCCCGCTTCCGCCCCCATTCCACACCACGGCATGGACCTCGAAAAAGTCCCCGGTACCGCTCTTCTAGATGGAACGAAAAAAGAGGGCTAACACAATATGCGCCGAACCAGTCCTCCCCTCCGACCGCCGCCCGATCATCATCTCCGGCCCCTCGGGCGTCGGCAAGGGCACGCTCTACAAGCTCCTCTTCGAACGCCACCCGGACACCTTCGCGCTCTCCGTGAGCCACACGACCCGCGGCCCGCGGCCCGGCGAGACGGACGGCGCCGACTACCACTTCGTCACGCGCGAGGCCTTTGACGACCTCGTCGCCAAGGACGGCTTCGTCGAGCACGCCACCTTCGGCAGCAACTGCTACGGCACCTCAAAGGCCACCATCGAGGAGCAGTCCGCCAAGGGCCGCATCGTCGTGCTCGACATCGAGATGGAGGTATGTTATCTGTACATCAATGGCTTGGAAGGCAGTGGGCGCATGGCTAACGGCGGGCGCGCGCGCGCGCGGATCAGGGTGTCAAGCAGATCAAGAACTCGGGGATACCCGCCCGCTACGTCTTCATCGCGCCGCCGTCGGAAGAGGAGCTCGAGAAGCGCCTCCGCGGCCGCGGCACCGAGAAGGAGGAGAGCATCCAGAAGCGCCTCAACCAGGCCAAGGTCGAGCTCGAGTACTCCAAGACGCCCGGCGTACATGACACCATCATCGTCAACGACGACCTCGAGAAGGCTTACAAGAAGCTGGAGGACTTTGTCTATGCCGCCTCTGCGTAGACGTTCGGACGGCGGGTGCGAGGACACGCGAGACTGTGCTCGGGGCAAAAGGGGGGCTAGAGTAGACGAGGGATGAAGGCACCTAGACGCAAACATAGACGTGGGTCAACGATCGACTGCTGGTTCATACCATGGGGTATTCCATTAACTACTGAATAAACCTCTGGGAGGATTCGGGGCCATTAAAACGTAGGCAAAGAAGCCAAGCTCGAAGTGCTAAAGTAAAGTGAACTAAGAAAACATAGAAATGCGTCCAGCTGTAAGATGGAAAAGGGGGGAATAATGGACTATTTCGCCAGCACCGAGTACTTAAAACAACGACCACAGGGCCGGAAGGGGGTATGACCTATATCCGCGCAATGCTGGCATCAAATTCCTCCCAGGCAAACGTCTCCCATGTCTTCCCGTGGAGACAGCAACTGCCCCCTGCCTCAAAGTCGTCGGTCGATGTAGCCTCTGCTTGCTGCCGAGGCCGTGCCGTGCCTTTTTATCTGCGCATAACACCATGAGATTGAAAAAGTCGTCAGAGAATCCGGCCGCCCAAGAATATCATTGCCTTCCGGCTCCTCGAGTGCGCGGGTCAGGATGTTCGCCAACTAGTAACCGTTCATGGTCATTCGTTGCGAGCTCCGGCTCATTTCCCGGTCAGCGGCAGGGCTGATGGGTCTGCTGCCACCGCCGTGTGCACTGCTCTCCTTGAGGGCCAACAGCTGCTTGGCACGGAACGTCTCGTAGTGGATCTGGGATGTCGTCTCGATGAGATCCTGGAGGTGGGTGCGGAGCAGGAAGTTCCTCAGGTAGGTAAACTCGCAGTGGTTCTCATCCTCGACGTTGATGACACCCCAGCGGTTCTGGCGGCCCCTAACCTGCTTGCCGTTTACGATGATCGACTTCTCAGAGCCAACAACGGCGAAGGGGACCAGGTCCTATACGGCTGTCAGTCATTGAATCAAGTTTGCTTGGGCAAATACAACCAACCTTGATCTGAGTGTTCAAAACGCGCTCTTCGTCATCAAACTCCTCGTTGTCGTACGGGTACATCTTGAGGTTGTGGAATGCAAACTCCTCCTTGATACGCTCCTTGAAGTCCTGGCGCTCCTCCAGGGTGAGGGTGTCGGACTTAGCAATGACGGGGACGACGTTGACAACATCGGACAGCTTCTTCAGGACGACAATATCGATAGGCTTCAGGGAGTGGCCCGAGGGCTGGATGAAGAAGAGGCAGCAGTGGATGCGAGTGTCCTGGATGTAGCGCTCGCGCTGGGCGGTGAGTTCCTTACGCAAGTACGCGGAGTGCTGGTCCTTGATGTACTTGACGATGGGATCCCAGCAGCGGTCGTTGTTGACCAAGTCTCCGTAACCGGGGGTGTCGACAATGTTCAGGCGCAGACGGACGCCGTTCTCCTCGATCATGTGGGACACGGCCTGGATCTCGGTGGTGGAGCGGACGGGCTCATCGGGCATCATGCGACCCTTGGAGTCGATGAGGTGGGAGGCGAAGATGGTGTTGATCAGGGTGGACTTGCCCAAACCCGTCTGGCCTGTGTTGTGGAGCGTCAGTTGAGTGCCGACGCGACATCGCGATCAGGCCAGCCATCGAGTGAGGCCAGCGAGCGCGGGGGGAGCAATTGCACGGCATGACTTACCAACGCAGATGACATTGAACTGGAAACCACGCTTCAAGAGCTTCTTCTCGATCTGGTTCGTGATGCTGTCGAAACCAACGTGGGACTGGGGGTAGATAGTCTGGGGCTGCGCCATCTTGATAGCTTTTCGGCTCGGAGGAGCGAGAGTGGTGCTAAAAAGGTAAGGAGTGAAAGTGAGATACGTTTCTGTGTTCCAAGAAAGGTATTCGTCTCGATTGGGGGCCCCGAGTCGAGAATCGGAAAAATCAGTGAGCAGGGAGAGAAGAAGCAGAGAGGATCACGAGGGTCGACGTTGGAGGAGAGGACTCAGGATGTTTCGAAGAAGAACAAGCCGGTGAAGGGCAAATGGAAGGGTAATTTGCTACCCGTCCCCCCGTGTCTCTCAGTCAGGCACTGGCCGTTGGCTGCAGCTAATCACTTTGATAGGTTGTCCCTTCCACCTCCAGCAAACAATAATTTCCCTGCAGGGAGGTACAGGGGGGTCCAGTGGGAAAGGGGGAAAGGGGTCCTCACCGTGTTGATTGGCTGGGGGAAGTCTGTGCGTTAGATGAGCTCTGATTGGCTGGAAGATCTCAATTGACAGCTCCCCGGTCAGGTCTTTTTTTTTCGGGTTCGGAAGGGAAGAACTAGAGCTTCAGATCGTGATGTGAGGCCGGTCTGCTGTTCCAATACACCGACGACGTCACCCGCGCACCGATCTCCGACCATATTCTCTCAACGCGCACGAAGCACACGATAGTGGTCCGCGACTCTGCGTGGTCCCGTATCAGTCCACCGACGCGACGACTCCCACCGCCGAATAGCCTCGCTTGCGACGATCTCTACTCGACCCATCCCGAAATGGCCGCCGCCGCGATGACTGCGCAGCCCCTGCGCATCCTCCCCCAGATCTCTGCGCCAGTTATCTCGCAGTCCACGAGGATATTCTCCCTGTACACCCGCCAACTCATCCGGCCCATGCTCCCGACGCTCTCCGCCGCCCTTCCCGCAGTTCACCTCAGCATCCCCGCATGGCTTGGTGACATCTGGGAATCTATCCTGCGGGCAGTACCTAAAAAGAAGACATCCCACTCCAAGAAGAGACACAGGCAGATGGCTGGCAAGGCTCTTCAGGATGTTAAGTCTCTGTGCAAGTGCCCGGCTTGCGGCCAGACAAAGAGACAGCACGTCGTATGCCCTCACTGCATGAGCAGTATGTATAACCTCCGACATTGGCTCCTGCATATCATTGCTAACGCTGAGGTGTGATAGAAATCAAGGATATGTGGAGGGAAGAGAACCCTTCTGGAAAGTTCGTCTAAGCTGCCGGGGGTTTTGTAACAGTTAAGGACGTGTATATTCGAGTGTACAACTGGGTAGCATAATGCGGCGTTTGGGACAATTCACCACCTTCACAGTGTTATTTCGTCGCTTCAAAAGTGCTTAGCTGGCCAACAACCGGCACATGGGCAAATAGATACAGTCTCCAGGCCTGACTTGACGCGCAGAACGGACACATGAGGGACAGAGACGGAACACGTTTTCTCGAGCAAACCTCTCTCAAGTTCGTCGGGAACTACGACGGTCGATTCCGAGTAAAGTTGCTTTGAACCAAGTTGTGATGGTCCGAAGAAGAAGCGACAATGGCATTTGAGACTCGAATCACCGTCATAGGATAACGACTCGCGCAAGTACTTTATTCTCCCGCTTGCGTTTCTCCAATGTCTACAGGACCAGACAAGGCTGCACTTGAAAACGACTCAACCTACAAACACACCAAAACAGTCTCGAATACCATCACAATGAACCTGCGTTGCGTTTCTTTGCTGGAACTATGCACAAGGCCCTTCAGCGGCCTTCAACAAAGAGAACAATTTAGGTCTTGTTCTGGTTAACAATGGTCTTCCAACACAGCATCCTTTGACGTACTGACGAGCATTCAAGGGAACTCCTACAAAGCCATCATGGCTCGCCAGTTCCTAAAACCTCATGTTTCGATATAAGATGTTTCGCTTCACGTCCACTAAGAGAAGAGAAACATCGACAAGACGACAACAAGATTCCCGCATAAAAACACTCACCCTCGCACACTACACCTCAACCATACGAGAAGCACAAAAGTATTTACGATGCCATCCCTTCAGTCACCCGTTGATCGTTGCCAGACAGGCCTGACCAAACTTCCGGTCGAGATCATCCTGGAAATCGTCTCTTATGTCAGTCCTGCTGCGTCTCCTCAGGATGTGTGGGATAACACGCCATTCCGTGATGGCACTTGCGACTTGAAGAACCTCGCTGTATCATGCAAGACGCTTTACGATACTCTGCAGCCCATGCTGTATGCTCGAAGCCAGCACGATGACTGGTATGCCCTCCGCTGGGGTGCCTTCCACGGCTCCATCCAGACGATGGAAGACGCAGTGGCCGCAGGTGCGCCGCTCGACTATACATATGAAGACACGGACGACTACCACACCAGCAACTACTGTCGTTGCGGTCGATTTGAAAGGGTTCCCGTATCCTCACATAGCTCGCAGATTTGCACCCTTTTCCACGAGAAGAAGCCCGTCCGGAGTGCCGGGACTCCTCTTCTGACTGCAATTCGCGGCGGCCAGCCGAAAGCTGTGGACTGGCTTCTTTCCAAGGGAGCCAACCCCAATTACGCTACGCAGACAGGAATTGGATTGGGCGGCGCTTTCTGCCGTTCGTGTGCCCGTAAGTCTGATTCTTCCGGAGGATATCTAAGCTGCATTGGAACCTGTGGAGTCACGCCCATGCAAGGTGCTCTTGACTACTTCACGCACAGCTCCTTCGGTGGCTCTCTCCTTAAGACGGAAGATGCCCGCATAAAGGTTCTCGGAAGTCTCTTGGCCTATGGTGCAGACGTCAACCAGGAGTTCGGCTTCATCGACTGTCCACACTACGATCGTCACCTGCGTTCCCTCCCTCAACAGCATTGGAACCCTTTGGGCCTCGCGGTGTTCACTCAGACAGTAGGCCCCGAGACTGTGAAGTTTCTCCTTGACAACGGCGCGCGATTCGAGACGGGAACTGAGTCTCTGTTCATGCCTGTTCTTGCGCACCTATCCCATTGTGGGATCGCGCTAATTTCCTGGCGAGTCCCCGTCGACCTGCCCCTGTACGACTGCGAGTCCAAAGCGCGTGTCTTGCTCTCGGAGAGGCATGAAGCACACGAGAACTGTCACTGTTTCCCAAGCTACGATAGCCTCAACTCGCTTGGAGAGCGAGATTGCGGACGCATTTCCTGGGATGACCAAACTCCGTACAGCGGCAAAAGGGTGAAGAAGGTGTTCCAGTTTTTGCGGGAACTTGAACTGCCTCTCCTTACCTCACATCTTGATTCGGTCGAATCGAAGCAGATCTCCCCGCTGATGAAAGCAATCCGAGCATTAACTCCGGAAACTGTGAAGCTGCTCATAGGCTATGGGGAGGATCCTAATGCGCGCTGCTCGCTGGGAATATGGCCGTGGCATCAGAATTCTGCCCAGACCATAGATGGACATAACGCACTCACCTTCGCATGCGCCATGGTGGAAGACAGCCCGCCACAACCCCAAATTGTTCTTGAATTGCTCAGGGGAGGCGCGAATCCATTGCTCAGAAACTCCCGAGGACACACGGCATTACACGAGCTGGCCCGCAACAACTTTGACGCTACAACTGGCAAGCTTCTCCTGGACTACGGGGCGAACCCCAACGCTCTTGACGGTAACGGCTGGGCCCCATTGCATCATTTGTGCTCATCGACAAAACGGCCGACGCGTTTTCGCAATTGTCACTTTCCAAACATGGTTGGCCGAGGAAGAATGCCCCTGGCTGACCTTCTCCTGAGCAGAGGGGCGGATCTGGGAGTGCGAACTCGCGAAGACTCAGGACCAGGAATGTCACCATGTCAACTTGCGTTGCAGAACCGCATGACTGTATTGGCAGACCGTCTCCTTGAAGAGGAATTCAAGCGCGGAGATCGTACATTGCGATCGGTGTTTGCGCCTGCTGATGTAACAAAACCGGATTACACCGGCGCTGGATATTTGGACTATTGGGGCGACTTTGATGACTAGAGTAAACATCAGTGGGCGGTTTGTGTGTCGAACTGCACTCCGTTGTAAGTGATTCTTTCTTTTCGTCTTGTTCCGCTTGCTTTTGTTGGGATTTTGGGTTGACAATAAGGTAGTTTAACAAAAGCTATAGCCAGACTTCATAATGTTTCGAGTCTATGAATCATCACAAGCAAATGTAAAATGCAACTAATAACAAAACAGCTGTGAACAGGAGATATTGTGTAGAAGTTGAAGTGCTAAACTGCCCTGGGCTACAAACATGGGTGTTTGAAGCCCCTCAATTGCCCCTCCCCAACTGCCCACTGCAGGGGTCTTTCCGCCCAAATCTGTGATGTCAGCCCCCACCTTCCCGTCCACATCGCGGTCGCAGCTTTCCCATCTTCAACCGCGCATCACTCACCGCGGCAGAAGCTTCACATGGACTGGCAGCCATGGTAGGTGTCTCCTTGCCGCGATTTGCTGCCGCCATAGAACTAATTCGAACAGTCTAAACAATACCTGACCCTGCACACCGTGGACAATGGTACGCCGCCCTTGGAGCTCCAGCTGTCACTTCGCCAGGCAATATAGCTAACAGCCTCTCAGCCCACATCACCGACATCTTCGGGCTTGCCACGACTTCGAGAGCCGTCCTCTCTGCAAGCGGCTCATCGACCCTCCACGTCCACAACACCGCCGACCCCACGATCCCCATCACCCAATCCATCAGCGGCGCGCACAAGCTTGGCTGTCACCACATCTGCACCTCCCGCGATGGTCGTGTAGCCGCCAGCGCTGGCTTCGCCGGCGAGCTGAAGGTCTGGGTCGTCGACAAGGATACGGGAGAGTGGAAGCTTCACTCGGAGGTCAAGGACAAGAACTCCAAGGCTGGCGAGACGTGGGCTATTGCTCTCAGCGAGGACGGAAAGTTCCTCGCAGGCACGACCTACGACGGGCGAGTAAACGTTTGGGACGTCGGCGCGGAGGGAACGCCCAAGATCAGAGAGTACGAGACGGGAAGCCCTGGATCAGGCAGCTTCGGCATGTCTGTTGATCTGAGCAGAGACGGACGGTATACCGCGAGTGGACACCAGAACGGCTCTGTCTACGTCTTCAACAATGACAGCGGACGTCTTGCGTACTCGCTACCAGGTATGATCACTTGCGGATGCCCTATTGATAATCATCTGACAACTCCGTAGGTCTGGCCAAGCCTGTCCGCGCGGTGGCGTTCTCGCCGGGTAACACGAGACTGGCGGCTGCCGGAGACTCTTCCATTATCGCCATCTACGACCTCAAGCACGGCGAGCAAGTCGGCAACATGACGGGCCACTCATCATGGATCACCACCATCGACTGGAGCGACACGGGCGAGTATCTGCTCAGCGGAGCGATGGACGGCAAGGTCAAGGTCTGGTCAGTGGATCGCTACGCCTGCGTGGCTACGCATAGCGAGACTGGCCAGGCACTGTGGTCTGTGAAGTGGCTTCCCAAGACCGGGAAGAGCGAGATGTTCTGCACGGCGGGTGCAAACAGAAGCATTTCGTTCTATAGAGAGGCGACTGGGGCATAGAAGAGACCTGGCGTGGCAAACCTATGAAGTGCATCTAAAATACCCCGGCAAACCGCAGTTTCTGCGGAAAAGAGCAAAGGCAGATAATAGACATCTGAAGTGAGCTCCATGCATACAGTGTGAGGGTAAAGTGTGTATCTTGTATGGAAACAGTGAGGTCTGACGCACGTGCCTTCGTACCAGTCTCGCGTTGCCCCGCCAAAATTTAGGCCCCTGTCTCCTTCCCTCTTTCGTCATTCACTTCACATCCAGATGAGATCAACGACCGCATTGCGACGACCGTAATTGGTGCTGATATCCCAACCACCTTCAATCAGATATATCATACATATCTCATTCTTCAAGGTTACGAGTATTCGTACACTTCTGCGAAGTTCTGATCAAGGCTTCACTCATTCACTACCACCGCATTCGATCGCACTCAACTCCACCCCGGTCACCAGTGACAACCAACATCCACAATGCCCACAACTCGGAGATCAACAGGCGGCGCCCGAGCCCGACCGGGCCCGGCTCGGGGCCAGTCGACCATCAGCTTCTCCCACAAGGTCTCCAAGCCCGTGCCCAAGGACCTGAAGAAGGCCGCCGTACTCACCTCCGCCGTCGAGAGGGCCCAGAAGAAGGAGGAAGATGAGCAGGTCGAGGAGATCCGGGTCGACGAGCCCGAGGCCGCCGAGGAGCCGGACGTCAAGGAAGCAGTCCCCGAGAAGTCGGAAGCCGTCGTCCGCGCTGAGAAGATCAGCGATGCGCAGATTAACAAGTACTGGAAGTCCATCGAGGCGGAGCGCATCGCGCCCAGGGTTCACCAGAAGGACGTGACCGTGGCGGAGAAGGTGCTGCGCTACTTTGATGTCAGCTCGCAGTATGGTGTAAGTGGTTTTCCTGGGGTACCAGTCGGAGTGTGACGGAGCTGACAATTATCTAGCCCTGTATTGGTCTGCAGCGCAGGAAGCGCTGGGAGCGGGCCGATCGGCTCGGCCTGAACCCGCCCGTCGAAGTGCTCGCGGTGTTGCTCAAGGAGGAGAAGAAGGGCACCGCCAATGTTGAGCGAGCTCACATGGACGAGCTCATGAACTCGACAGCTGTCGGGTCTGTATGAGCTGCGGAAGAAAGTCCGCCGAGGAGTTGTATCACCACGAAGCTGCAGGCGTTTGGAGTTGAGAATTGTTTTGAGAATCATTTCGCTGTACGGATATACGAGGCCCGCGGAACAAAGAATTCGCTGTAGATAGCTAACAACTGCTTGCTCTTCTGGACAATAGAGAGCCAGTTTTATACCCTCTATCGACGGAACTATTTATAGCATGCCCTCAGTACCAGATGCTCCTCGTCCTGTGATGCTGCATCGTCTCACTACCAGCAGCCTCCAACTCCTTCATGGTATCATACAAAAAGAAATCAATCAAAATAGCGTTAACAGTCGTCCCGGGGTGCTCCTTCTGAATCTCCCGCTTGATCAGTTCAACACACCAAATACTGCATGCTATTTCAGAGTCAGCGCTGTCGTCTAGAACTTGGTTGTAACATGAACTCACCTCTCATCTGCAACTCCCACCTCGACCCGCTCTCGAGCACCCGCTTGGAGTTGATAGCCGTCGCCAGCGAGGGGCTATAGTACAAGCAGCCCATCGTATTCAGGATCTGAGGGACACGGTAATCGGCAAACATCGTAATCTTGTCAATGTCCTGGAAGGCGCCAATGCCCTCACCATTGAAGCACGCCCAGATATCCGCCACTAGGATCTGGGCTCTCTTTAGGAAACGCACCGGCTTCCGGCGTCCCTCGAAGACGTGCTCATCACGGAAGCAGTCAAAATCCCGGGCGAGCAAGTTGACGAGTCTTGCGGCAGAACCGTTGGCGGCCTCGATGAGTTTTGTGACGCTGCAGTTGTACTTCTCGTACAGCACAGTACCCGCCTCTCGCAGGCACTTAAGGCGCTCCTCGAGAAGGGGCATTTGCTCCTCCGTCTTGGATCGGAAGACGTGTCTCATGAGTTCCATGTTGCACTCGTCTTCGCTCTGCCAGAAATCGGAGCTGGTGATGGGGATGCCCTCCTCGAGAGCCCGCTGCAGCGAGGCGACCATGCTCCAGTAGCCGGTCCAGGTCTTGCCGCGATACTCGACGGCAAACCTCTCGTCTTCGGGCTTTTCCGACCAGAAGCAGAAGTTGAGCAGGTCCATGGTGAAGATGAAGGCGGCGGTGCTGTCGTCTTTGGTCTTGGGGTGAAGCTCATGCTCAGTCCAAGTGGCGGTCGAGTACTGCTTCTGCTCCATCTGGGCGTAGATGGTCGCGGCTGCTCTCTTGGTGGCCCTCATGTCTATGGCGACATCGATTGAGTTGTCGTAGACGAACTCGGCGCCCTCAAGAACGCCCGTCTCGGGCTCATCGTCGACATTGAGCTTCTTCTGGAAGTGCTGGCGAAGCAGGGCCAGGAGTTCGGGGTCGGCCTCGTCGTCGGACATTGCTGGTGCTGCTGCTGCTCCTGTGCTTCTGCCCCGGTCTTGTTCGGATGTGGCTGGTTGTTTCTGATTCTTTGACCCAGACGTGGCTTGCCTCGTCTGGTCGCTGCACGAATACGGCCTTGTAAGCTGCACCTGGATGATTCTGGATGGCTTTGCGATTCTTTTACTGAGGGGACGACGCAGGTTTGAACTTTGGCCGAGGCGGTATGAAGAGACAGACCTGGAGACCCATACAGCTGCACTGACCCGTTTGTTTTTTTGTTGGATCACTGCTCGATTGCAGGCGACGATCATCCTAGAACTGAGTATGAGCCTCTAAAAACCCAATTCCCAGCTCTCCTCAATCGCCGTGTGTTTGCTCGCCCGGCATGGGAAATCACCCAATCGGTCCATTGCCATGTGAATGAGGCCCAGCACCTCAGTGCCTACAAATCGTACAACAGGAACCGGTGGAGGTGCCGTGTCAGGGCAGGCTTCAATCCAGCGTTTCACACAGTGGCTGGAGGATGCACTAGGCCGCTGAGGTTACAGCGCTCTTAGTGAGTGCCTCTGCAAGCGAGAAAGACCCGCTTATTCCAGCTAACCAGACCAATCAAACCTCGAGCGCGGCAATTCCCCAGGAAGCTACAGCTCGAATCCCTGCGAGATCTCGTCACCGGCTGCCGGTATTGGCTGTAACCTTGCTTCTGGGCGATCGTTCCTCCCGCTGACCTCAGGACCTCAGGGAAAAGCTCGACGTACCTACTGTACCTTCCACCTGCCTCTCTGTACCTGGGTACCTTAACCTTCCTCCTTCGCAGCCTCGCTCCCGTGCTGAAACCACCCTCATCCCATCCCACCTGCCGCGGCCTTGCTTACTTCCCAGATCGCGCTTGCTGGCGTACTTCAACCTCGATCCTCTTTTTGATCGTCAATTCTCGATACGAACAAGACGAACGATTTTGCGACTCGTGCCGAGCTGATGGATCCCAAAACGACAGACGCAGCCGCAGCTGCACCAACCACCGCGGAATCGACCGCGCCCCCAGCGACGGCGACGGCGACGGCATCGGCGCCCCCAGCACAAGAGCAGCAGCAGCAGCAGCAGCAACCCGTACAACAGCAACCCGCCGCCGCTCCTGCTGCTGCCGCGCAGCCTACTGCGCAAACAGTTCAACAGCGACAGCCTGCCGTCCCATCGCGTGACAAGTTCTTCCAACAGTCGCTCGGTGGTTCGTTGAACGCAAACGTGAAGAAGGTACGTCGCATCCCCGGCCGATCATGGCGCATCAGACCACGCGACCGTCGCTGCCATCGCAACATCCATCCCAAGACCGCCCCTGCCTCGTCATGACCTCAGTGGATGGCACGATATTGTTGGCGGGTGCAATTGACGATTCAATCGAGCTAATCATGGTCTCGCAGGCGCGCGTTCTGATGGTCGGTGCTGGCGGTATCGGATGCGAACTCCTCAAGAACCTTGTCCTCACAGGCTACGGCGAAATTCACGTTGTCGATCTCGATACCATCGACCTGAGCAACCTCAACCGCCAATTCCTCTTCCGACACGAGCACATCAAGAAGTCCAAGGCTTTGGTACGGCACTCGACGCGATGACGGCGTGTAGGACAAAGCGGGTTACTGACATGTTGCAGGTTGCCAAGGACGCCGCCCAACCCTTCAATCCCAAGGTCAAGATCGTCGCGCACCATGCGAACATCAAGGACTCCCAGTTCAATACCAGATGGTTCAAGGACTTCAACATCGTCTTCAATGCGCTGGACAACCTCGAGGCCAGACGGCACGTGAACAGAATGTGCTTGGCCGCAGATGTGCCCCTCATCGAGAGCGGTACGACAGGATTCAACGGCAACGTTCAGGTCATCAAGAAGGGCGTCACCGCGTGCTACGACTGTACTCCCAAGGAGACTCCAAAGTCATTCCCCGTCTGCACCATCCGCAGCACGCCAAGCCAGCCTATTCACTGCATCGTGTGGGGCAAGAGCTACCTCCTTAGCGAGATCTTCGGAGCCAGCGAGGACAAGTCCGCGTTCGACAACTCGGCCGATGCCGACAACGCCAAGGAGATCGAGGAGCTGAAGAAGGAGGCGGCAGCTCTGCGCGCGATTCGCGATGCTTTGGGCACTGAGGCCTTCCCTCAGCTTCTCTTCGACAAGGTGTTCAACAGCGACATCGTGCGATTGGCGTCAATGGAGGACATGTGGAAGTCCAGGAGAAAGCCCGAGCCTCTGGACTACAAGAAGCTGTCCGAGCAGTCTGCAGAATCTCTCGGTGCGAAGGACACGATCCTGCAGGAGGGTCAGAAGGTGTGGAGCTTGGAGGAGAATTTTGCCGTCTTCGTCGACAGCTTGGAAAGGCTTAGCAAGCGCATGCAAGAGCTGAAGAAGGCACATCAGGATGGCGGAGCTGAGCCTCTGATTACTTTTGACAAGGATGACGAAGACACGCTTGACTTCGTTACCGCAAGCGCAAACATTCGTTCATCAATATTCGGCATCGAGCTCAAGTCTCGCTTCGACATCAAGCAAATGGCCGGTAACATCATCCCTGCAATCGCGACGACGAATGCCATCGTCGCAGGTCTGTGTGTTCTTCAGTCGTTCAAGGTGCTGAAGGGCGAATACACCAAGACGAAGGAGGTAAGTGGAAAATGTGACCACGGCTATCTGGAGTTGGGGACTAATTTTCGTACAGGTGTTCATCTCTCCTCACAATCCTGCCCGTCTCCTCAGCACGAGCAACTACCGGGCTCCCAACCCAGATTGCCCAGTCTGTAGCGTATATCAGACGACCGTCTCTGTCGACCTGTCCAGAGCCACGCTCAAGGATCTCGTCGAAGACTTTGTGCGCCTGGAGCTTGGCTTTGGCGAGAAGGAGTTTGCTGTCAACAACGACGTTGGCCCCCTCTATGACCCCGACGAGACCGAGAACCTGTCCAAGAAACTCAGCGACTTGGGAATCACGGAAGACTCCTTCCTTACTGTTATTGATGAAGACGACGACGAGCCCTTCGTCAACGTCGTCATCAGTATACAAGAATCGTACGTCCGCCTTGGTCACTTGCCACGTAAACACCCGCTAACCCGCCACAGCAAGGAGCCTCTTGAAGACAAGCCCGTCAAGGGTTTGGCCGTTGACCAAAAGCCCGAGATTCCTCGCAAGCCCAAGAAGGAGACACCTGCGCCAACGGCGGAATCGAATGGCACTGGCCAACAGAACGGCAAGCACTCGCTAGAGGTATCGGAGGTTTCTCCAACCACCCTCAAGCGGCCCCGTCCTGATGATGGCGATGAGCCCATCGAGGCCAAGAAGGCCAAGGTCGCAACTACTAGTGGCAGTGATGACGTGGTCATCGTCGATGATTCTACAGGTGGAGCCATCGTGATTGACGACGACTGAGGATGCTTCCGTTGATATCGAAGCCAGGGACACCCCTTCATCCACTCGGGGATATCGGCTCAGACAGCACTCAACCCACCATCCAGATTCAGGATGCAGTTATTGGCGTACGTGTTTTGGGCCAGGAAAACGGCGGCATCAGCCACCTCATCGGGCCGGCCCAAACGCCCCAGCGGAATGCGCTTCTCGAGGGGTTCTCTCGACATGGCTATAATTTGTACATTAGCACTATTCTGTCCAAGGACATTGATTTACGGGGCCTTGGGGAAGCTAGGCTTGCGGATGAGGAACGTGGAGGAAAGGTTTCTTACAGGCAAGCATATTGGTTTCTATGTAGCCAGGGACTATGGCGTTGGTCCTGATGCGCAGCGGTCCTAGTTCGACGGAAAGAGCGTGGGTGAGACCTTTTAGCAGAGGGACACGCAGACGTTAGACATTGGTCGTTTAGATATCGGGGACACGAGGCAATAGTTAGACCTCTGTAGGCCCTCGGATTGGACTCCGCATGAGGAACGAATCAAAAGAGAGAACATACCTATGATGCCTGCCTTTGAAGCTGCATACACACTGGTGCCGGGGCTGCCCTTTTGGGCCAGCAAGCTCGCGACGTTGATAATGCAAGCTGGAGGTTCAAGTCAGCATAGCTCTGTGCGGGAGTGCTGGGATCGGTTGCGGGTGTGTGTGGCAAGGCGTGCCATGACTTACCATCCCTGTCGGCGCGCCTGCGCTTCATGCGTTGGGCCATGTACCTCGACATGAAGATGGTGCCCATGAGGTTGGTGTCAACGAGTTCCCTGGCGGCGTGAGGGGAGGTGTTCTGCAAGAGCTGGAATTGCGCAATACCCGCGGCGTTGACAAGGACGTCTATCTGGCCCGTACGTTTCTGCAACAGCCATCTCCTTGTCAGTTTTACGGTAGCAGGTTTAACAATGTCGTATGACAATGGCAAAATCACATTCAAACATTCGTCTGGCCGATCAAAAGGAGCAAACGACATATGATAAGGGGGGGGGAGGGGGAAGTCGAACCCAGATGTCGTCCAATACGGCTTCATCGCGGCCTTGGGCGGACACGTCCATGACGGCGTAGGAATGGGCGGGCGGCTTCTCGTCCGGGGACGGCCGGGTGCTGCCGGAGTCGGAGTCGGAGGCGGCGGTGAGGGGGGCGAGGCGGGTGTCCCGGAAGGGCGGGAGCTGGGCGCAGAGGTCTCGCAGCTTGTCCTCTCTGCGGCCGAGGAGGGTCACGAGGGCGCCTTCGGCGGCGAAGCGGGCGGCGATGGCGGCGCCGATGCCCCCGTACGCGCCGGTGATGAGGCAATGCCGGGCGCGGAGAGGAAGCAGAGCGCCGGACATTTTTGATGCCGTTACGGCTCTTGCAGCTATTCGGAAGTCGAGGGGTTCGGACTCTCTTGTGACGGTGTTTGGTTTTATGGAGGTGGAGATGTTTACGTGGAAAGAGCTCTTTGATTTAGGCTTTGCGGGATTGGAGGCGAGTGTGTCCGAGTTTGAATTTTTGGATTCCGGTCAGGTGGGGTGGAATGGAGGAAGGGACGAGGAATTCTGGAGAGGTGTTTCTCTCTTTCCCATGAGAGGTAAGTGAGCGAGAGGTTAGAGTGTCGAAATTACTGAAGTAAAGGTCAGGAGCTACTGCTTGTTGCTCCTCCTGCTGAAGCTCTCGGACGTTGGGGGGGAGCTGATTCAATGCAAAAATGCGAGGAAAGCATGCAACATAAGACAAAGACGCCTTCTTTTGGAGCTTCCGAGACTGGGGGATCCCGAGTTGGCGCGGGTGTGCTGGGTTCGGCCGTTGTATCGTAAAGCATATGCCAGGTGCGGCCGTTGGGGGTTTTTGGGGGCGGGGCGAAGATCGATCATGGCATTATTTGCGTGGTCTCATTTTCCTGCTGGCCGTTGGAGGGGGAAATCTGATCCCGAGGTTGTCCTTTGTCCGTCCTTTTTTGTTGATCTCATCTTTCAAGCTCTCTGATGGTGAGACAGACGTTGCCGCTCGATGTTCTCCACCTGTACGAATACCTCTCTCTTTTCGCCTTGATGGGGTGAGACTTGTTCGTAGAAACGAGGTTTGTCTCATTGGGTTTGTAGGTGATATAGCTAATTGACGATTTTGTAGGTGATCAGCAGCTGGTAGGCAAGAAGATAATAGTGTAGACCACCCATGTGTATGAGGCTTCAAGGCGAAGCTCTCGTCCACATCCACATGCGCCCAGCGTAACGGTTAGACAAAGTACCGCAGTACCTGGAGAGGTTTAAGTGCTTTTGGAGAGATCCCTGCCTGGGCCCCGACTCGATACATTGGGGGAAGTACCGTTGACTTGATATCTGCTGGTAGAGTCGTTGGTGATGGCGACGGGAGCTAAGAGCGCCCCGCTGCTGCTGTAGATTCCAGGGCGATGACGCTTATCATTTTGCTACTTGGGGATATATGCTGTTGAAAATCATACCTAGATAATGAAGCTCCAAGATGCAACTTGGTCTCGTATTGTATCTCGCCCTAAGTACCATCTCTCATGGTAACCTGAAAGGTAGCTCATGCAGTCAAACTTTGACATATGCTCTAAATCCTGTCCGCAAAACACCTTTTCAGCACCTCGGCTGGTTCTTCAAGTGCATCCATGGGAGAGAGTCCAGGATACCTCCCCCAAAGTACCCGACCTCCCACACCACCACCACGCCAGCGGTTCCAGTTCTAGTTCCAGTTACAGTTCCACGTCCGTTGTGGTGCGAACGCAACATCGCAATCCCACCACTACACTGCTCTGCTGCAGCTGCAAATTTCCCTTTCCCTCTTCTCACTCTACACCACCTCACTCTCGCCAGGCCTGCCGAATTCCTCCTCCTCAACCTCTCGGCCGCTGGCAATCTCACCACGCAAAGGAACAACGCTCGTTTGCGCCCCAACCTGAAAGAAACCACCGGCAAATGCGCAGTCTCCCACCGAGGCGCCGAGCAATTGCTGCATCCTCCAGGTCCCCTCCTCCACCCTAAACGCCTGCCCGCCCGCCCGCCTTACACCGACCGGAGGCCACCGACCTGAGCCCCCCTCCGAAACCACGAACCCACCGACGAGTTGCCCGACGAAACGGATGGCCGTATGCCTCACGATCGCGACATCCGACAACGCCCGATGACCAGCCATACCAATGGCGCCCCGTCGGCGCCGAACCCCGCCCCGGACCGTCGCGATGCTGCCGTCACGAAGCCCGCCGACACCGATGCCTTTCCAGAGCTCCCCGTCATAACCGTCAAGGCTCCCACCGATGCGCCCGACGCCGGGCTGAGGAGTCTCGATCACTGTATGCTACATCTCTTGTCTTTCTGGTCGTTGGCATGGTGGTCTGTCGTGCTCGCAGCGTCTTGCGACGACGTCAGGCGAGGCGGGGCTGCTGGATCGCGAGTAATGACGGGCCTGAGCTGACCGTGGACGCTGTCGACAGATAAGAGAGCGCTGCCGAAATGGCGATACCAGATGCGACAGTCGTTGCTGCCTCTCATCCGCTGGGAGACGCCGTACTTGGCGTATCTGCAGGAGAAGTTGCGCACCCCGTGGCTCGACAGTTACTTTGCGATTACGGCGAACCTCGGCACCCATACCTTCTTCATGATCGGCCTGCCCATGCTGTTCTGGTGCGGCTACGCATCCTTTGGCAAAGGGTGAGCACGCATTGCGCTGTATCGCACGAGAACACGGCTAACCAGTGCTTTCAGTGTTATTCACATCCTCGCCGAAGGCGTCTTCTTCACCGGCTTCATCAAGGACTTCTTCTCACTCCCCCGACCTCTGTCACCACCGCTACATCGAATTACAATGTCTGGTTCCGCTGCATTAGAGTACGGTTTTCCCTCTACGCATAGCGCCAACGCTGTGTCTGTGGCTTTATACGGCATCCTGGTTTTGCGCAGCCCAGATACGATCATGGAAGAGACAACCAAGACCATCCTCGAGGGTCTATGCTACTTCTACGCCGTCTCCATCGTCTTCGGTCGTCTATACTGCGGAATGCATGGGTTCCTCGACGTCATTGTGGGATCGATCTTGGGCGCTGCTATTACTGTTGTCGAGTTCTACTACGGCCCGGCTCTGGACGCCTACATGCACAGCAGCTCCTGGTGGGCGCCTGCCATTGCCGCACTGATCGTCATCGCTCTCGTTAGGATACACCCCGAGCCTGCGGATGACTGTCCCTGTTTCGACGACAGCGTAGCTTTTGCCGGTGTCGTCATCGGTCTAGAGATTGGAACCTGGATGTACGGTCGCACATCTCTGGACTCGTTTGGGGGTAATGCCCACAGCGTCGAGTCCATTGACCTCAGCGCCCTGGGATGGCATATCGTGGCTGCCAGAGTCGTTTTTGGCGTCCTCGTCATTTTCGTCTGGCGAGAGGTCATGAAGCCAACACTGCTCAAGGGCCTGCCTCACATTTTCCGTCTGCTGGAGAAGGTCGACATGAACCTTCCTCGACGATTCTTCACCCCCGCGTCCAAGTACAAGGTGGTCGATCCTGGCTCAAGGATGGATACCCTCATCCCCTCCGTCAGAGACATACCTCGTGTGGTCCAGTCCATCCGCCACCCTACAACCCGCGGCCGTTCGGTATCGATCGGACCCCAGAGTGCCGCAGACGCCTACGAGACCCTTGCCTATCGCGAGCGCAGGCGGAGGGAGAGCATCGGTAGCAACGGCAGCGTGAAGAGCAAGGGTAGCATGTTCGAACTGCGGGACAAGAACGGCGAGAAGAACGGCGACTGGGAGGGCAAGGGCGCGGCCTCGGGCGTACAGGGCCACAACACGCTCAACGACTTTGAGCGAATGATGGGTACCGGGAGCGTGTTGGCGAGCCCGAGCGAGGAGAAGGGAGAAGTGGAATTGACGGTCGGGCAGCAGGACGAGATCAGTGAGAAGGAGATGTTCTTGCGTCTCATCCGCCCGCGAGTGCGGTACGATGTTGAAGTGGTTACAAAATTGGTGGTTTACACAGGTGAGTATTCTGACCCTTCCGCTGGATCCGGAATCCTAGCACGTGCGCAGGTGCTGACAGCTGCCCCACAGGTATCGCATGGTTAGGCGTCGGACTGATCCCCATCATGTTCGAGCTGGTTGGTATGGGATCTGCCCACCTTCGTAAATGAGAGTCTTTTCCCCGGTCGTCTTTTGGAGACGGGGAAGCTGTGTTTTCTGAAAAAGATACCATCTTGAACCCCCCTTTTTCTTTTCCCTTTTTCATCACTTCTCTCTTCTGCGTGATGCATTGGCACGCCAGGTAGTTGATTTTGCCTTTTCCTCTACGGGGACGCAGAAGTAAAGGCCCCGACATGCGGAAAGGGGCGGCGAGGGACGACGATGCATAGAACCGTTGTTTTACAGTTTATTTTGACGAAACGCACGACCGTGTTATATATTCTTTTCTGTCACTTGCATCTACTACCTAGGGCGGCCTTCGATGATATTTCCAGCTCCGGACTGAAGGAGAGAGAAGAAAGGGGTGGCTTTTTGCGTTAACGAGGCGTTCTTCCTGGGCAGGCTTGGCCCGGCGGGTGTTGCGGGCCAGGTTGTAATCGTGTGTATCCGTATCGGTAGAGATATCAGAGACGAATGGCAAGACTTCTTGTCTACTTCAAGCTCCGTGCCGCAGTCGGTGAAGATGAAGTCCGGTGTTTGTGGTGAGACGTGGCGATGGATGCCTGAGAGAGTAAGAATGACGGGTGAGACCCACGACGGCGGCGTTGACCTGCCGGTTCTAGCGTGTTTGTTGCATATCCCCTCACTCTTGCTCCTTCAACATCAGCGTCGTCAGTGTGTTGTTCCGTCTGCTGTTTGGACGGGGCCTGGCATTCTTGCGTGTGCATATTGAGCTACAGCAACAACCTTGATGGCTCTTGATGAGGAAGAAGATGTGTTGATGCAGTCTTCGACCTCGGGGTGACCTCACCTCGTCGAATTGTTGCCATCATGGTGCGGATTGGTCATTTGGAAGAGACGACCCGCGACGATCGACAGACCCAAGAACTTGCCGAGGAGTAGGCTTTCGAGGCGGAGCAGCCCGTTGGACCCCATCTCAACACGCGAGATACTTCTTCGGACTTCCATCTCAGGACTGCGGCACAACCTCATCCCACATCAACCGGCGTCTTCGTCGCGAGTTGTGACTCCATGTTGCTGACGACGAGAGTGATTTCTCGAGGTCGCAGATGATGGGTCGATCAAGAAGAGGATCTCGCACACAAACTCCTCGGCAGTTCGGCCTCGATGCTGAGCTGAACTCTCGAGGACGTATCCGTACACGTAAGACGCAGCATCCCCTTCGAAACAGAGATTGACACCTGAGCAGCACTGTCACAAGCATTATCACCAGCTCATCGACACAACCATAGTCCCATCACTGTCGGACAGGACGCTCCTCGAAAGCAGACCTGCGTGGAGCTCGAGGTCCACGTCGGAGTTGACGCCATATTCATGGACACGTACGACCATGTGGGGTCCTTGCTACCCAGCAGATCCCCCGGTTGGTTCCCCTCACGCACGAACGATGGAGTGCGGAGCTGGTGATGGACGCCTGGGGAGTGCCGCCCCGTAGGGAGGAGTCACGACGGAGACCATCATCAACCCAAGTGCCGAGAGCTGACTTGATGGGCTTCAGACACCAGCAGCACATGCTTACTTTCTTCTTCATCCAGTCGAGACTGTCTCAGATACGCCCGGCAATCTGGATCAGCGAACCATCACCACCCCCAGGACACGGAGGACTCAGGCTTCGGCGCGGCCCCCAACCTGGGAACCAGCAGCTTCCATCGGTCCAGGGGATCGGATCATCGGACGATCCGCCGCGGGTGATCCAGTCTGTAGGGCTACCCAGCTGGGGCTCAGGAACATGCCAGATTATCAGATCTCGAGGCTTGCGTCGATTGGATGAAGCTTTTCATGAGACCGATTGGGTTCCTGGCGCGATGTTTCCCTACCGGACCCCTGGCGTTTGTCCTGCGGCGGTGCCACTGGAACACCGACACCGACACCGCGACTGCAGCTATCCAGACAGACCATGCACCCTTGCACACGACGTCGATGACAGCTGCCACGGAGAAGAAGCAACGATGCTCGATTTGTTCGCTCTTGGCGTTTGATATCGACGAGCAAGGTTTTCCCAGATACTGATGACCAAGACCAATCCTTCAATCGGTAGCATCACCTCGGGGGTTCACATTCACCATCGCCCTTTCAACACGGAATTTCGCACACACTCATGCGCAGATTGTCGATGCGACCGAATTTCGAAGACACGGCCACGGCGCATGATGCCTCAATCAAACGACGGTCGGATTTTTGCGGTTGTCTCCCAAAATTGCGGGTTTGCGTTACAAACGGGCGACGTCATTTGCTGTTCCGGTGCCGGATTTTGCTAGTGCCTTATCGCCTAAGGCACGCAGATGGTTGCCATCTTTGGTTTAGCGCAGATCTAATCGGGTCAAGCGAGGAATTCATTGCCCAGAGGCGAGGAGCGAAGAGGGAGAAGCGGCAGGCTCAAGGGGAAGAAGGGGCACCACCACAGGGCACCCGACCTTTCTGCGGTTCCTGCCATTTTACCTGACTGATCAAACCAGACCAGACCAAGGCCCACCGAAGCAGCCGCATCTGCCCGATGATGTGCAGCTTCTTCCTCGACACCTTCGACTTTGTGGGATCGCTTTGCCTTTACCTTTGCTAAGCTTTCCGACCTTCATGGTACCTAACTTTGAAAAATTCTCATATCGTATCCATGACCACCTCTGGATTTTTTTCAGTGGTACAACCAAACAACTAACGCCAGGCGCAAACTCTGGGAGGTGCACCCCTTCGCCCTTCTTGCCAGCCTAGCCCTGGCACATCAGCCCAGATCCGCCAAAAATCGACCCATTAGCGAGCTGGCCCGGCCAGAAGCAGCTCTTGTCGTTTCCCTACAGTGGCCAACCCCCCGCAGGATCTGATAACCAAACGAACGAATCTACCTATTCTCCGCACTCCACGAGACCTCTGCACCTCACATTTTCGGCGACTTGACCACACCGTCCTGCGCACCTATTCTCGACTCTAATTCTCCCCTCAGAGCTGCCATCTCGTCGCCGCATGCACGGTCGCATGTAGTCCCATTCATCATGTCGACCGACGCTGTCAGCGCTCCAGTTTCGGAGCCTGCACCTGTGCCGGCGCAATCAAATGTCGATGCCGACCACGACGAGCCGACTCTTGGCCAGATTGAATGTGCGACCAAGCCAGCCTTCCTCCACTCCCCGCCCGACAGCAACAATGCGCCTAAGTCAGACGGGAGCGACTCGGAGCTCAGCGATCTCGACGAAGATGCTGTCGACCCGGCCCCGAAGAAAGATGAGGCCCCAGAGCCCCCCGTCGAGGACGACATTGGCGAGGTCGTTCCAGACCACTGGTCCGGCACAGTGCCTGTCTTCAAGCCAACCATGCACCAGTTCAAGGACTTCAAATTATTCGTACGTCGTCCTGTGTTTTGCCTCGCTGTGCCTCCCCTTGCTAAACGTGAATGCAGATGAGCAAGGTCGATAAATACGGAATGAAGTCTGGAATCATCAAGATTATTCCTCCCTCCGAATGGAAGGAATCGCAACCAAAACTTGACAACCTGGTGAAACAGATCAGGGTTAGAGAACCGATTAAGCAGGAGATCATGGGATCCAACGGAACCTATCGACAGGTCAACATCCTCCATGGAAGATCATACAACCTACCGCAATGGCGACAACTCTGCGACCAGAGCGAACATCAACCTCCCGCCAGGCGTGGCGAGCGCCGAGCCAACGTCGAAAAGCCGAAGCCCCGACCTGCCCCTCGACCCCGACCAGCTGCGAGATCAACCCCATCCGGTTCCAAGAAGCGCGGCCGAGGGCGCCCGGCCCGTGGCAAGGCCAAGATCCAGGAAGAAGAAGAGACTCAAGAGGAAGGAAACCGACCCATGACGCCGGTATCCCCGAAGCCCGACGCCGAGGTCAACGTCAAGAAGGAGGAAGTCGTCGACTCGGTCGAAGACCCAGGAATGGATGTTGATGACGACGAGCCACCTACGGTCGGCAGGATGGGTCGCATGGGTGGCGCGAGGCCCGCGAAGCCCAAGACACAGTCGGTCTCGGCCCGTCGGAAATACAGCAAGAGAGAAGGGTCTGCCATGATCGACGAGGAGGCGTTCAAGGATTTCGACTACCAGATGGATGTCTCGGACTACACACCGGAGCGGTGCGAAGAGCTCGAGAGGATATACTGGAAGACGCTCACTTACGCACCTCCGCTGTATGGTGCAGATCTCATGGGCACCCTTTTCGACGAGTCAACGGAAATCTGGAACCTGAACAAACTGCCCAATCTTTTGGATGTCCTCGGAACAAAGGTTCCTGGAGTCAACACTGCTTACCTCTATCTCGGCATGTGGAAGGCCACTTTCGCCTGGCATTTGGAGGATGTCGACCTGTACAGCATCAACTACCTCCATTTCGGTGCCCCGAAGCAGTGGTACAGCATCTCGCAAGCCGACGCTCGTCGTTTCGAGGCTGCGATGAAGAACCTCTGGCCTACCGAAGCCAAGGCTTGCGACCAGTTTCTCCGCCATAAAGGATTCCTCATCTCCCCCTCGCATCTGAAGCAGCACTACAATATCACCGTCAACAAGTGTGTTTCCTATCCTGGAGAGTTCGTTGTAACATACCCTTACGGATACCATTCGGGATACAATCTCGGCTACAACTGCGCCGAGGCTGTCAACTTTGCGCTCGAATCGTGGCTTCCTATGGGAAAGATTGCCAAGCGCTGCGAGTGCGCACAGGCACAGGACAGTGTATGGGTTGATGTTTACGATATCGAACGGAAACTCCGTGGCGAGGAGACAGAATATGAAGAAACTGACGAAGACGACGACGAAGACGAGGATGAGGACGAGGACGCCAGCGGCCTGCCCTCACCGCCCAACAGTAATGCTGTTGGCATCAAACCCAGTCGAAAGCGGAAGCGAGCAGGAGACAAAGACGGAAAGACAAAGGTCAAGAAGATTCGTCTCAAGGTCAAGGCCCGCGCTGAGCCAATCTGCTGCCTTTGCCCCAACGACATCCCTGGCTCGGAAATCCTACCCACGGACGACGGCCGTAAGGCACACCGCATGTGTGCCCTCTACCTCCCCGAAACATATATTGACACCGTTGACGAGAAGGAAATCATCGCCAACGTTGCAAACATCAACAAAGAGCGTTTGGATCTCAAGTGTCTATACTGCCGATCCAAGAAGGGCGCTTGCTTCCAATGTTCGCAGAAGAAGTGTGCTCGCGCCTACCACGCCACATGCGCCGCTGCGGCTGGTGTGTTCGTGGAGGAGGCAGAGGTGCCGGTGTTCGGCGAAGATGGAACCGAATACAAGGAACAGGCTTTCGAGTTCAGCTGCCGCTTCCACCGCACGAAGAGAGACAGAAAACACGACGGCGACTCCCTCGAGGAGGACGAGCGTATTCGCAACGCTGCCGCGGCGCTCAAGAAGGGCGAGATCTGCCAGTTGCAGTACTACAAGGGCGACATTTTCGCAGGTGTCGTTGTGGAGAACCGGGCGGACGAGCAAACGCTGCTACTGGACATTGTTCCGAATGGGTACGATTCTCTGAACGACGAAAAGAAACGAAAACTAACACTTCACAGCGATCGTCTCGAGGTCGAGTGGAAATGGCTCTTGCTACCTGATCCCTCTGACTACCACCTCCCGAAGGCCTCGGCCAAGGCCATCCCGATGCCATCGTCCCAGAAGGCCAAGGACCAGCTCAATGCGAAGCGGCCGGCTGACGAGGTGCCCAGGAAGGATGCTCCTTTCGTCGAGGGCTACACCTGGGCAGAGTTCCATCCTTGCGATAAGTGTGCTAACCCGAACCAGGCCAAGGTTGATCTGTCGAAGGACAATCAAGTATGGCACTACTTGGGTAAGACCTCAACGGAGGCCAAGGCCCAGTACTCCGAGGACCCTGCCAAGCAGCAGCACAATCCTAAGAGCAACTACCTTGACACCATTCCCAAGCCTCCGAAGCCCGTCTCTGCGACTGCGGCTCAGCGCCGACCATCTCACATCCCGCCTCCACCAATGCCAGTATCCACTCCCGGTGTTGCTATTCAATCAGGCCTCAAGACTGAGAAGCCGTACGTCTACAAGCCCAGGAAGCCAGTGGGAACTTCCCAAGGAACTCCGGGCGCTTTTACGACGCAGAAGTTCATTCCGAAGCCTTCGCCTTCTCCCTCTCCGATGGGCCAGCAACTTCACTTCGGATCGGACCCTCGATACCAGACGCAGACCGGTCAGTTCGCTCAGCAGCGGTTTACACCGGACAATCGGCAGCAGTATGTTTCGCATTACAGCCCGTCTGGCCAGGGACAATACGCGCCACCGAACAACCCGCAACGGCAGAGTCCCTACGGCACTCCGGTACCGCATCCAGCGGGCGCCGCGAGACCGTCACAGCAGATGTGGGCGACGCCGTCGCATGGTCCCAGACCTCAGCCCACGTCCGGTAACAGTCAGGCCTCAACTTCTCAAAGCCATAGAAGATACTCCACTGCACCAACGCCATCAGTTGCTATGAAGTACGCCTTCTTCCAGGTGCATCATAACAGAGATTCGAAGACGTACCGAACTCCTTACGCGCCTTGGGTGGGCTTTACCAACGGCTACGAGGGTAACTTGAGAGCACATCTCATGAGAACGTCACCCGAAGCCTTTTTCAAAAACAGGCAAGGTTCTGTCCTTGGTGCTTCTTCGGCATCAAGTCCAACAGCCCACACCCAAGCTCCTGCACATGGCAGTCCGTACTTCAACACCTTTGCGAAGACGACGCCGCAGGGCTCCATCGGCATGTACGGTCAAAGAACGCCGGCTCCTTCGTACCCGTCGCCGGGTCCAAGACCGCCTTCACACGACTCCACGATGCAATATTCTTCGATGTCTCCGAGCCCTGCGCCTACTGGACAACAGCCTAGTCCCAACGGGTACAATAGTAGTTGGACCACTCAGCAGAGTCCATCGACACCTCTGCATCCTGCGATTCGGCCACAGTATGGAGGTTGGGTGAATGCCCAGCAGCAGCCTCAACCAACCACACAGCCCGCGCCTCAACATCAACCACCGAAGCAACAGATCACACAAACACCTGTGGCTCCTCAGCCTGCGGCTGACCAGCCTGCGCCTGCTCAGTCCCAGTCGACTCAAAAGAAATCGGAGTCTGCGACGAAATCGTCCGCACCCAAAGTGCAGTACAAGGTACATCACTCTCAGCATTTCTAGCCACAGCAGTTTCTCCAACATCAGACTAACCAAATCATAGATTCCCGAAAAGCAGACGCCCGTACCATTGCCGGCCAAGTATCTCGCTGCGATGGGCAAGACGGCTTCAACAGCCACTCCGTCCAAAACAGCCACCCCTTCAAAGGCCAGTACTCAGTCAACTGGGGCAACTTCGCAGGCCAACAAGTCATCACCGTCTGGCGCGGCGGGCTCAAGCCAAGCTACTCCAGTAACCGTTGCTCAGCCTTCTTCCACCCAGGGCAACCCCCCTTCGGTGGGTCCAACACCTTCAAAACAGGCGCCGACCTTTACCTCGCAGACTGGAGTCTCCGCCCCGCAAACACATGTGCCGGCTCCGGTGCCAGCTCCGGTCCAGAGGATGCCATTCACGAATCAGTTTTCGGCTCATCGCCCACCCCAACCCCCTTACCAGCCTTACACGCAGGGCCCTACGGCTCAACAAGTCCAACGGCAACTTCAGCCTCTGGGCCAGGCGCGAGCAGAGCATCACTCCTTGAACCCAGCCGAAATCCTAGCACAAATTGCTACTCAGCCCCGCGTGAATCCCCCAACGCCCACGATGCAGCATCATCCGATGCCTTCACCAGCGTCACATCAGCCGCCCGTGGCCCAGAATTATCCTGGGCACCAGGCTCCTCACCCGCAACATGGAGCGATGCATCAGCACCAGCAGTTTCACCACTACGCGCCGCCGCAGGGTCAATACCAGCCGATGCAGCCGTATTATCCCCAGCCGAGTGCAGCGCATCCCTACCAACCGCCTCCATACCAGGGACACCCAGTCTCTCACGCCTCTCACGCCCCAGCGCCGGCCCCAGCTCCAAACCCGGCGGGCGAGGTAGCCCTCCCGGAAGTACCTGCGGACTCGACGGGCATGGTGGAAAGGATGATGCAGAACCTGCGCCGCGTCGCATTTCACGGCTGATTTGCTCCAAGAGCTCAAAAGCATCCAATTGTACGAATAGTCCGTTCTGATACACACGAAAACGTCTCCAGCGCGACACAGGCGCATCATTGCTGGAGGCGTATGGGAGGAAAAGCACGCACGCATGCACGGAAATCATGAGTTCTCTGACAAAAATGGCGTTGGACGGTTTATTTCGAACAGGGGCCTGGGTTTCGTTATTTCTAATCCGCAAACCCAGGACCAGGGATAACATGGCATCGGGCAGTAGGATGGTTCTTTGCTGCTCGTTTGAGATGCATGCAAACGCAGTAACGAGGCCGAGTGGTTTATATGAGCTACCGCCTCAGATATGTAAATAATGATTGTTTGTTTTGCCTGGCTTTTTTTAATTCAACCCGAAATTCCAAGGGAAAGTGAGCTGCTTCCTTAGCTGCACCGTGACATCTACTTAGCGCGATTTCTCACTGTACTACGTCCCATCCCCTGATTGTCCTTTGGCCAAAGCGGAAGGAAACATCCTCTGTGTAAGTCAAGAGCTCTCTGCGTACAAGGGTCTCTGTCCGGTCGTACAAGCTGATTGAAGTCTCGCGGTTCGTGTTAGGCAAAGTAGATCATTATATATACTCTCTCATGAAATTCCTGCTATCCGCAGACGACACGAGCGGCATTAAGGCGATAAGCAGATGCTGAGAGGGAAGACTGACCGTGAGCTCCTTCGACTTTGAGTCCTCGAGTGGATGATGTCATGGTTGTTCACATATCGTCTGGAAGATGGATGAACTGAGATACAAGTGTTCCTTTGCCCGGCGTCTCTGGTAATTTCGTCTTATTCGATGGTGAATAGGATGAATGGGCTATGTGAGAAGATGTAATCTCTGGAGAGTCTTGGGTTGAGTAGCGATTGTAGGCTTCAATCAACCTGGCCTGTTATGAGGCTGTCAACTTGACTGCCACTGACGAAATGGACACCACCTCGACTTTGGCCTAGTCTTGACGTCGCCTCCGGCTCTATGCTGTTATGTCAGGCGGATCTTAGCACTACCCTCGTGTACGAAGACGACGAGACCGGTAGTTACTTGTATGTTGATGCTTGGGAATGCTTACCTCGCGGCATCTATATTACTCGCGAACATTAGCCCCAGCACCTGCATGTTTTTCTAGGATTTGTATACAATTGCATCCTCCATGAGGGCTAGGGATGATTCTTAGCTACACGCCAGCGCTCCCCATCGTTGTTTGGTACAAGGTCGAATGAGGAGTGAGGATGGTCTAAGCTAATAACCATTCCCTTGTCTGGTGTCTCGGGCTTTTTGGTCTTATTCAACCGTGATAAATCCAGTGAAGGAATCGTATGTATTAAGAAGACGTGAGCCGCTGAAAAGGCCCGCGTCAAGGGGGTTGCACTGAGATGAGTAGGTTGAGTCTTTACTCGACATAAGCTGCAAAATCAGCACGCATTGTCAGGACGTGTCTATTTGTGTTCTTCTTCAGTGATCGCTGTTTGAAGAAACTTTATACTGCAATTCGTGTTGTTTCATTTACCGTCCACAGCCTTACTCAAGCTGCTGGTCGTTGAATTAACCCTCTTCAGCGGGAGCTGTGGTCTGTCTCAACCTTTTGCTTTGGAGCTGCAAATGTTTGAAGACAGGTCTGGGCAGCGACATGTGATGGTGGAAAGTTGTTGAGTTCGATTCTGCATTCTGACCAGGGAGACGGGCGATTCGAGTATATAAGTATGTATTGAGGCATTGTCTGTTATCTCTGGCGGTTGCGTCTTATTGATGATGAATAGGATAGGCTGGGATGCGCGCCTTGAAGATGAAGTCTCCTAGAGTCTCATCATCTTTGTGTCATTGCTTCATGCGCGGATCCTCATCTATGTGAAAGTTCGACGACAACGGCAACCACGTCTACCACTCTTCTTGCAAAGATTCTCGCACAGCAACAAGCTTCCTTTATAGTCAGCTTGTGTTGTCTTGTCTTTACTTGTGTATGGGGTTTGTAAACTTGCCATGTCTTGGACAATGATGTCAAACTTCACAAATACATTCCAGTTGCTCCTCAAACTCACATAGCGTCAACCCGCACCCAAAAGAATCACCTTTTCGCCGCTGACTAAACAACCCTTAACTCCCTCCTCGTTGATCGCCGACGGCGCTTGTGCGGGTGATGAGCACTAGACTGCTTGGGCGCCTTCATAGCGGGAGCGCCTCTCGGACTCGAGAGTTTAGGGGTCATCTGCAAGATGCTTCGAATTGCAGTATCGGGGAGCCAAGTTCCGAGTACCGACTTTCGAATACAGGGCCCAGAACATTGGACTCGACTTGTTTGGGCTAAGGCGTTGCGGGATGTCTTAGCGGTTGAGGACGGCCGCTACCACGGCCGTTGGCCGAAAGATGTAAGCCGCCCGGCCGCGAGATCGATTCCGTATTGTCGGGGAACTGAGCGGCCCGAAGCCAGTAAGCACCATGCTAGTGATCATCTGGATAGAATCGTCTTCTGAGTTGATGTGAGATTGTAAGTGATCACGAACATGACGTCTTCTTGGGAATTTGAGGCCAAGGGTTGAGATAAAAGGGTCGCCTTGTAACCTTCAACATCGAGAAATAGACACTGCAGCAGAACTTGACACATTGCAAAGCACCTGAACGCAGACTCATTATCACAAACAATTTTAGCATCTTCACACTTCATAATGTTTCTTACTTACTCACACAATGTCGTCGTCGGCGCATGCGTTGCACTGGCTGGATCATATCTCATACTCCGCATCATTTACAACCTCTTCTTCCACCCTCTGGCCAAGATCCCTGGCCCCAAGCTGCCCGCGGCAACATCTCTGTGGCTCTTCTATTCCGACTTCAGAGGCCATGCCTGCGACGACATCTTCAATCTTCACAAACAATATGGCAAGTCTCACTACAACGCCCCTCTTGTCTGAATTTCATGTTAACGCCAACCTCAGGCCCCGTAGTCAGAATCTCACCGGACGAAGTGTCCATCAAGGACATCGACGCCTTTCACAAGGACATCTACGCCCAAAACACCAAGTTCCAAAAGTCGGCGTACTACTATCACGCCTTCCACAGCCCAGACTCGAGCGTCTTCTCGGAGACCAACAAGGAGATCCACGCAAAGGAGAAGCGCCTGATGTCCCACGCCTTCTCCCGTGCCAACCTCGTCGGTTACCAGAAGAACATGTACGAGAACACCGCTTCGTGGATAGGACGGTTGAAAAGCTACGCAAATGTCGGCCGCGTCATTCCCCTGTGGCACGCCACGCAGTGTCTCACGCTCGACACCGTCTCCGGCTTCAGCTTCGGCTCGAAGGCCGGGGCGCTTGAGGCGGAGGACTTTTATCACCCGCTGTTTGTCGGGTTCGAGACTTTTGCGCCGCTTGTCGTCTTGTTTCAGCAGTTCCCGCTTTTGAAGCCCATATTCGGCGCTTTTCAAAAGTTCATGTCTTTTGGTTTCGGTCCTATAAACCAGGTATGTGTCACCAACTTGCATATTTGACCTTTGTAGTACTGACAAGAAGATAGAGCTCGGCAAAGGCTCTTGACCGTCTCAACGAGAAGAAGGGACGGCAGGAAGAAGATTCCGGGATGATCATGTTCGACAGCATGGTCGCCCGCGCCGAGAGCAACGGAATTCACATCAGTCCTCAACGCCTTGTGCAGAACGGAAGCTTGATGCTCGGTGCCGGGACCGGCACCACCGCTTTGGTCCTAACCACGGCTATCTACCACCTCAACGCTCAACCCGAGGTGTGGAAAAGCCTTCAATCAGCTCTGTTGGATCGATTTCCCGACTTCCTGAACGAGCAGCCCGACGTCGTCCAACTGGAGAAGGTCCCGCTGTTGGAAGCATGCATCAAGGAGGCCATGAGGGTCAGCATACCAATTCGGGGTAGATGGCCACGCGAGGTACCGAAGGGGGGCCTTGACATCCACGGCCTCTACATCTCTGAGGGGGTAAGTCTCTAGATCCGTACAATCATGGCTTGAACTCGTGAGCTGACAAAAGGGGATGAAAATCAGTACAGCGTGTGCTCCTCCGCATTATTATACTGCAACGATCCAGATGTCTTCCCAGAGCCAGACAAGTTCAAGCCGGAACGCTGGCTCGATGCCGAGAACGCTCATGACATGCAGCGGAATCTCGTCGTCTTTTCACACGGATCGAGGGCTTGTATTGGCCAGAAGTGAGTTCAATCTTCCCCAGCATACGGTACCTGAGCTGTGCTAAGCAGATAATTGTGTAGCTTTGCTCAAATTGAGCTGAAGATCGCCCTCAGCCAGGTTGTGATGAACTTGAGCCCTGGAAAGATTGTTGATCAGGAGCTTGGGTTTCACGCTCATAGTATCACTTCGCCAGATGGGCTAGCCGATGTCACGCTCCGACTTTCGTAGGATGAGAAGAAGACGGACTCGATTTGGGAGCGAAGCATTCACCGTTGATGTCGTTCGTGGCTAGTAACCAGGGCTTTGCGGGACAGGATGGAGGAGTAGTTATAGCAGGCGTCTCTAGCAACATACAGTATTGATCATCTTTCCGAAGCTTCATCCTGCGCAGTAGCGGCAGTCGAATAATCCATATGCCGTCCAAGCAGGTTGCTGCAGTCCTCCACAAACTTCTGGCCCTTCTTCCAGTGCTGCACGATTGGGTGCATGTAGTTTTGCCTATAAAAGTCGTTCGGGAGAACTGGAGTCCGGGTACAGCAGTGGCCTGACTCCTGTGTCTTCCCTCATGGGCAAGTATTTAGGCTGGAGAACTATTCTGCCGGCATAGTCGCAAATCTGGCGTTTTTCAGACAGTTGATTTCACGAGAAGGCAGCTAGTATGTCCTGAAGTGCTGTTTGTGACCATTGCTGTTGTTATTTTCTAAACATTATCTCCGAATAAGACATCAATGATTACTCCATGATGTTGAATCAAGTTCCAGATCGACGCTCTCATACCCAGTTAAATTCTGGACAAGTCATGAGGAAACGCTTCGCAACCATTCGCTATACGAGTCAGCGAGAGACATTGTTCGTGAACGAGAGAAAGAGGCGTTGCGCCCTTCTATTATTTATATGTATGTACTACAACCAAAACGCCTCCCATGGACCTCATCATAATCATGCACGGCACATCCTGCCATCTGCAGCAACATTCCACGCGTCACTGCCGACGGTCTTGAGCGCGTAGAAGACGCCGGTGGAATCCCACTTCTGCTTGATCTCGAGCAGCTTGTCGTAGTTGCCGCCGAAGAACTTCTCCTTCCAGCCGTCAATGTTGAAGTCGACCTCGTTGACGTAGTTGCCGGACCCGGGGGTCGCGGCCTCGATAGGAGGCATGATGTCGTCCGTCATACGCTTCTGGTCGGAGATCATCGTGTCCCAGTCGGCGGGGTCGTTGCTCCAGGCGGTGGAGTACTGCACGTGGATGGCGGCGTTGCGCCAGTGCGGGTTGACGGCGTTGTCGACGCCGGTAGGGGCAGAGGCGTTGAGGGCTACGCCGGCGGAGAGAACGCCGTAGGTGTCGGCGCCGTAGCGGATGGCATCGACGTAGCCTGCGCGGGAGGTGGTGTCGGAAAGGACGGAGCGGGGGACGAGGCGGGAGCCGAAGTTGTAGGACTCAACCTCGACGTGGCCGTAGGGGAGGGGACCCATCCATTTGTTGTAGTGGTCGCGGTAGTTGGTGTAATCGGTGGCGGAGGAGGAGTAGGGGATGGCGAGGTCGGCAAGGACGTCGAGGAAGGGCTGGAGAATAGCCTTGGCTTCGTCGGCGGTCTTGTTGTAGGCCGTCAGGGGGTTGATGGCGAAGATGGAGCTGCTGTAGAGGAAGACGACCATGGCGCCCTGGTCGGTCATGTTGGGGAGGAGAGAGTGGAAGGCGTCGAGCATCTGCCACCACTTCTCCTGGGTCGTGTAGGAAGCAGCGGTCTGCAGACCGACGCCGCCGACGCTGGCGTCAGGGTACGCGCGGACGGTGACGGAGGTGACGATGCCGAAGGTACCAGGGCCACCACCGCTGAGAGCCCAGAAGAGGTCGGAGTTCTCCGTGCGGGAGGCAGTCACGATCTTGCCGTCGGCGGTGACGACCTCGAACTCGAGCGTCTGGTCGGCGGCCATGCCGAAGTTGGTGGTGAGAGCAGAGTGGCCACCGCCCTGGATGTAGCCACCGGCGGGACCAACGGTAGGGCACTCGCCGCCGACAACGACGAGACCAGAGGACTTGCCGGCCTCGGTGATTTCGTAGCCGAGGACACCAGCACCCATCTTCATGGCGGGGCCGGACCAGAGATCATCGGACCAGGTGGTCACCTCGATATCCTTGAGCTTGTGGGTCCAGGCGGCGAGGGCTCCGGCGCCGGTTGATCGGCCCAGGTGGCTGGAGAAGTGGGTTAGCGGAGGTGTGGATAGGCCGGGACGGGAAAATAAGCTTACTCATGGCCCGTGTTTCGGACGAGGAAGCGGATGTTGTTCTCGCGGGCGAAGTTGACGGTCTCGACAACGTCCTGGGTCGAGGTCACCTCAACAGCGTACTGGACGTAGTTGCCGATGAGACAGGGGGTGGTGCGGTCCGTGAAGGGGTCGCAGGACTGGTTGGCGAAGTAGCTCTGCATCACGGAAGATGAGGAGGGAAAGCTGGGAATCAGTTAGTCGTGGCTGTTGCACTTCATTTTGGGAATGTCACATACTGAGTCTCGGGAAGAACCCATGATTCCTTCAGCGCCGTGCACGCGGCCTCATCGTAGTTCGGGTCGTGGCAGACTGAACCGATGGGCACGGTGGCAATGAGCTTGCCGCCGACAGTGGTGTTGAGGGTGTTCCACGAGTCCGTAGAGGGCCAGCAAGCGTCGCCGGGGAGGCAACGGCATGAGCTGTCGTCGGCGCGCTTGGGAAGGACGCCCGCGGCGGCAAAAGGCGCGGCAGCGAGTGCTGCCGTCGCAATGGTAGCGAAGGACTTCATCTTGACAGGGCTGGAGGAGGGGAGAGCCTGGGAGGAGAGGGGATTAAAGGAATGACTAGGCTGCTGCAGGGAAGACTCCTGACGGCGGAATGAAGCGAGAACGACATGGCGGGATGGTCTTTATATTGAAAACAGTCCGTCGTGGAATGCTAAGACCAACAACTGCTTGGCCGCGGCGCAGGAATGCGAACACCTGGACTGGGCTGTGTACGGATAGACAAGGGCCCCCAAGAGGGGGGACGTTGTCAATCTCCCTCCCGGCCGCAGAGTCTCGTCCGCGGCGCCAGGGCCGTGACTGGAGTTTTCCCCTTTTCGGCATGTTGTCCGGCATTGTGGGTTACCACGGGGTAGATTGCGGAGCTCGAGTGCCCATTGTTTTCTCCTTGAAGCAGGGTCCGGGGCTCCTTTGATTTACCCACAGGATGCTTCGTTGGACCTTCTTCAGGCCTTCTTCTCTATCCTGGAGATCGGCACGAGGTTCTTTGGAAGGTTTGTGCGTTCCAACAGACTTGAAGGCGCAGAACGTTGGAACAGAGAGTTGAGGCTTAGATCTGGGCGCGAAATGAGATGAACGTATGAGTCGTTCGATGCGGCAAGTTTCTGGAAGGCTTGTGGAAGAGGTGACTGGGGCCTTGCATGAAGTCGAATCTCGCCAACTCCCGGGGTGCGGGCCAGGGAATACGCATCGGACGAACAGCTGAACAAGACAGGTCGCGATAGCAGCTGTCAGACTGTTGGTGCTGGATTCTTTGCGCCACCGCAGTCTGCGCTGCAACTTTGTCCTGGAAGACGTCGATAACTAACCCCTGACTGATGGAGTTTGCCTCGGTTGCGCCCCCAACTGGCCCTGGTCGAGTTGTTGGCGCACAATCGCACCCCTGTCCTTTCCCCTGATCTCTGGTTCCATCGCCATCTGGTCTTTCGTCCTGTTCCTGCAGCACAGGCCTGATGCTGATACCGAGCACTCTCTTCAACGTGGCTCTGGCTGGCGGTTGTCTTCCAGGAACACCGCCGTCGTAGCCAGTTGACTTCTGGCGACGGGAGGGGCCGATGGTCTTCCAGCATCTGCCCTACGGCCGCGGATGCCATCGACAAAGCCCGTTGCGCGTCAGCGGCTGAGAATTATTGTTTGCCGTTGTCTATTTTGAGTTGACGCAGTGAGACAAGCCAATGTTGGCTAAGACATGTAGGTGACCGTTCGATGGCATGTGGGGTGCATTCGTCGCTCGCGAAAGGATTCGGTCTTTTCTTTTTTCACCTGTCGTTTTCGATAGTCTCAAGGACTTGTTCCCCTTTCTGGCAGTATCGAGTATCTTTTTCGAGAAACACCGACGATAAACATGTGCCGAGAAGGATTTGCCGCCTCTGCCGTCCACACCACCATCACGAGAAAAGCCTCTTTTCGAATCGATCTCCTTTCTTCTCGGCCAATAGCGGCCACTAGCGTCGCCGTTACACTCCCCAAAATGGCTCCCAACGCCTAGAACTTTGCTCCGAAGCTTAGCAGGGCCACGATGTCACCGGGCCGGGGCGAAAAACGGAGGTCCGAACGTCGTGGGTGGCGACATCGAACGATATCACTTCGTCGATATCGTCAAGCTTTTGGCTTAACCCCCTTCTGCAGAGTCGTCAACGTGTAAGCCGCGTATGATGCGCCGTATCGCTCTTTGTTGTTAGCCTCGGGTGAGTCCCGAAGTCGGTAGCTGCCGATACACCTGAGCTTTGCAGGAAGAGAAAACCCCGGTCCCATGTCTTCGAAGCGCCTCCCCAACACGTGTTGGTGCTCGGGATGAGGGGCCGGTGGGTTCGGTGGGCTTGGAGAGGACAATTGCGCCGGGATCAAATCTCGGTGGCGACATCTTCTTTGAGCTCGTGCGCAGTGTGGATGGTTCGTTGGGCTGACGCAATGCCTTATTCATTCCGATGGTGGGACTATCTTTTATCTATCTTCCGATGTCTTCGGGTCCGAATGATTGGGGGCGCAAAGGATTGAGGCTCTTCTTTCCGCATTCTTTGTCTTATTCGTTATCCAGCTGGCCGGAAGACTCGGTATGCCAAGATAATATCTCAGGTTCTATTGCATTGAACGAAGCCCACTTCTCCTGCCGGACTGAGCTCGATGGTCGTCGCATGAACGATCGATACCGCTCCGAGACCCTTTCTGCTGGGCTCAGGCTCGAGAAATGCGCAGCGCACTGGCTTGTTTCCGGGAGGATATATGAAGACGTTGGTCACGATGCCGTTGCTAGCTGTCAAAGGTGTCAGCAGGGGTTCTTTGCTTTGCCTCGGCTACGGCGACAAGCTCAATTCGGGCCAGACTTACCGATGGCATACCCTGAAAGCGTCTCAGGTACGTCGAAGACATCGGTAAAAGTGCCATTCTCATAGGTGAACGATATGCCGAACACAGCAGCGGGGTCCTCCTGGGGCGTCGGTGCTGCCGCAGCAAGCGATGCGGCGAGAGCGGTGAAGGTTAGATGAACTTCATTTTGGCTGTTGTCTTGATTCGTTGTCCTTGATCTCTGAAGTTGTCAAGTCCTCTCGAGATGTCCAAGCGCTTCAACGATAGAAGACTTTATAGTCTTGGACAACCAAACCGTCGTCTTGCCGTGCTGACAGAGAGCCATCCTGATACGGGCTGTGTTGTTGTTCTGAGCGCCAACTTCGGCCTCAAACGGCGCTCCTATTGCTCTTTTTTCTGTTGCTGACTTGCAACGTGACATCCATGGAAGAAATCCTGCCCTCTTGGGAACTAACTGCTGACAACCTCAGTCAGAAGCCAGTTGCAGTTGGCTTTCAAGCTTGGTCGAGCTGCGCAAGTTTGATTTGAGATCTCAGGGTTTTTCTAAACATTCTAAACAAATCAATTTTGCTGTTAATTGACAAGCACACATCATTGACTTGGCGCCGTCGTGCTCGATATAAGTAATGCAACCCAGACACGAGTTCATGACACTTTGGGGGCGGAATCCCATACGACGCCGGCGGGGCGATTTGCCAATCTGCGGGGTGTGACATTGACGATATATTGCCCTCGGACTCAAATGCGATTTTTAGAAACATGAACAAGGTGCACCCAAGCTGACTCGCGCGTCATGTAGATGCCAAAAGTCCACCCGAAGTTGAGGTGAGAGAACGTGTTCACCAATGTTGAATAAACCAGTCCGGATGCCACTGACCGCCATCGGCATCCAGACACACCGTGTTCCCACCCACGGAGACTCTACCATCCTGGCTGAATTTCGAGATCGAGTCTCGGATCAGGTCTCTGAAGTCTGTATTGCCGATGTAACCTGCGGTTGCAGGACGAGGCGTCGCGCGAACGGAGAGCCCACAAGTGTTGACGCTCACCAATCGCGACCACGAGACACCATTGGCATCGAGGTCGGAAGTTGCAACTCTGAAGTAGCCCTTGGTGTTCTGAAAGTATGTCTGCAGAAAGTTGCAGTCTTCGACGAGAGGGGCGCTGGAAGACCATGCGCTTGTGAAGGTGCTGCCGCCGCAAGCGTCCCAATCTTTGGTGTCGGACACCCAACCGCGCTTCACCAACGCCGGGGAGACGGTATTATGGGACGTCGTGAAGTCGGCATAAAAGGTGATATTCTGGGTGCGCCCATCTGGGAGAGTGACTTCCTCCGTTACGGGTGTGCGCTTGAAGGGGCCAGAAGCCACGTCACGGCTAGGCAGTGAGAATGCAACAGAAGCGGACGCCGCAAGTGAAAAAGAGATGACATGATTGAGATGCATGGTTGCAAAGTCGAAGTCGCCGGAGATTTTAGATGGCGAACTACTGACAGTGGGCAGCTTTAGGAATATCCCCTCTTCTTTATAGACACACGAATGAAGAACAAGGTGTCTGTGTCGTGGCAGCCGGAGGTGATTCTAGCCAGCAGAGGACTGGCCTTACACGTATACGTCTGACGACCGTGGACGTTGCATTGAAGGAAGGCAAGTAGATGCAGACGTTTGGTGCGAAAATAAGACCCCATGTCATCTGCCTATAGTCGAGGAGGGATTTTCGTGAAAACGGGACTTCGGTGTTGATGAGGTTGGAATTCCGGGGACGAATGTGGTCATCTTTCCACATTTGCGCAGCCCAAGTGCCGTCTCAGCAGCTTTGCCACGATCGCGCATAGAGCTTGTTTTAACAGCTTCCCCATTTGGATGTCAGCTTGTTGCCTCTTCTGAGTAGCTTTGAATCCTTCGCAGGCAGATCGTTCGAAATGCTCACCTAATTTGCCCACAGCGCTGATTCCCTCCACTCGAATCGAAAACCTCAGGAATACTCTAGTTATTCACATGTCTTCTTAAACCGTTGTCGAGAAGGCACACTGGACAATGGCCGCTCTTGGCATGTCAATGACAGAGTGTCTTGGGGACGACACGGTAGCGTAACACCTCCGAATTTAATTGAGATTAATCACACAAAAGCCACAAACGGTGAACCCAAGACTCTACCGCCCGAGTCGATCTTGATCCCTTCTTTCCTCAGAAGCAACCTCTTCTCGTCCAGAGTAATACCCTCTCCGTTCCTCGGCCACTTGCCCTTGAAGCCACCAAGAGCCCCCCCTGTGGCGACAACCCTGTGACACGGAACTTGCGGTGCGAATGGGTTACGACGCAAGGCGTTGCCGACGGCTCTTGGTGATGACTTGAGATGGGCTGCAAGAATGGCGTATGTGGTGACGTGACCTTTGGGTACTTGGCAGAGGGCAGTCCAAACTCGCTTCTCGAACTGGGTGCGGTTGGAGGATGCGATGCGCTCGAGTTGTGTGCTCATATCTTCGGCTTCGGGGATCTTGACTGACGTGATGGCACGCGCCACTGGCGACGGTTTCGCGGCGGATGGTCTGGCCATGGTGATTGGGAGGTCGGAGGATGGCTAGGATGCCGTTTTGACGTTGCGATCAAGTATTAGCCTTGATTGTGGAGATATGGAGACTTCTTGGAGTTTCAACAAGCCGGAGAAGGTGTCGAGAGAAAACATTAGGAATAAATAAGTCAATCGCCTACTCTCTGAGTCAACGGCGAAGGTCTGGCAAGTGTCAAGCCAAGGGCGCGTCGCAGGCGCGGGGCGAGCATGGTGGTCCAAGCGATGGATGACGCGAGTCTTGCGCGTGTCACGTGTACTCATCGTCACGTGATGAGTCAAGTCCTTGCAGACAACGCCGTGAGGACAACAGAATTTGGGCGGATGCATCAAGCTCTTAGATGGACGGGAGAGGTCAGCAATGTCTTGCCAGTTGGAGCGTCAAATACGTGTTTTGAAGTACATCGGCATGCGCTCTGATAATGTACAAACTTGGGGATGCGCAAGTATTTGCATGCTCTTGTAGAAACGGGTATCCTCGAACCCAAAATTGTAACCGTGATGTCGTAGTCTTCCGATAACGCCAAATAGACCGAGTCGTACGAAATGTGTGTTGTTTTCCTAAGCGATGCGGGTAGCAAACCTCGGCCTCGATCGCCAAAGTTCGTCCACCCAAACCGTGTTTGATTCCTTGCTTTCAAGCGCCTTAATCACCAGTGTCAACCTCCAAGTCGATCTGCACACCATTGCTGACTCCGTAGTCCTCCAGCGTAAGATGATCCTTGAACGGTCGCTCGCCCTGGCGCTTCAGCAGGATTTCGTGGGGCTCCCGACCGACTCTTGCAGCGACCAGAATCTTGAACATCTTGACGGGATCCGAGGCGAGGCAGGGAATCGCGGCCTTGGTGCCCAGACGATCGTTGACGTGGACGATGATCATCTCTTCGCCGCCGGCAGCAGGTGCGGGTGCGGGCGCGGGCTTCTCTCTCTTGGGGGGCTTTGTGGTATCCTTGGAGCTCGAAGAGCCGGCCTTGCTGTCTCTCGGGCCCGAGTCGCGGTCGCGGTTACGGTCGCCGGGGCGGTAGCTGTCATTGTTGCGATCACGGTCGCGGTCGTTGTATCTGTCTCTGTCGCGGCGAGGGGAGCGGGAGCGGTTGCGGTAGCCGCGTTCGAGACCTCTTCTGTCGTCGCGATCATCGCGGTCGTCCCGGCGACTCTTGTCCTTCCATCTGAAGCCTCCTTGCTTTCGAGGCCTGTCTCGGTCTCGGTCGCGATCGCGATCCCGTCTCGGAGAGCGGGATCTCGAGCGCTCTCTGTCTGCCATGGCGAGTTGGGATGATTGTTGATGGCAGTTGGGAAAAGCAGGTTGCGGTGCACTGAGGTGGAAGCAATGACGGCGCATTAGAATTGCCCCACCATGCACGGGCCACCATAGCCGCTACGCCAAATCGCCCGCGGCGCGCAGTCACAGCTATCGGATCTCTCTTCTTCACTCTGTCTCAAAGAGTTCTCAGATGAACATGAGACTCATCGGCGAATGAAAGGCCTTAATATGCCGACTACAACCATCTCTCATTTCAACTGCAACTCACTCTCAACTCTATGCCATCTAAACGACTACTCCATATTCGACTCTGGAGATCGCGACCTCTTTCGTGCACCATCCAGACGACGCATACTGATATTAGCAGCGTCAACCTAAGCCGAATTACGCTATTTTGCGAGTGCAAATATGACACTTCCTATGCCCACCTCATCACTCCTCGATACGAATTGGCAACTGCGAAATGCGTCCAGCAGTAGACAGGTGAGCGAAATATATGACAATGTTGCCGGCTGAATCCATGCCTCGCCCACCTCCTGATGCATGCTGTCTTTACTGAGGCGAGAATCCAGACCGTTATGGATCAGACACTCGATCGAGGCCGGAGGCTGGACTGTGCTGTGGGAGATTAATTGAATGAGTAACAGGAACTATCCGTACGCTCCTGGAACAGGCGGAGCGGTCGGCTACCCCGGGATCTTTTGGGGTTGTCATGAGTCGCGATGTTCATCCAACCTGACCCGTTCATGCGCCTTTGAGCATTCACCAGCGCAACTTCCGTACCGCTTCTCAGGGATTATGGCACAACAGCAGCCAGGGGATCGAACTCAACTAAATATACAGAACTCAAAATGTCTCTTACAAGTGCTTATTCGTCCCTCTTTCCTCTCCGGTCTGCCGGGTCGCTCTATCAAGGAGATCCCAACACGACTCACGATCCAGTTGACGCCCAGGCCAATTTTCCTGCGGCCGCGAAACCGCACCATTGACACAGCCTCTAATGAGAAGACAACGGGCAAGACTGTCATGAGGAAAACTTATCGGGCACTTTCGATCGGCCCAAGTTGCCGAGAACCGCAAGTTGATGAATCACCTCAGCGATACAGCCTAGACCTGACGAAAGGGCTTGTTACGACTCGGCCGAGCACAGCATGGAGCCCCAGAGGTACACTTATTAGACTTTCCAATGCTCTAATAAGGTCCACCCGCAATAACAGATCGACAACTGTATAAAGAGCCCATCTGCTTTGCGAGCAACTCGGAGTCTCGTTCTCGGTCACCGCTCTCGTTCTCGCCTCGCCTGCAAACACTCTCATTATCAACGATACCCTCGTTCTTATACCACCGCCAAGATGAAGTTCCAACTCCTCCCTCTCATCTTCCTCTTCGCATCCCAGGCATCAGCGGCCTGTGCCAACGGCGATGTTGAGCTTTGGGATCTTCAGGTCATCGACGGTACTGCGCAATGTTCCAAGTACGGTTGCTACAAGTCGTGTACCTTTCCCGACGGCAACGGCAACTGTGGCGGCTGCACCCAACGAGTTTCCACCGGTACTGTTCGTCCTCTTGGCGGCAGTTATTGCTGCCCTGGACCTCTTACTGGCCTGGGCAACACTTGCGTCACTGCTTGTCCCGCAGGTACGTGTTTTTGCAAGCAGTTCTTGAAGCAACACTATGGTACATGAACTGATATGATGTTGTCGATGTAGGAAGTCGCAGCGTGTAGATCAGGATTTGAGTTGGTCACATCCTTGCCTCCGATGTTTGGATGGCCATGTTCAGCGTCAAACAACCAAGCGGGGCCATCGTCATCATTGTATCGAAGCGTTTCTAGTCTATATGTTACCGTCACCTCAATTACACAACAGTCTACCATCCATCCAGTCGTCTGCTTCAAACAGCACCTCTCATTTGATTCAATATAGGTGAAGATTCTCTTCCATCGCCAAAGCTTCAGAAGCTATATCTCGGGATATCGCCCGTCATTTGCGGTCGATGACCCTTCCCACGGACTGAACAATTCCGCCTTAGGATCCTCGAGATTTTGTCGAGGCTTGGTCTGTTCGGCGTTGAGTCACGGTGAAGGCCGCTCCTGTCTCTGATGGCGAGACTCGATGCTTAGGTAACTAGCATGGTGGAATGGGACATGCGAAACCCTGATAAGAGCCTTGTATCAATCCATCTCATTGTAGCTATAGTTATGCTTGTTTCTGCAGTACCCATTCGAAGTTCATGTGGCCCACTTCCCTCACTTGACCTCCCGTCTTAAGCTCTCTCAGCTCCAACATTTGAGGTGATATGCCTTCCTGTAGCCCCTCTCATTGAATATAAGCGATAGATGTCGTGTGGACTATGTGCCATGTCGAAATAGAAGCCCATGACTGTGTGAGAGCGGAAGTATGGGTACTGGCGCAAGAAGCTTTCTTCATGCGGCAACATGTCGAATGATAGTGAACCAGTATCGGGCGTAGAGCGAAACGCTATTGATCATCAGTACCAAATGCTTTCATAACAGTATATCAGTAACACACCACTATTATAACGATGGCGCCGACGAGTGAAGCACTTCCAAAGAATAAAAATGGTTGGGGGCAGTCCCACCACGAGCGTCACAATCGCGATGACAGCTTCGAGAGTGACCTCCATTGCAACTTCGACCGTATGATTTGCTAAGAAAGTTTGCCAGTGAAACTGATGTCGCGTTCTTGAGACCACCTCCCGTTCGTTTGTGTGGTGACAAGATACTGGCTTTCTTTTTGGCAACTGGAATAAGAACGACATGAAGAACGTAGGAGGCCGTTATTGAAGGGAGGGTATCATTCTAATATTTAACATGAACAAGTCCAGCTTCTAACGAGTCCATGTTGGGCATATTGGCAGTGCACTCACTCCTTTCAGACTTAGGATTCAGCAAATCAGGACTTGCCAATGTGAAGTCATTAACATGCAGAGCTGGCGACCCGCAGCTTCCTGACCTACACTGCCCGCGCACTACGCTGGAATGCTGTGCATTAATTTATCCCATGATTCCTACTGCGGAGTTGCTCTCATTGTGGTTTTCAGGTTTCGGTTCCAGCCAATCATAAATGCTTCTTGATGCTCGAATGCTAAGCCCACCATGTTGGGCGAACAATGCCTATTGCCTGTCCTACCCACAAAACAGGTGATGCTGTCACTGGCTAACACATACATACGCTTCCGCCCGCCGATGACCAGCTTCCTCTCGCATTGCGATATGGGATCAGGCCTATCACATCGGCCTGCCAGTCCAGGGCGGATGCTCAGGTGTCAGATATTGGATTTGGCCAATTGGGGTTGCCGCGACTGTGCAGCAAATCAACTGCCTTCAGATATCGGTCAAGGCCAATCAAAATCTGGCCAGCTCAATATGACCTTGGCATGCACCAGATCCGAGCTGCCTACTTAAGCTGAGCATTTTCCTGTCTTAGGCGACTCAGCTACGGCATCTCTGCCTTCTTTCTGGTCAACCCAAGTCTTATCTCATTCGTCGCTATGGTGTCTCCAACACTACAGCTCAAACAGGAAGAATGGATGAAGCACAAAAGCTTCATTCGAACCATGATCATGCAAGAGAACAGGTCTAGTGCTGAGACACGAGAACTGCTTGCAGAGAAGGGATTCTCGGTAACGTAAGAGTCATATGTCTTCATTACAGCGCATCGATAGCTGACACGAAGAAGCAAAGCGCAACTTGAATACAAACTCAAGATCTGGGAATTTAGTAGAAAGATTCCTAAGAAAATGAGCGAGGCTGTTTGGCAATACATCGGCCACCGAACGAGGAAGAGAGCCCGCCAAGGGAAGCAAAGTGAAGTTGTCTTGAGGGGCGAGGTTCTTTCCCCTACCAAAGTGCGCAAGGAAACGAGTCGTCATGAGCCATCGGCCTTGGTTAAGTTCACACAAAGTAAGTATTAAGAAATCGCGACAGCTTTTACGTAACTGACTGTTCGAAGCAATGACGAGCCCCAAGACACCTGAAGGACTAGACTGTGCAATCTACACTCCAGTAGCCCTGTCCGTCGTGTCTCCGTCGCCCATGCAGTTACCATCGCCGTTTCAGACTAAGTGGCCGAGTAATCTTCCTTGGTTTCAATTCCAACCGAGTCTTTCGGCATATTGTGAGTGTCTCAGACTTTCCAATGCTCTCTATAGTCTCTAACAACTCTCAAGTGATTCGCCTAGCCGGGTTGCCGAAAAGTGAAGCGATTTTCCCGACAAGCCAGGCGTTGATCAAGACGTCAGGGTTTCGAGACGCAATGGTATCAAGAGATGCCCATCGTCTTGCTGTAGAGATCGGCTCCGTAATACCTGAGACAAGCGAGAATGAGAACGGCAACATCGCTCGGTCGTTACTGGAGGGTTCAGAGAACGAGGCGTTCTCAGAGCAGGTTAAATTCTCCCTTTACTGCCTTTCCAACAACATCGATCACAGCTCCTGGGTCTCGGTTCTTCATATTCTTGAGCAATCTGGACTCACAAAGACGCCACTCCCGCTAAACGAGTCATCAAACACCACAACACGAGCGATTGCGGAGAATTTGTTCAGACACGCATTTCTATTCAACAATCTGAGAATCGACTATAATGAGAGGTGTGAAATTTGTAACAGCGCACCATGTGGGCAGGTCAATGGAGGCGAAAGACACACAACCAATTCTCTCATGGTCTCAGAACCTGCCACAAAAACACCGATCATCAAGGATCACGACGGTCGTATCAACGGACGCTTCATCGCATGGCTCCTGTCTTCTGGTCTGAGTCCTAACACTTCGATCATTGGAGATCGCGGTTCTCAGTCTACACCGCTCTTACAAGCTACCTGCAATCTGCGTGTCGAAGCAGTGTGTCAACTCTTGGAAGCAGGAGCTGACCCCAACCTGGTGGGCGTTGACCAGAAAGCCCCAGCTCTGATGGCGCTAGTTTCCCTCAACTCGCTATGCGAGAGTGAGAAGCTGAAGCTAGTTGACATAGCTAAACGCCTCTTGAGCGCTGGTGCATCGCTGCATGAGAATGATGACCAGGAATCCATTCTCATGCAAAGCATCAAGTATGGGCATCTAGGCCTTCTCAAAACTCTACTCCAACATGGAGCAAATGTTCTGCACCGTATTCCTTCGAAACCAGACCAAGTCGAGCCCTATCACGGTCATCATAGCGTCATGTGGTACGCCGTTCAGTCCTCAGAGGAGGCCGAGGCTATGGAAACCATCTGCACACTGATTCACCACGCAAAGTTGACGTGGCCATCGTCTTCTACATCAGACTTTGTGACGATGGATGTCGTTATGGCTACTGCTGCTTATGGTTATGACCATATCTTCGAGATGCTATATAGCATCTGTCCCGGCATCGTCAAACTCGAGCACAACGGGTTTCCCGCTCTGCACGCTGCTACGCGTGCGAGACAAACGGAGACCTGTAGACTACTTCTACGTTTGGGGGCCCTCGTTGATGGCCCCGTGCACCCGGATCTACCCCCCCCACCGCTCTTTATTGCCTGGTTCAACGACGATGCCGACACTGCGGCGCTGTTGTACCAATCTGGGGCAAACAAGTCTCAGCGATACGCGACCTATCTAGCTCAAAATAATTGGTGCAAGACCAGTGATTTCTCCTACTACCTTCTACTGAACAAGTGGGAGAAGATCTTATGGGAAGAAACTGCTCATTTTGACGCGTCATGGCAGGCTTACAAAATACATGTCATATCCGGACAAGTAGAGGTCACCGGCAGATGGGCATCATTAGCACAGCAGGGAAAAAAGGTTCCTCCCCGATCTTTTTTTCGAAACGTACGCTCCAAGAATATCGAGGCTTTGCGGCAAGCCCTTAGAGCAAGAGTCGACCCCAATTGGATACGTAAAGGAATTACCGTTCTGCACGATTCTATGATCCCACGAGAATACGTAGAAGAGGGCTTCTGGTTGATAACTGAGAAGAAGATCTGCAAGAAAATGGCAACTGTTTTGCTCGACGCTGGAGCCATCTTAACCGGCGGTGAGGCACAGCGGGCAATTCTTCTGGATGACTGGGATTTCGCCAGATTAATCCTCCGGCAACAAACGTCAATGAGCGAGACTACTCAAAGCCCGCCATATATGTCACTGTTGGAGGCAGCGGTTCTGGCGGATCGCGCTTACACGCTGTTTTCAGTTCTGTCCTATACTGGCGAGAGGTACGACGCCGGAGCCCTCTGCACATCTGTTCTTCTCCAAGCTACAGGCGAAGATGATTGTGATGTTGAACATTTACTGAGTATTCGTCCTCAACATACGACGCCATCACCGCTAGAAGGCTTGGCTATCGGAATTGCAGCCTTGTACGACGACTGGGAACTGTTGGAGTTGCTTCTGGATAAGATCCAGACACCAGCTTTGGCAAGATTACCCAACGAACCGGACGCTAGGAGTAGCTATGGGTTGTCTCTTTACAACCCAGAAACACTCAAGCATCGTCTCGAGGCTGCCCTCAAGAACTCTTTCAGGAGTGCGATATCGTTTTGGCGCTCAGTTGATCAGGGGAGTCTAGACGGCTCGCCACTTGTGATGGCTCTCTGGTCCCCGACGTCTCTGTCCCGACTCCTCAAGCACGGATACCGCCCCGACAAGCTTACGATTTCTGCCGCAGTCATTCAAGAAAATACAGACGTTATCAAACAATTGGCAGAATTGGATTTGCAAAATACAAGTCATCCTTTTGTTGAGGGGCCAGTATCACTTGCTGTTGAGAAAGAAATGCCCAACATTGTCAGAGTTCTACTGGACGCTGGCTACGATGTAAACGAGAGCAACTACTGCGTCACATACGGCAGAACTCCGCTTCAAAGCGCAGTAGAGCGGAAAAACCTGGCACTCATTGATCTGCTTCTCGACGCAGGTGCTAGGGTCAACGAACCTGCAGCCAAAGACCGAGGCGCCACAGCTCTTCAGGTTGCAGCCAGCAACGGACGTCTCGGACTCGTCAAACATTTGGTGGACCGTGGGGCTGACATAAATGCACCGGGGGCTATGAAGAGCGGGAGAACGGCACTGGAGACCGCTGCCGAGAATGGGGGGATCGACGTGATTCAGTATCTCCTCAGTAATGGAGCGCAGACGACTGGTAAACAAGGTCAGCTGCAGTACCTTCGAGCCTACAAGTATGCTGTGGAAGAAGGACGCCTGGCAGCAGCAGATCTCCTCAAAAGCCACCGGCGTTGGACAGCAGAAGACGAGGCACTGTGGTCAAGGTTGGAGAAGATGTCGAAAAGCAGCTGTTCAGAGCTTGAGTCGAATGAGGAGGGCTCGCCAGGCGAACTTCAGCATCCGGATAATGATGGCGTCTCGGCTGCGTCTGCCGCGGGAACCGAATTGGCTAATGAATTGGAAGAGCTAGAGATCATGACCAAAAATCCATTGGACTTCTGGTCGCCCTGAGAAGCTGGAAGTAGGAGTAGAGATTATTGGCGTTGTCAGAACGTAGTTAGTGAATTCAAGTTAGATAATCAAGAAAAAAGAAATATGTAGCACGACCTGGTTTCGATCCAGGGACCTCTGGGTTATGAGCCCAGCGCTCTACCCCTGAGCTACCGTGCTTGTATTGGTTGTTGAGGTTCACTTGCGTTTGACCACCTAGGTAGGACGCAGTGGAGAGTGAGTCATCTCCGATTCAGATTTTTGACTTTGGCCTCAGTCCGGCTCCGCAGTGGAAACGTTGCAGTGAATGCTTTGAGGTCGGCGACGAGGGAGAACGATGGGGCGGATGGAGGGTCTCGTGAGATTGCGTCGTCCTGCATCAAGATCCGGGGTATCTCCACATCTCCAACCCATCCAAAAAGTCCCCGACAACAACTTTGAAACAATATCTTACAGCGCTTAATCATCGAACCCCTCAAACTCGTCGTCGTCCTTCGCCTGCCCAGCCGCCTTCGCCTGATTCCTCCTCCTCACCTCGGCAATCAGCTCGTTCAGCTCCATAGCCTTGATCTTCTCTTCATCCGTCATAGTTGACATCCTCTCCGCCTCCTTCTTGCGTCTCCTCTTCTCCCTACGTTCCGTCCGCACCTCGTCTCTGTCGGTCTGCTTGCTCCACGCCTCGTTGGTCTTGCGCTTCCTCTTCGCCTCGTTCGCCGCGGCCTCCTTCTCGCCGTTCCTCTCCGCTTCCATCGCCGCCTGTCGGGCGGCCTCGCGAGTCTTGTCCTTGTACGCATAGCCGTCCCAGTCGAAGCCCTCGTTACCGAGCCATTTGTCGCCGTCCCACGACTTCGTCTCGGGCATGCGCGGTAGGCGGATCAGGCCCCATGCCTTGCCGAGGTCGGCCCAGTCGAGGTCCTTGACGCGGAAGATGGAGGTCGTCTGGTGGGCGTTGTAGCTGCGCACCCAGCTGACGAAGGCTTTATGGGCCTTGTCGTTGTAGGCGCGGTCGCTGCGGAGGATGTCGCGGAACTTCTCGGAGGCTTCGTTGGCTTCCTCTTCGGAGACGACGACTTCGGGTTTTGTGAGGGGCTGGACAGGGGTCTTGCGGACTTCGAGGAAGGGAATGTAGTCCTCCTCGTGGCCGGGTTGCAGGAAGACGACGGAGAGACCCTTCCTGCCTGCTCTTCCGGCGCGTCCGCTTCTGTGGATAAAGACCTTGGGATCTGAAGGAGGGTCGACTTGGCAGACAAAGTCGACCTGGGGGATATCGAGGCCTCTGGCAGCGACATCTGTGCAGAGGAGGACGGATGGAGATACTGAGTTGACGAACTTGGCGAAACTCTTTTCTCTCGCCTTGGGAGGGAGCTTTCCGTGCAATGGCACGAGTGTGAAGCCGCTAGGGAGGATGGTAGGTAGGACGTGTTGGAAGTAGTCGACCGCAGCGCATGATGACAGGAACACGATGCTCCGCTGCGGGCGGGGGCTGAGGTTCTCCAGAAGCTTGCATAACGCTGGGAGCTTCTGGCTTGCTGGTGTGACGAGGTAGGACATTTGCAAGCTGATGGGCGTTTTCCGGTCTTCGATAATGCCGCCGTCTCTCAAACTCTTCACCCTGACCGCAATCTTGACGGGGTTTCGCAGACCAACTGTGATGATCTGGGATACGGCCTCCGACACCGATGCGCTGAAAAGACCCGTTCTCCTCTGCTTCGGCAGGTAGGAAAGAATTCTCTGGATATCCTGCTTGAAACCCATATCCAACAGACGATCCGCCTCGTCCATAATCATCAATTCGAAGGTCGCTTGCGTGCAGTGCACGTGGGGAGAGGCCAGGAGCTCAACCAGACGTCCCGGTGTGGAGACGAGAACATTGGGCGCATGTCTAACGAAGAAGCTGAGATCCTGCTGTGTCGTGGTGTTTCCACCGACGAGCAGCTGAGGCACGATTACGGGAACGGCGGTGTCGGGGCGCTTGTCGTCCTCCTTGAGATACGGGAGGATCTCTGCTGATGGTGGGTGGAAGCCGACGAGAGACTGAAGAACGGTGTGAATTTGGATTGCAAGCTCGCGAGTCGGGGAGACGACAATGGCGAAGACGTGACCGCGCTTCGTGGGCTCGGAGAGGCGCATGAGCTTTTGGACTAGGGGGAGGAGGAAAGCGAGGGTTTTGCCGGAGCCGGTGACGGCCTGCGAATGTCAGCACGGAGTCGCCTCGTCAATGTCTATACTGCCGGACCTCAACTACAACGTCCTTGTTTCCGAGGAACTGGGGAAGACATGCTGCCTGGACAGGCGTCATGCGCTGAAAGCCTTGGCTGGAGACGAAATCGAGGATCCATCTGCGCAAAGGTTAGCGGCGCGTCGTGTTAAGCAGACTCGGGGGTCGTACTCTGCCAGAGGAGGTGTGAGGCCGCGCCAGGACCTGGGGTCCTTCTTCTTCTCTTCGGGCGCCATTGCGAGAGTCGGTCAATCGAGTCGATGCTGTTCACATAGACTTTGCGCCTCAAATTCGGCTCTGCGAAAGACTTCAAGGCTGTCCGAGCTGGAGGGGCGGGCTGCTCAGAACTTTTTTTTTTGGGTTATCGATAAGAGGCGGATCTAATCGCTTATCGCTTATCTTATCTTTCTTATCATTCGACATATCCTCACGTGGCCATTTGCCCAATTACAGGCGTCCATGCCGCAAGACCTTGTCTGACCGCCCACGGACAAAGCTAGTGATATCATCCCGTCTTCCACCCAACCGTCTCGAGCCACTGTGAGTCGCGCGGGTTGCACAAGCACCATAGCCAAAGTGTCATTGAGCATGACATGCCACCCAAAAACTTTCAGCCATGATGCCAGCCCAAGCCAAGCCCACCCGCACTAGGCGGTCAGCCAAGAAATCAAGGAAAACGAACGAATTGTCTCTGGCGTACATGATGCAGCGGTCCATCAACGGCGGACATAGGAGCGAAATCCGCACAGAATCCACTCCCGACGAGCGACGAGGAGAACGACATGGAAGCGGCGGGATGGCCGGAGATGGCTTCTCACATGCTTGCCAGAGGCAGCCCGTAAAAAGCGCTGCCGTTCAAATTGGATCCAATCGCACCAAAGACCCCTGCGAATTGCCCGAAGGCCGTCCCTACCTCTAGGATTAGTCGCGTGCACCCGAACGGCCTGGTCTGGAGGGGCTTCGGGGCGGTGGTCATTCGGGCCTCGGCACACTGTGTTGCGGGTTATTGAGACTGTGGTTGTCTATGGTTCATCCTTGGGAGACATATATGATGGTCTGGATGATATCTTAGTTGGACCTTGAAAACAAAACGAACCATTTCACTACGGAGCTGTTTCCATAAATGCTAATCTTGAATAAACCGAGTTGAGAGCATCCTTAGATATTGAACAAAATAAAAAGAAAGGCTGGATGTTCGTCCAAACACCAAGTGGGCTTACTAAGAAACAGTGTCACCGCCCTGACACACAGTACGGATACGTCGCCCAGGAAGGTACTCGGTACCTCGCTGCTAATAGACCTTTCGGCGAAAAATCCTCTCCCACCTGAATGTCAGAGTAAGGTATTGGCACTGGACTCGCAGCACAACAAGACACCGACGATCCGGTCCAAACTCCAGTTCCTCGTTTTAAACACATGTCACGCCGTCTGCTGACCGACCGCATGTTGGCGTGGTCTTCTTCTTCCCCTTCCCAGCCTGCTTCAACATGCGGCGGAGTTGTTCTCTGCTGCATCCTCAAACATCACCCTGGATCCAATAACCACAGCCGCCTCCCTTCTCGAATCCCAGGCCCAGCATAGCCATAAACGTTGTTCACGTTTCGACATATTTCACACCCACGCCCACGCCCACGCCTACGCCTCCCACGCCGCCGCCGCCTTGTCCCCCCACGACGCACGTATCTCCAGAAGAGACAGACATATCCGGTCCTCACCTTGGCCTCTTCAAAGATTCTTCCTCCCCTTCCAACGCATCTTGACGGGAGCAGTCTCTTGTCCTGCTCTGCCACCATTTCCTTACAACATGTCTGTCCGCGCTGTGCCCTCCACACCGCGCGTCATCTCTCCGAGCCCGACACCCTCAGAGATCGATGCATCGTCAGAAAACTACTTCGGTCCGACAACGAGATCGGCAACGAGGAAACGCCTCTCCACTCCTCAGCCGGTGGATGAGCAAGAGGATGAATATGAGCCCACGACAATGCGCAGATCGCGCACACGGAGTCGCTCTCCTATCGAGTCCCGCCGAATCACACCGATGACCACCGTCAAGTCGCAAGCGAAACCACCCAAATCGCCCGTCATCCCGAGCGAGCCGATTACAAATGGCCTCGCCGTCAACGGCGAAGTGAACGGCAACGTCAACCGCAACGGCAATGGCAAAGCCCCGACGGCCAACGGCCACCTCGCCCCTCCGTCCGCCGCTCCCACAGGCTGGAGCTGGCGAGACTTCAGCCGAAGCCCCAGTCCGCTGGGCTTGATACCTATTCACAGGAAATGGAGGACATTTGTACACAAGCATGAGGTACCGAGGAAGGTGCTGCACGTCTCGATCGGTTTCTTCACACTCTGGCTCTATGTGTCGGGTATCCAGACGAGCTCGGTCGCACCATGGCTCATGGCTGCGCTGATGCCTATCGCAACGGCCGACTACCTGCGTCACAACTACGCCTCATTCAACCGCTTCTATGTCTCGGTGCTCGGCGCCTTGATGCGTGAGAGCGAATACGCAGGCTGGAACGGTGTCATCTTCTACCTACTCGGCGCCTGGGCTGCACTTCGTTTCTTCCCCAAGGACATCGGCGTGATGGCCATCCTGCTCCTAAGCTGGTGCGATACAGCCGCCAGCACTTTCGGCCGACTCTACGGCGCGTATACCCCGCGCATCCGCCGCGGCAAGTCGCTCGCGGGATCAACGGCCGCTTTCATCGTCGGCATCGCGTCTTCCTACTTCTTCTGGGGCTGGCTGGCACCGAAGACAGGACCTTTCCCCGGCGACGAGCAGTACCCGTTCATGTTCACCGGAGCGCTCCAGCTACCCCGCGCCATCGCAAGCGCCGTGGGGCTGTCGGATGCTCAGGCCACCATCACCGGACCGCTAGCGCTTGGGGTCATGGGCTTGTGGTCAGGCTTTGTGGCGGCCGCCAGCGAGGTAGTGGACATCTTCGGCTGGGATGACAACCTGACGATTCCGGTGCTCAGCGGGGCCGGTATTTGGGGATTTCTTAAAATCTTTGGCTAGAAGGGCTGGGGAATAGATGGACGGAAACCAAAAAAGATACACTAGCTCACTCACCGATTGCTAGCGTAACGACGACTAGCACACCGACGGCAGTGGGCTATGAGGCGGGGAACGATACCAGCCTCCACCTGGGGAGAGGTTGGAAAGGGTGCTGTTTATCTAGCATGGTATGACGTTACGATTTCTGATCGTCGCTGTACTCCAAAAGAGACGCGACAGTTGGAATCCATTACGCCGTGCTGGATGAGGGCGCTCTATGCATGATTTATCGGCGTATCATCGTGTCCATTGGAGTCAGAATCGGGGGAAGGGGAGTCGGGAGGAGCATGGCATAGGAGGTCGGCGGGGGAGAGGAAACATACCATCGTCACCAACAACAGTGTACTTTTTTTTCTTTGGATCGCGATACAGGAACGGACATATCTATGGGAGCAAGGACGAACGTATGGACGACTGAGATGTCCGGACCCAAGGGTATATAATGCTAGCTGCTATTATAAGATAACGAACAGAGTTTTCCCTCTTCTCTCTCTCACCTTGGATGCCGCTGCCCATTCAATGACCTATCTGACATGCATTTTCTGGCGCGATCACACTGGGACAAGGATGAGGCTATGAGCAATTGTGCCATCCGAGGCCATCGAAGCGATCACGTCTCGTCACTCGGCCGCCGAGGAAGCACAGGAGATCGACCACTCCAGTGCGACCGTGGAGTTGGACCGGTGTTCTTGATCAAGTCGCATGCGGTAGATTCTCGCGGATTAGGATCTCTGTCCGAATCGCGCCCACACACATCTCGGATAATATCCAGCCAGCGGGCGAAGGTGAGGCGACGTGGTGTTTGTCGTCGTTCCTTCGTTCGTCGCACCGCGTCCGCATCCGCATCCGCATCGCAGCGGCAGCAAGAACACAGACCTTGCCGAGGGCGGTGCTGAACCTGCTTCTCGAGCGGGTTTGTCACGTCGTGCAGCTGTCGGAACGGGGATTTTCTGGCCCTAATTTTTCCTTGTTTTCTTACATGTGCGAATTGTCTCTCTCACCGATCTTTTTATTCCGAGGAAGGATTCGAGGGGTACGGCATTTGGCAGGTCACGAAGTTTACGAGGGGGGGACACACGCAAGCGGAAGGGTTTTTTTTTCTGATGGGCGACGCGATGCGCGCGTGAGAGTGATGGGAGAGGGAGGAGGAGGAGGCGGAGGTTTGATTGACCTTACACGACGGTCGATCCGTGCAGGAAATGCGGTGCACTGCTGCTTCGATGCGTTTGCGCTTTCTGATGAATTCCCGGATGGATGGGGGAATGGATGGATGGGTATGGGTATGGCGTGGCGTGGCGTCTGGCAGTAGAGGCTTGCATCTGCAATGATTTCTTGCGTCCAGTGTATTTAGGATAATCTGTTTGGAGGAGAGGGTGAGAGATCACTGACTGGGCTTGCGATTTGCTTGGATGAGAGGCGACGCGGTGAGAAAAGGGTGATGCGGAGGGGTATGCGAGTGTATCTGCGGGAATTGGGGGAAATAGCCCGTCGATTCGGGGGAATGTAACGTCGACAGCGAATCTCTCTGGAAGGAAGAATAGAAGAAGGGCGGCGGCGGCGAGTGAGTGGGATGGGAGGTTCATGTTGGTTTAGATGCGCTGCTCATGGGGGCGGAATCCTTCAGTCGTCCAGTGAGGTTGTGCCCCATCATCACTCACTCTCCATGGCTCGCCTTGCCCGTCTTGGTTTGACTGCATCCCGTCTGCATCTCGGGCTTGCGTTTCGTTGCGTTGCGTTTGCGGCGCGCGGTGCGGTTCATGTCATGGCATGTTGCATGTGTGTGCATGTGTGTATGTGTTGTCCCACCCCTTTTCGAAAATAGAGGGCGGTTTGCCATGCGATTCCGAGATTTGGGGATACAGCAGGGCGGAAGAGAAGCAGGACCCCGGTATGTTTTGAGGAGTGCCGTGTGTGGGTTTTGGTGTTTTCGGTCAATCACTCATTTTCAACTTCTCATTCTCATGAGAGATAATTAATGAATGTCACTTAAGAAAAGAAGGTTTAGTAGGCACGTTTCCCGTAGCACAGACCGTTTCCGTTTCAAATGTGGCCGTCCTCTTCTTACCTATGTCTTACCTCACTCACTCACTCACTCACTCACTCACTCACATGGCTTGCCGTGCTAGTGAGCGGTATCTCGGAGTTGATGATAGTGCTTCTGGGTCAGTGCCAACGGTTACCCTTCCGATTCACTCTTGAGTCTGAACAAAGACCGAGTGGCGTTTTCGAGTCTAGACAAGCCTCACAGAAGAGGTACTGGCCGTTGGTGGTTGAACCACTCACCTCTCATGCAAATCCAAGCCCTGTCATCCAGAGACATTGCTGACCTATGGCCGCTTTTCGATGCCTCATCCTGACCTCCCTTGACGCCATGACTGTCAAGTTCTAGTCCTACTGCAACACCATCCAACTAGTCGACTTCGAGAATGGCCGTCAACGAAACATCCACCAGTTCTCTGCCATCTCCGTGTGTTTAAAGTGCCGTTTGACTACTCAGAAATGGGTACCCAAGGTCGGCGGTGGATCCCGGGCGCACATTCGCATGGAGGGCAAGTCATGCCCCTCCCCCTCCATCACTTGCTCAAGGTACACGCCCACACCGAAGAACCTCTCTTCCGGCTCCGGATCACCAACCCGGCAAGCCTTGGTCTTCCGTCTGGACGACGAGTTTCTCTCTCTTCTCACAAGATTCTTTCTTTTCCAACAAGCCCAGACGTTAGATACCTCCAGGATGGCCCTGGCTGAATCCTCATGCAGTCAACTCACCCCCTCCATCCACGCTCAGTCGTTTGCTTCCAGAACGAAGTTCGTCATCCGGGGCTACCTTGCGTGGGGCATCTCGGGTCCCTACCGGCCAAGGAGACTGAGAGAGACACACCCGGCGAACCACGGCCGGATGTAGGAAGACCCATGAAAGACGGGTTAGCGGGTTCGCGTGTCGGCGTTTGACCGTTGCCTGTCACGCCCGCGTCACCCCTGCGCCAGACATGCGCACATAGGACATACATGTCTTCAAGTGACGACCTCACTCGCTCTAACTCTCAGCAGAGTGCCATTGGGGTCTGGCTCATGGTACCGGTTGTCGAGAGAAGTTTCACCTGTGTGCCTCGCTGGATGCCTTGTCGTGCTCTTGCATCTCAGGTCCCACCCCAGGGCCCAGTCGCTCCAACACGATTCGAGAAGGGAAAACGTTCCCATTTGCAAGTCCCGGAGGGCGTTACGGCGTATGATGGCGCACGACATGCTCACAGGAATTGGGGGTGACGCGAAACCAATGCGCCGCTAGATCAGATCGGAAAAAGGGCCTGCTCTCATGACATTGGGCGGAGAGGGGCGTTGGACCGTGAGAGGAATCCCGATGATGATGCCGTTTGCTCTCATTGGGCTTCTTCTCTCGGCTTTGGGTACCTCTGCGTTGTAAGGTGGAATTTGGGCTGCCTCTGAACCGTCGACGGGCTGACGATGACGGAGCGGAGGCGTGGGACTTACTTACACCGCCGCTCTTGGGAGGGAACTGCAGATGTAAGATTGCCCAGGTAACTTGCTTGCGTCGTCGTCTCCGTCCGGGCAGCTGTACTCTGTAGCTGTATCAGCCCTTTTGGACGTGTGAGAAAACGGTTCAAAGTCTCGAGTGTAATTTCGGCTTTTCGAGGTGCGTTTCTGAGCTCCATCTCTTCGCATGTCTTTCTGGAGATGCATATGTACACCCCCGTCGAGAACGAACTGATGGGCCTTGAATTGGGAGTGACCCCCTCACACCTCGCATCGGTGATGGATGCTCAGAGGGGCGAATTTCCAGCAAGTCGGCGCCGCTTTTCTGCATTTATGTCCAATGAGAATTGTAAAAAGTGCGGCGATTAAGCCGAGAAGGCCCCCGGTCGACTTTCTGCATCGCTGCATTTATTGCAACCTAGGGGCTGGTACAGGGGGGTCTTGGAGCCCTACCGGAGCCTTGGGCAAGTCAAAGACTGATAAAATCAGGGAGTAGATTCGTTTTGCGCCAATGAAAAATCCGAGAAATGAACAGATATCGAGTCAATCAGGAGGGGCAGAAGTCTCAAGTTGAGAGTGTCAGAATGTCAGTGGGAAAGGGTAGACAGACAGAGACAGCTCAAGAGGCCTAATTGGGAAACGGCCAGCCAACAGCCAACCAAATAGAATCCCGTAGGAATAAAGAAATAAAAATAAAATAATGCAGGTTAGACTAAAATAATAAAAAAAAGAACCAATTGATTAAAGAAAGAATTAAAGAAAAAGGACCGCGGTCCTCAATCTTGACAACGCATCACCACATAAAATGCCCGAATCTGCTGCACTTCTGCCTGACCTGACCCCGGGGTTAACTACAGGATACTTGCCTCAAGTCTGCAATTCAGTCGCATCGCATCCGCAAAGCATCATCCACCGTTTTCAAGATGGTTCTTTTTCCATTCGACATCTATCTACCTAGGTAGTTGATCAAAGGACCGATCAACATGGCATGGGTCCTTTATTCTCCCGCATTCCCGATTCTCCCAAGGTGGTCCGCTTCAGTCCAACGAGACGACGACACGAGCCGGGTGGGAGTGGAAATCCCACGCTGCTTTTATCAACTGCTTTAAACAGCCAAAGTACATGCTTGGCTTGGTTCCGACGTTGGAGTTGGTACCAGGTCTTTTCTAAGTTCTTCCTGCCGTACATTGCCGTACCGTCGTTGAACACGCAGACGAAGAAGGCATACCCGGAAACTTGTAAGATACATACAGGAACAGGAACGCCAGGTTCGTTCGCAATTGCGAACGAGGAAAACGGAGAGAGGAGAAATGGCCCCCGGCAAGCCAGACCCCGTTACATGACCATCCCATCCCATCCCATCCCATCCTTTTTTTGACTTCTGTCCTGTTCCTAACCTGCCAACCTACCTCCCCTGCCCTGCCCTACTGCTCGACCTTATCCTATCCTATCCTCGTTCATCCCAACCCAACCCGTCCCTCCTCGTCCTTGACTACGCACCCTCGTTGGACCAGAGTTTCGATCAACGACGGCCCACGCGTTTCCCCGCGGCCCCGGCTTTATTTGACTCTGTCCTGACGTTTACCGCCTTGTACCTCCACCAGTCCGAGGTGTTTGCTGCCTCTGGTGTATCTCCTCCCCACGTCCACATTCCTCGGCCTACGGTATTCCATTTTCTCTCTCCATCCGCCGTCACGAATCAGAACACACCCCTCCCCAGACATTCAATGGTCTTTCCGGCTCGTGTCTGACTGGGTCGATGGGAAACATTCGACCCGCATAGCTTCCGTCATACGTACTCTCCCTCCGCCCGTCTACGGATACCGTCTACGGTCCATGGCGTGGCCACCCCCGGAAGGCCGTCGTCGTTCCATCCCGGCAACCTAACGAGCTTCCGTTTGCTCGCCCTCCGAGGTCCCAATGGATGTCTTACATCCACGCCTCACCCTTGGACACCACCTCCCTTGCCCTCGAGCTAAGGCAACCTCTTCCCATCTTGACACCGCACGGGCGTGGGCAAAAAGGGCAGGAAACCCTTCACGCCATGGCCGTCCTTGCTCACAGAGCCCCATGCCCCTGGCTTGCAGATGCAACCATTCTCTCCTTGCCTTACCTCAGTAGGTTAAAGTAGTTCGGCGGGATACGTTTTGAAGGTGGACGTATGTACACTACCTACCTGACCTGACCAGACCTTTACCTCCCCTGCTTTACCGGTCCCACCAAAGTTGTGTGTGTCTCTCTCTGCAATGCTCTTCGGCGCCGTTTTACACGACATGCCTTACATGGCTTCATAGCCCGCATTTGTCTTGCTGCTCTTCGCCGCTCTGCCCCGGCTAGTCCGTGCCAATTTTTCAGTCTCTGTTTCGTTTCTCTTTTTTCCCCCTTGGCCCCCGGCTGTCATCTCTCTCATACCCGGATATTCCAGACAGATCCATTGCCCCATCCGGGCCACCCATCCTCCATCGTGGTCCATCTCCACCAATACGACCCATGATAGTCGCCCCTCGGCATATGCAGACACCTTGCTCGGTTCTTTCATTTGCCTTCAATACTTTTTGCTATTCTATTTGAGTTTTTTTTCTCTCCATGAGAAATGGAAACTCGGCCTGCAGATGTAGCCATCTGTTTCCCTGCTTTCTCCTTGGCCAATGGCTCTGTCCATCACCTCACACGTCGTCCGTTACCACCCCCCAAAGCTCCACACCCTCGACACCACCACCCCGTCCCTCTCGTCGATGGATATCACGTCCACCCCGCGAGCAACAGCTTCGAAGCAAGCAGAACGCGGGTCAAGACAGGGTTTAGCCTCTTCCACTTCCCTGTCACTAACGCACAGGCTAGCCAGGCCCAGGCAGGTCGACCGGCTTTTGATGTTCATGGCCGTCCATGTCATGTCGTCGCTTGTCTGCGGCCATTCTCACCATCCCATCACATCATGCCCTTGGACCATTCCGTCCGTTCCCTCCCTCGGGCGGGGTTCGATGATGAACAGCCACGGCCTGCCATCGGACGAATCCAGGCTGGATGTCTTATCCCCCGAACAAACAAGAGATGGAGTCCGGGAGGGTCTCGGAAAAAGTATAAAAGGGCACAACTTGAGCGGTTTGGATAGCTGTTCTCCTTCTTCCTTTCTCATCAACATCTCAGACCGTCAAGCAAGCTTCTGCTCAAGTCTATCAAGTCGTTCTCATAAACTTCATCAAAGCAAGCACCTTCCTTGCGCTCTGTCTTACCAAGTGGCCAGTCATTCCCAGTCCACAACGCATCGAACTTTAGTCATCCCTTGTTTGCTTCAAACAAGTTCCCACATCGCACACCCACACGTCACAAGTCCTCTTCGTCGTCGTCGTCGACTTATCCGGTTTGCCCATCATGTCTGCCCACTACAACTCCTACGCCATCCCCATGCCCGTCCCCAACCACAAGGGCCAGCAATACCCCAGCTACAGCAGCACCTACTCGGTCTCGCCCCCAGAGACGGACGAGTCCGTCAGCTCAGGCACCGGCCCTTCCTACAGCAACAGCGGATACTCTACCGGATACTCCGTCGCCAACTCCAGCTACGCCGGCAGCAACAGCGGTGACTTTGAGAGCGCCCACTCCGCCAGCGGCGTCGACTTCAACGACTACATGCAGGACCGCTTCGCCCAGACCTTTGACCCCATCCCTCTGGATCGCAACATCGCGGTCCAGGCGCAAACGTGAGTTGAAAGATTCCAATCCCCAAGTGGGACTCCGGTGGCCGCGCGGCAACGCCCGGAAACCCGAAAGATATCGGACGGTTCGCTAACCGGAAACCTGAGAAACAGATCAGGAAAGCTCAACGCAAAGCACCGTGAGCTGCTGGAGCTGCAGAAGAAGGCGCAAGCCCGTCTCGCAAAGACGCGCGAGCGCTTCAACGAGGGTTACCGTGACGCTCAGGACGTGCGCGCGGACCTCGAGTGGACGCAGAAGAAAGTCACGTAAGTTTTGACACCATCCATCTCAATTCCGAGGTCCGAGAGGCGCGCAAGCAAAACCTCGAAACACCTTCTTGCGGAAAAGAAAAGATTGGCGATCGGCCCGGAGATCTCAGCAATTTCCACTTCCTGCGAACCAGCGGGGGGAATAAGGAAAAAGCGGGTTTCGGTGGCATCGATCGGAATCCGGGAGAAGCAGAAGCTTGAAAATGAGAGGCAGCGGCAGCGGCTGCGGCTGCAAGATCTGAGACACAAAGCGGCTAACACGAAGGTTTGGCGCAGATCGCTCAAGAGCAAGACTTCTCGCAAGCACACCAAGGAGTACAACAAGGCGCGCGCTCGCTACCCTTCGCCCGAGTACTAGATGCTCGCCAGCTCTTCAGCCGCGCGAAATCGTGGACGTCGAGCGAGCAGCGTCTCTTCAGCCTTATTCCTTTTCTAGCGTGTCATTTTCAACTACCACCAAAAGCAACCTCCACACCACCAAAAACGCACGACATACATGCCGCAAACATCCCTGCCTGCGCAGAACTGCAGGAACGAAGATACCAGCATTCCGGATTTGCTTTGCATCTCTCCTTTTTAATCAGGACACACCTCCTCCACCTTTTTTACGGTCTCTTTTTTTCTCGGGTACATATTGGGCTGGTGAGGGGGGGAAAAGCAGAGACAGGGGCCCTGGGCGAACCTGACAGCCGGGAGGCATGTTGACGCGCAGCGGCACGGCGCGGGGCGACCATGGGGCTAGCCGCCCATCTCACGCTGCTTTTGCGAGCTGGGCAGGCAACGGGCGACGAGCGAGCCGTGTGAGACGTGGGGATGATGGCGGGGAGGATTCCCGCCCGCGTGGGAAGACCCTCCACACCTTTGTCCTCCACACACACGCGAGCTCGTTTTCTCTCCGCGGCCCCTGGCTAGTCGTGTGGGTTTGCCGGGCTGTTTCCCTGCTCCTTTGAGACCTTGTTTGGGGGAGTTTGTTTACGGGACGGTTACGAGATATGATTGGACGAATAGTTTTGATTCTGGGATGGTAGCGTGGTTAAAAGTACACCTCACCCCCTCCTTTCCGGGGCCCAGGGCAAGCGCCCGAAAGCTGCAGTAGGCGAGGCCCCATGGCGCCGAGAGATCGGTTCTGTGGAGTCGAAGGGCCTGGAGAGGAGACAACGGTGACTGAGAGGCGGCCAGGGAGGTAAAATTGCGGCGGCAATGTGTCAAAGAAGTAGGCGCTTGTCCTTTTCGGGGCGGTGGGATATTGCTCTTTCGGGAAGGGTGACGAGGGCGAGAGGTGATGGATCTCTTGGGCAGGCGTGGATATTGTTCCTTTGACACCCGGGGCGGTTCTCTAGTGATGACAGGGCTCTCCGTAGCGAAATCGTAAACCTCTTTCATGTTCCGTCAAGGGGCCAGTAGACGGGGGCTGCTGGTCCGTAATGTCCTCCCCCATAGCAGAGCTGTGCCCTGCAGACCGTCCAGATGATACCGTAATAGACCCCATATCCACAGCCCAGCCGCCGTGGAGGGTTGAAAAACCAATGATGTACCATGTGGTGTGCTGAGATCCCTCCATGCCCTGCTCCGCCATGCCCTTCTCCTTTGGGGTTGTGATATCACGTGACGTCGGTCTGGGTCTGACGATGTGATGTTGATATACCCATAGCCAAGGACATGATGGGCAAGACTGTTATGCGCTAGTCGAAGTTCGATGAATAGCAGCCATATGTTCCGCCATTCCACAGTTCAGTTCCAGTCACGGCACACCAGCAGCCTGCCTCTTTGAAGACGAAGCGACCTCCCCAGCCCGACCTCTCATGCTCAACTCGAGCACCTCCCACGGGTCCTCGTTGGACCTGGGGTCGTAGTACCCCTCATACCAATGCTTGTCGCCGGGGTGTTGAAGGCGCGGGGGCGGGGGGTTCCGGTTCCGTTCCCTCATATTCCGCTGATACAGACTCCGCGGCGTCAAAGTCTTCGGCGCCGCGCCCATCTCCGTGCCCCACGAAGCGTTGGGTCTCTGAGGCAAGCCCGACGGCGCGGTGGCGACGGGCTGCGGAGCGACGCCGTTCTCGCCGCCGCCTCCCGCGGCGATGCCTCCGCGGGTCGCCAGCTCGTCGATCAGACTCTGCGCGTGCGCGAGCGCGGGGGCGACGGCGGGGTCGGCGTAGAGGCTCGCGCCGCCGCCGTCGTCGTCTTGTGCGTCTCTGTCGGCTTCGTTGTCGTCGGAGTCGAGGGCTATCTCGTCCGTGTTTGCGGCTTCGGGAGCGGTGGTGGAGGTGGAGGTGGTGGTGGGAGGCGCGCGGGGTGCGAGGGCGACTTGGTTCGCGCCGGTTGCGGAGGAGGAGGAGGCGACGGCGTCGGTTCGGTTGTTGTATTTGCGCTTCTTCGCGGACGGTTGCATTCCGAAGGAGGAGAAGCCCATCGCGGCTGCCATTTCGGGGTCGAGGTCGGAGGGGTCCATTGTGGCGGTGAGCTGTGGTGAGGGTTCGCGGGGACGTGGGGAGGGTTGTGTTGGAGTGTTCTTTGACGCGACGAGACGGTTCAATGAAGTCGGGCTCGTGGCTTGGTAGATTTCAATCGAGTCGGCGATGATGGCGATGGCAGGAGAGAGACGGCGTCGAGGTGATGAAAGAAAATGAGCAGGAGCTTGGGGCGCGGGAAGATCCGTGGCAAGGGCGGTTGAAATAACCTAGCGAAGACCCTTGCTCGGGACTGGGGCGCTTAATTTCCAGGTTCGTGGGGAGCTCTTTGGGGGTCCTGGACAGTAGATGTCGTCTGGTTTCAAGTCGGGTATTTGCGGCTGTTGGACGACCTATTGGATACAATTGGTGATTGGGTTGCTGGCGAATCAGACTTTCATTTGAGGTGTGATTTCTGTGTGGTGCGAATTGGATGGGTGAAGAAGCTGTGGTCCGGGCTGCTGATGTCATTTTTTGAAACGCGTAGCTGGAACGAGGACCCCTGGCGCGGATCACGGAGCTTTGGGCGGCGGTTTGTAGTCTTGATCGACTACGAAACAATCTTCCCTTTCGCATCTCTTTTTGGCGTATCTGCGATATAATCAATCATCCATCGAATTGCTCCCCAAATATCTATATGAGAGCTACCGAACACCTAATACTCAACTAATATTCCTCCCGTTCCGGCGAGCTTCATCAAGCTCCTTGACCACCATCCAAGATGGCATCACCACCGACGACCATCAACCTCATCTCTCCCTCGAAATACACCTCCTCCCCGCCGTCGACCTTCTCCCCGCCCCCGATAGACTGGCTCCTGCGCACCTGGACCGTCACCCACTCCACGCTGGCCATGTGGCGCGACGCCCGCAACGTGCGCATCTCCTACGCCGCCCTGCCCGCCAAGCCCGACGGCACGGCCCGCATCGACGACCTGGTCGAGTACGAGTCCAACAAGAGCACGCCCTCGACGGGCGTCAAGTCCGTCAAGGGCGTCGACACGGCCTCGCGCCCCGGCGGCGACACCTCCGCCTGGGACTGGAGGGGGAAAGGGTGGTTGTTCTTCGTGGGCAGCCACTGGGAGGTGCTCGGGTGGGGGGAGAGGACGACGGGGAACGGGGAGACGGAGCGCTGGGCCGTTACGTGGTTCGCGCCGACGCTGTTTACCAAGGAGGGCGTCGACGTGTACTGCGATCGCAGGGAGGGGCTCAGTGAGGGGACGTACAAGGAGGTTTTGGAGGCGTTGAAGGGGTTGGAGGCGGGTGAGGTGGCGAGCATGGTTGAGAAGGATATGTTGCCTGTTGAGATTTCGTTGCCGTGGAAGGAGAGTTAGGGGTGATGTGACGAGATAATGCGAACCTCTTTATGTTCTCTATCGGCGTTTTGCTTGGGCTTGTTCTCTCTCGGGAAACGTCAGTCTTGCGCCTCTTTTGAGTTGGATTACCTTGGAATGACATATCATATATAAATGACAATCCCCTAAACGCAAGTCCCTTGTCCCTTGCCGCCAGCTCTATTCATCGAGGTGCTGACCAGCGAGACCGATTAAGACGAATGTGTGTTGAGTCCATCGATGCCGTGATAGTTTCTATGACTGTGGGATCACCAAGGCGACAGTTGACCCATACTATGTCTGACCGCTAATGCGGAACGAATAATGTTATAAGAGAAACAAACAACTTCTAACTACGGTTTGATCGAAAAACGAAACCCCTCCTTTACAGTCACACTGTACACCCAGGAGGAAATACCGATAACTTGTTGTTCGGAGCAGCAGGCATCTCGATCGACAGCCAACCTTCGTACCCTGTGTGTAGCGAATACTTTGCAATAATCAAAAGACGACGGCGAGTACGGTCAATCACTTCGGTTCGCGTTCGACTTCTTAATCACGCTCTTCCCTGAGTGAGAATGCTGCGACATGTCCACCGTTGCCAGCTTAAAACGTATGTGAGGCATGGATATATCGACAATGAGATGTTGTCCTTGATCTCTTGGAAATAACAGAACCAAAAGCTCTTATATACTGATTCTCATACCCAACGTAGATCAAGTTCGAGCACAGGCAGTACCATCCAGTTCACCTAGCGCTTGGCCGAAGTCTCTCATTCTAGCTCCAGCCTCATCAACATCTCAAAAGGAACAAAACTGTCGAATCATCGTTGGCGAAAACTCGACACCAGCCTCTCAGCGCTTCATGGCCGTCAACCTATCTCTTATCTCATGCACGAGGAGACGAGTCAAATGACTTCAAGTAGTTGTATTGGAAAGAATTCATTACTATCTTAGCACCATTACCATTACTTCCTCCTTCGAACTCAAACGAACGAATTGGGTATACTGCAAAACATATTGAGTGCAACCTGGTCATGCCGATTTGGGGTATCGTCTCCTGAACAGGCTGTACGCCCTTTCCTCCTCTCCTTCTCTGTCGTAAAAGTACATTGTGTGTTTTTGAAGATTTTCTGGTGTTGTATATGTCGTGCAAGCAGGGGTATTTGTAAAGCAAAAGCAGTCGTGTCGGGGATCGTCATAGCGCAGAGGGGCGTGTCGGTGAAACAACGAAGTCATCGCAAAGGTGAGAGCCGAAAAGGGGCCGGCTTAATCAGTGGGACCAAGCTGTTCCAAGCACGACAACCTCTGGTCAGCACTAGGTGCAAACTCAAATGTTTTCGATCACACGAGAGTTGATGGCTTGCTGGAAGCCGGAGTCCTGACCTCCAAAGTCACTGTAGCTGACGTCCTTGGAGCCGCCTTGGGCGCTCGACTCGCCAGTCGGGTTCTTGGCGAGCGCTTGCTGGATGTCGGGCATGGTCTGGTTCGCGGCGGGCAAGAAGATGACCTTGCTGTTGGCAGACTTGGCCATCGCCTGCATGGCCTCGAGGTAGCGGATCTGCATGGCGGGAGCAGAAGACAGAATGTCGGCAGCCTGGCGCATGAGCTTGGCGGATTCGACCTGATGAAGGTTAGTATGATGCTCGTACTACATGGGAGTGATTTGGAGGCATACCTCGGCCTTGGCGGCGATGATCTTGCTCTCACCGATACGCTTGCTCTGGGCAGCCATGGAGAGCGACTCTTGCAACTCCTGGCTGAAGATGATATCCTTGATGAGCATGCTCTCGACCTGAACACCCCATCCGGCGGCGACATCTTCTATGATCTCGCCGACGGACTGGGCCATCTCCTCTCGGCGCTCGATAACGTCCTGCAAGATGCGGGCACCAACGACGTGGCGGAGAGTGGTCTGGGTACGCTCCATGAGAGCCTGGCGGACGTTGGAGATACCGAAGGCGGCGCGGTGAGGGGCGACGATGTGGTAGTAGATGACCGAGGTGAGGTGGAGAGTGACGTTGTCCTTGGTCATGCAGGTCTGCTGAGGGACTTCGGCGGTCTGAATCTTGACGTCGACCTGGATGAGGCGCTCGCTGAGAGGGTTGACCTTGACCAGACCGGGGTCGACGGCCTTGTAGAACTTGCCGAACTTGGTGACAAGACCAACGTTACCCTGTTGGACGTTCTTGTAGGGGTTCGGGCAGACGACGCAGCAGGGGATGGCACCCATGGTACCGATGCAGGAACCAACAGCGTTGACTGGGCGCATTGTTAGAATACGGTGATGTCTAATAAGATGGGGATGGTATAGGACGTACTCATAGTTCCGTACCAGCCCTTAGGGTTGGCGTCGTTCTCGACGATGGTAGCGTAGCTGCGCTGCAGGTCCTCCTTGGTGGGAGGCTGGACGGTCATACCGCCCTGGGGCTTGAAGCCGACGACATTGTTGCCGTTGGTGGTCTCGGAAGCAGCGTGGTCATGGTAGTCGGGAGCGCGGCCCTTGCCGGTGGAGGAACCCTCGTGGTGGGGGGCTGTAGCAGTAGCGCTCATTGTGGCGGGAGAATTCGATCGCGATGGGGTTGAAGATGTTTGTAGCAGTCGGCGCTGGGAGTTGCTAGACGATGATGAAGCTTGGTGGATATTATCGTGGGCTTTGTCGATGGATTCGGAGAGATGAACCATTTGGAGTGACTAGAGAGCCAGAAGGATGGGGATGGGGTGCTTAAGTAGTTGATGTGTCACGGCAGATGAACAGATGTTTCGAGGAGGAGGATTGGTATCGGCAGACGGCTGCCCAGACGGAGAAAGACAATGAAGGATCATAGAGAGCGGAAGAGCCAGGGTTCTCATGTGGGCTGTGTTTGCGCCCAGGAGCTTTGGTCTCTTTTGGTGCGGAGAGAGCTTACCTTACCTAGGTACTTCCTGCTGTCTTTCCCCTTCCCTTTGGGAGCTTGGGAGCACAGGAAAGAATACGTACTCGTCTTGGTTTGACATTGTTGAATCATCTTTTTGAATTTCGGTGGCACTCAGTGTGCCATTGCCTCTGGTGATAGGTCCATTTGTGCCTGCTGCAGCTGCAAATGCGCCGGCAAAAGTGGAGCAGGGGTCTCGTGCAGCAAGAGAGACATTGGAGGAAGGTGCAGTCACACTGGTGGCCTGTTGGGCAAGGATTTCCTCCAAGTGGGGTCCTCTTGGTTAACCTTGCGGGGCAGCGCCTCCCCCAAAACCCACAATAAAGTGCCCGACAGTGGAGAGACTGGAGATACTGGAGAGTAAGCAAGGGCACCGCCTACGAAGCGAAGATGGAAGCAGCGAACCATGGAGAGCTCAAGATGTTCGTGCGGTCGCGATATTTCTTCCAGCATCACCAGGTTCCTCACCCAACAACACCGCCCATGTCCTCCCCCCGAATGGCCCGGAGGGCGACTTCATGTTCTTGTGGTGGTGGCAGGACTACGACGATGCAACGGCTTGACTTTTCACTGCGCATCCAATCACGATTCATCCGTCTGACTTGCAACTGCCCCCTCACATACCACCATCGGCTTCTCTCATCCGCAGACCGAGCGCCGCGCCCGATCAACCAGAGAGAATATCAACCTTCACCTCCGCATGCGCCCATCGCGAAATACGGTCGCCTAGCGGCCTTCAATGTGGCCAATCTGATATTGCATGGCACATGCCACGATGCGTCTTGCGCGAGGCGACTTTCTTTGCTCAGCCCTGTTCATTCCTCGCTGCCTAGACAACCGCTACCGCATTCTCAACGGCGGCGCCACGGCGCACGCAGGCGTGGCGGTACTATTCCTTATTCCGACTTTTTCAATCCCATCTCAAGTCAGCCTTGGCTACACGGCACTCCGTGCTCCAGTCAGCAGCCAGGGATGAACAGACAAACAACTCTGTTCCTCCACTCCAAGACGCCATCCGATCTCGTCAAGCTCCGTGCTGGCCAGGGGTAGCTCACCTGCGGCCATTATCGAGGGGTCACTTTGCGAACGGGAAACGTTTCACAAAACATTCATCTCTGTGTCATGATTTTTCGGGTCCGGTCACCCTCCAAGACGATTCCGCCCAATCAGATGCCCCTTCGGTGCCGAGTCCCGCCAAGGGAGGGTACGGCAGAATCGGATGATATCATGGAGCTACACGCCGAGAATGCCACGCTACGGGTCTTCATTTGCACCGACTTATCTGATATCGCGACGACTTCTTTGCCGTTCCTAGGCACTTCGTACTCTCACCTACCCTAACAAGACCGGCGCTTGAAGCTTCAGTCCGGCGACCCCACGATGCCCCGGAAATATCATCACGAGCATAAATTCTAGCAGAGCCTCCCAACAGTCCGAGAAGGAAGAGGAAGCGATGACTTCATCGCGAATCCTCCCAAAGCCTCACTACTGCAATGCGCCCTTCTCCCGACCGGTTCCGCCTCGCTCCCGAAAGTCCCAATTCCAAACCTGCGTTGCTCGTGACTGGCCTGGTGCTCTGGCTCGCTTACTCCCCCACTTAATTTGCCGACCGCGCCCAGCTTCTAGGCAGAACCACCAGCCTCCGGATCGGCCAATGTACGCCGGTCCCCGATCTCCACACTGCCGAATGTGGCCGTAGCGTCCCCCGGCACGCGTGACCCGGCACTGCCCGCCAATATTTCGCCCGACGAAGCTTGCGGAGCTTGAGGTCTCTGTCCATCACCATATCCAATATCTGTCAGCCCTTGACATCATCCCGTACGGGCCTCAATTTGAGTTCATCTCTGAGTTGATGAACGCCAAACCAACACCCATCGCATTCAGCATCCGGGTTGATCACATGCTTCTATGGGCTTTCAAAGGGTTGGTCATTTCACGATACTTTCTGAACACGGAAGATGGGTTCTGTTGAGAACATCCTCCTCACCTTCTGCCTAGACATGTGGTGAATTCAAAGAAGGCTTTCTCTGAGAGACTTTTTCGCCTCCACGCAATTTGGAAAGAAATTAAAGATTGATTTACAGATGTCCATCACGACCTTCGGACATCAATTCGACCAACAGTGGAGCCCACCGATGTTCATGCCAAGCCCCGGAATCCACTTTAGAATCCTTCGAGAAGGTTTCCTGTTTCGCCACCCCTGCATCGCCCTGCAACCAACCACAACATCGTCATCCTACAAATTGTCGAAGCCTTGTGGTGTTCCACAATGTTTATCTGGCACTGCAAATCGTTGATCTGTCTTGCACGGCCACCGCTAGCGCCGGTGGATTTACTCATAACACATGACCCTGTTGAGGTTTGTGCCCGACGACTTTTCGGCCGAGCCGCTCATACAATTCCATGGGGGATCACCCGGCTAAGCCACGACAAAAGAGCCAAAATCCACAAGCACTTTGGTTCTTTTGGGAATCTTTCTAGAAGCCTACAAATGTGGACCCGAAATGGAGAGATTATGACGCTATCGGAGAATATCGCGATGTGGCCCCCCGGCTTCAACCCGGAGCTGCAGTCCGCAGTGCCCTTGAATCCTACCAACGCCGATGCTTCCAACAAAAAAAAGAACTCTAAAACGACGAGGCAGACAGAACCACTAACCTCCCCTCGTCCCGCGTAGCCCGTCAAAGTCTTCCACGATGGCCGCATGGTCCATCTTCCAGCTCGGACTCATCGACACCATCCAGTCACCCTCGAGAAGCTTCTCGTCCTCGATACTCCGCCGCGTCTTGTCGTTTGTGGCGCTCCAGATGCTGCGGTAGATACCCTGCGCGGGATAGCTCACGAGACCGAACGTCGCCGCCGTGCTCTTGGTGACGAGGCTCACCACACCCTTACCCAACCCCTTGGCAGCGCCCAGAGCTCCTTCTTCCTTCTTGCCTGTGTAGGTGTGCACAAAGATGTCCGTGAGACCGCCCTTCATATCGTGACAGAATGTCTTGCCGGCGACGGAAACACCGCTGCGGAACCCTTCTACCGCGTCGTGCTTCTTGACCTGGTCACCGTACAGATTCGGTACCGCTCTGAGACCCTCCGTGACTGCCAAGGGGATATCTACAAGCAGGCCTTTGGTGGCGTTGCCTGCAAGCTTCCCGACGCCATTTGCGGCGGCGACTGCCATGGCCCCTGGTTTGCTCGAGGAATCCTCTCCCCGGGAAGACACCGGACGACTAGTCGGTTTCGCATCACCGCCTTCAGGAACTCCCACCCCAGGAAGGGGAAGCATGGCGAAAGCCGGTGCTTGGCTGTGTCTCCGGATACTCTCAGCTTGCGCCTCGACCTTGTCTCCGGACTCGCTGCCCCGCTTGTACTCTTCGAAGGGTTTGACAATGATGTCAGCTGTCGCACCGGCCATCTTGACGATTGTCGAGATGGACGCGGCCGACAGCGCAGTTAGGGGGTCCCATCTCTGGTTCTCGATGTTCGTCGGCTTCGAGCGGTATCTGGTCTTGATGTCAACATCAATCCTCGACAAGCGAGACTGACGGGTGCTTACGACTTGAGCTGCTTCCTCTCCACCTTGCCGTTCTTGACCAATATCGACGCGACCGGCCTGCACATCTTGACCTGCTTCTTGCCTCGCCCGTACACCAGAGCCGCTGGTTGATCAGGGAAGAAGTCGCATCCCATCTTCGACTCGGGCAGGTTTGCGTGGAAGGAGTCGACCGCCGCCTGGACCCCGTCCTCCTTCCGCATAGACTCGGCCAGTTGTTTCGCTGCTGTGACTGCTTCTGGCGAGAGGCAGTATTGGATGGCGTGGATCAACTTCTGCGAGGTCAGGGAACGATACGGGATCGGAGCTGGGCCGGCGCCTGCTTCTGCTACAACTGCGCCCCAGAAGGGTTGGCTATGGTATCATTAGTGAATCGTGTCACCACGAACGCGGGTGGGATCAGCTTACTCTCCAAAGAAGGGGACGATGGTCGTGGGTGTTCCATAACGCAGCCCGCACGCCGTCGTACCGGCACCGCCATGATGTATTACGGCAGCAACTTGTTGAAACAGCCACTCATGGGGACAATCGCCTACGTAGAACACATCCGAAGATTCTTCTCCCGTCAAGTTGCTCCACCCCCGCGAGATGATGGCTCTGACGCCGGTGGCCTTGATGGCGCTGAGGACCATGGTCATGAGTCCCTCGATACCACCGACGACGATGCTGCCGAAGCCGACGTAAATTGGAGGAGGACCGTCCGCAAGGAACTTTTCGAGGTCGGGTGGTGGCGTGTACGGTGCTGGATCTCGGAAAAAGAAGCCGCTGACATCTGGGAACTGTCAGAGAGGGCTCAAGGATATGGGGAGATGGCGACGAACCTATGTGCGGACCCCAATCGCTCGGCTTCGGGACGAGAGATGGCGACCAGCAATATGTGAAGGGAACTTGCAGGACCTCGAGCAGCCGGTGTCCCTCAGTATTTGGGACAGTCTCAAGACCCAACGACGCAACTCTCCAAGAATTCACCAAATCTCCCAGACTATACCTCGTTAGCAACACGCCTCGGTCCCAAGAGATCGGCTATCCTTACCCCTGCCACGTCAGAAACTCCACGGCGGCATACGACGCGAAGTTGGTCGTCTTCTTATCCGCCTTCGAATACCCGACATTCGCCAGCGGGTGCGGGAACGCCTTGGTACTGCTCCACGGCATCGTGAACATCAAATGCACCGGGATCCCGAGCGCCTGGGCACAGTGTACATGCGCGAAGCTGGGCGGGTTCGCGATGATGGCGTCGGCGACGAAGGGGACATTGGTCAGCGGGTCCGGGTGGACGCAGGAGCGCCAGAAGCCATCTAGCATCTCGACGTACATGTCGCGCTTGCGCTGGATGATGCCGGCGCGGATCTGGGATATTTTCGGGATTAAGGAGGGCGATTCCACCATGTAGCTCATCAGATCCGCCGGGTCGCCTCCAACAGGAAAGAATTCGAGTTTCGGAGAGGAAGAGAGGACGAAGTCGGAGAATTGGGGGTGCGTTGCGATGCGGACGCGGTGGCCGCATTTCAGGAGGGCGGCGGCGAGGGCGAGGAAGGGCTGGACGTCGCCGCGGGAGCCGACTACTTGGACCACGATGTTCAGAGGCATCGGCCATTGTTTCTTGGGGTCGTATTGCGGTGTGTATTCCGGCGGTGTTTGCGTCGAGCTGGATGGTTCGTCTGCGAGGTCTGCTTGTCAAAGAAGCGTCTTCCAGAGGTTGCAGTTTGGGATGCGGGCTTACATTCGAGATCTAGATCCTCCAGACCCAAGGACGACGCCTTTGAGGTTCTGGAGGAGTCGAAGGTTTCTCTGTCTTGGTTCCCCATGGCGCGAATCACGTGTAAATGCACTGGTAAGGGGTGTTTTCTGCTCGGACGAGAAGGGATGGACTCTCGAAGGAGGGTGGACATGGTCTCTACTTAAGCTACGGTGACATGCCGCAGCAGCCCACATCGGGGGGCCGTTTCGGTTGCCGCCCTGTCCTTGTCATTAGGTGGACCAGTACTTCGTGGCTGGAAGATGTCACATATACGAAATTCGCGCTTAGCTCTTCGTGTGAAGCGTTCGGGTTGCCCGTGGAGTCTCGTAGTCTCGTCGGCTGGACCCTGTTTGTTCTTCCTCCCTCGAGCGGACTGCCCTTTTCGGGCCGTCCGCAATTCTTGTAGGGCAAATTCAGCTCCGGTCGACTTTAAAGATTTTTCAATAAGGCTGATGGCTTTGATTATTCGCCTGTTTCAGGCATCTGAAGACTCTATCTTGAAAATCTCCGTTCAAGACCGCTTGCCCCTATTCGCAAAATCACACCCAAACCGTGCTTATGATATCCCCCGCCGTATCAACGCCAGAAACAAGCCAAAGCTACACCAAAAACCTAGAAGTACAGCAGAAGAAGAGCATAATCTACGCCGTCTGAGACTCTCTATCCGGGAGCTCTTCCAAATCCACCTTATCCCTCCGCGGCACAGTCCTCGTAAGCTTCCTCGAGGCGCAACAATACGCACACCCGTGGACGGCGTTGAGGAGGTACAGTATCATCAGCACGCCCGCGATCCACGCACCGGCCGCGAGTCTCGTCTTCACGCCCCCCGTGATGGCATGCCCGTCTTCCTTCCCGTCGATAACGTTCGAGGACGAGACGCCGCAGAGCGCGGCCCAGAGGACGGCGAGGATGAAGTCCCACACGCACCACACGGCGTGCGTGACGGTCGCGAAGACGTGGTAGGCGCAGGTCAGCACGGTCAGGACGGCCGGGACGAGGGCGAAGATCCAGTTCGTCCGGGAGAGGGGTTTCGAGTCGTCCCAGGAGGCGAGGGAGGCGGCGTAGAGGCCGATTGTGACTATTGCGAGGACGAACTGAAGGATTCGGAGAGAGGCGCGGACTGCGAGGCCGAAGGGCCCTGAGAGATCCCAGTAGTCTCTGATCATTTTTTGTGCGGTTGGCTTTGAGGAGGGAATGTTTGTGGTTTTGGCGGGGAAGTTCGGACTCGGGGGATAGAAAGATTGGAGACTTGAAGATGGATATGGAGGAAGAGGGGAAGCAGACCTCGGGAACGCTTCTAGAAAAGCTTAGGAAGGTCGTTTTTGAACGGAGAGAAGTTCAGGAGAAAGAATCAAGAGAAAAAAAATCTACAATCTGTAGTGTCTGGTTCCGTCCGAGGGCGTGTAAGTCGTCAACAGGGGCCCCCGACTCGCGCACGCCGACCAATCGCTGAATTTGCGTATCGGGTACGAAAAATGCGTACTCGTTCGCGATACCGAGTGATACGCATATGCGCTTCCAACCCCACCGCCCCTGTTTACCACTCCCGCCCTTTTTTCTCTTTCCCCAGTCTTCTTCGATTTCCAAGATATCGGATCGTCGTTTGTAATCTTCTGACTCGTTGTTGTGGGTTGCGGTAGGTGGCTGACGGTGGGCCGTCTTGATGCCATCGGACCGGCGTGGCTTGGCTCTTCTATGGCACTGCCGAAGATGCTTCGCAAGTGCCCACTCGGGATGCACACGACGGTGGAAGGAGATTCGGCATCTCCAGATGCTGGGTGCGAGTTTGATCGGGCGCGTGAACCCATGTCATCACTTAGAGTCGACTACGCTTCCGTTATCAGGCTAACGATCCAGTCCACGCGTCCTGGCGACGGGAGCCTCGGCAGTCCTTCCCAGTTTCCGTCGTCGTTGTCGTCAACATAGCCTCGTGGCAACATATCCACCGGCTTCTTTCATCGGTAGTTTGTAACGAGATTAGGTTGGCGGGCGGCGTGATCATGCCGGGATATGTTGAGCCTCACCATTAAACAAAAGAAGGGGCGTCGGGATGGAATACGAAAATTGCGTATGCAAGAATGGCTTCTTGTATATAAGACGATCGTCGAAACGTCTTTGTGAGCTACATCGGCACAGTCCACGCTCTTTACCTTTCAAGGACATATCCAAAATGGCGCGCACTGCAGTACTCTCGTTCTTCACCTTGTTGTCCGCAGTCAGCGGTGCCTCTGCGCAGCAGTCCTGCAAAACCACTCCCTTGGACGCTGCCTGGCCATCCGACGCCGATTGGTCTGCCCTGAACACCACCATCAACGGCTCTCTGATCAAGACGCGTCCTGTCGCCTCGTCTTGCTACCCCGGCAACCCGTTTGGCATCTCGGAGTCATGCGATGAGGTCAAGGAGGGATGGGAAACTGCTACCTTCCACGCAAAGTTTCCAGAGTCTGTCGACTACCCGGTGTACGCCAACAACTCATGCTTGCCCCCCAATGCGGCCGGGTACTCTGCTTCGAAGGGTTGCGACATTGGTGCCCTCCCGCAGTATGTCGTCAATGCTACGACTGAGGAGCAGGTTGCTGCTGCCATGAGCTGGGCCAGCCAGCGCAATATCCGCATCGTTGTCAAGGGGACGGGACACGATCTGAACGGCCGGTATGTTTCCCTCAGTATTATAAACAAGCAACACTGCTAATAGCAGAATGAACAGATCCTCCGGAGCCTACTCCCTGTCCATCTGGACTCCCAACTTCAATAAGCTCGAATTCCAACCCGAATGGAAGAACCCGGGCGACAACACCACCGAGGTCGCCATGATCGTCGGCAGCGGAAACAACTGGGGTATGGCAACTCGCGGAGCCGCCAAGTACGGCAAGGTTCTGGTCGGCGGGACCGTCGAGTCCGTCGGAACCGGAGGTCAGATCCAAGGAGGCGGCCACGGCCCCCTTTCAAGCACATTCGGCCTTGCGGCGGACCAGATCCTCCAGGCTCGCGTGATCACGACTGAAGGCAAGATTCTCGTGGCCAACGATGCGGAGAACCAAGACCTCCTCTTCGCCGTACGCGGAGGCGGCGGTGGCCAGTACGGCGTCGTCACCGAGTACGTCCTCAAGGCGCACACGCCCCCGGGCAACGTTGTCTCCCTCGGCATCAATCTGTCCACCAACAGAAACGACACCGCGGCCAAAGAAGCTACCTGGCTCAGCTTTGCGGCCCTAATGGCGAGCATCCCTGACTTGATGGACGCGGGTCTCACGGGTTCGGCCCTGTTCAACCGTGAAAGCTTGTCAGACGTGTCTCTCCCGGCCAACACCACGCGCAAGGTCTCGGGTAACCTTGGTTTCTTCGCGTACAATACCACAATCGAGAAGATGACCGCCCTCCTGGAACCCGTCAAGGCTCGCATGATCGCCGCGGGTGGGGGCAACAGTACCGTCTCGGCCACTTTTGGCACGCCCGGGGAGAACCCTGATTTCTCCAGCTTCTTCGAGTCCGTCAATTCGGCCCCCAGCATCGCGGGACAGTACAGCCTCATGAGCAGCCGTCTGTTGGGCCGCAAGCACCTGTCCGAGATTCCCGTCACGACCCTGGCCTCCTACCTCAAGAGAGCCCTGGCAGCTCAGGACCCGACTGGCGGCGGCATGATGGTCATCGGTCTTCAGGGCGGTCCCGGTCCCCGGAGTGTGCCGGAGAAGATGCGCGGCGCCGTGAACCCGGTGTGGCGGTCGACGTACATCCACATGATGAGCTACGGCGCGTCGCTCGACACCACCGTCGCGCCCAAGGAGGCTCTTGCCAGCGCTGCCAAGTGGCTGGAGGAGGTCAAGGAGCCTGTCTGGCGTGAGTGGGCGCCTGGTTCTGGGTCGTACATGAACGAGGCCAACGCGTTCAACAGCCAGTTCAAGGAGGACTTCTATGGCGAGAGCTATGACAAGCTCCTCGAGGTCAAGCGCAAGTATGATCCCACAGAGAGTCTGTTTGTCTTGGCTGGTGTTGGAAGTGACGCGTGGGACTACGACCTCAACAGCGGCAAGCTTTGCAAGACGGCTTGAATTGCGGTCGAGGAAGCAGTCGATCGAATTCCTTTCGTGTACATATAGAATCGCTCCATGTATTGATAATCAGCTCCAGCTCGTCGTCCGTATCGTTATGCTTCGTGCCTTTGTTCGTCGTCATTACCAGGTAGACTATTGTCCCTTCGCTTGTGATCATCCCGTCGTCTTGACGTTGAGTCTTTGTCGTGCCGCTCGTGTTCCCGCCGATGGCCCCTATCCTCCCGACTCCTGTCTCGCCGGCGACTTCTCTCCTCCCCTTTTCTGTCTTCACGATGATCGCTTCTCCTCTCCGTCCGTCGACGGTCATCATCGCGGTGTCGATCGCTGTCTCGTCTGCGGTGGCCTCGCTCACCATCTTTTCTGTCCCGACGTTCCCTATCATCTCGATTATTGTCTCGGCTGTGACGATCCGACTCCTTCCTCTGGTCTCTTCGTCTTTCGTGCCTCTCTTTGCGCTTCTCTTCTTTGCGCAGCTGCTCCAGGTCTTTCTGTCGTTCTGCCTCAAGCTTTTGTCTCTCTTTTTTGACCTCCCGAACTCTGGCCGCGCCACTTTTCATCATAGCCAGGGGATCACTTGCGACGATTCTCTCAGCATCTCTCTTTTTACGTCCGGGATCCTCATTTCCCCATACGTCTTTGCTCGGGGGTTCCAGCTCGGCGGGCTTGTCTCTTGACTCTGACTTGGCATACCACGGACCTACCATGCCGTCCCTGCCCGCAGCATTCGAAAATCGCATGGTGTACTGGTCCTCAAGCTCCTTCTTCTTCTTGGCCGACTCCTTCTCGGCCTCTTCGTTCTTGAGATGGCGGCCCTGCTTCCTCTCCTCGCCAAACAAGTCGATGTGCCCGGCGCGGTCGACAATCGGCGCAGAGCTTGTGGACTTGCGCAGCGTGTCGTTGGCGGCCTGCACTACATCAGAGCGCTCCTTGGCGACGCGGAGCTCAAATTCAGTGTCGTCCTCGCCGGCGCGCTTGCGCTTCTTCCGCTCCCTGCCGAGGCCGGCATCGCGATCCCGAGCCCTGGGCTCCGCGTCTGCGACTTCAGGTGGAGGCAAAGGCGGGGGCTCCTCGCCGCGTAGGATGGCTAGCCGACGTTCAGCGTCCACATCCTGCATGCGCTGCTCTTCGGCCTCCTCCTTGGCCTTTGCGGCGGCCTCATCGCGACGGACGCGGGCGATGTTGTCTGCATTGTAGACGTTCCAAGACTTCTTGCCCAGCAGATGACTGATGAGGCGTCAGCTTGTGTTCTGGGCGCGAGATGAGTTTGACTTACAGAGGCATTTTTCTCGGTATAATTAGTTCAGTAATCAGTAAGATTACATACCGGACTGAAGATGGTTTGGAAAAGTCCGGCGCCTTCTGGTGACATCCAAGTCGTTGTGCAAATGGGATTTCGAAGGTACGTATCCGTACTCCCATGGTAGGTTAGCGCGGTTGGCGGCATTAGTCAGGCAGTCCCTGAGTGCTGTCGGGTGGTGGGGTTATTCAGCTGCAGCTGCCCTGTGACGGGGCGGGAGTGTGCACTTGCCGCCCCACTCAAGCTTCGTCTGAGGTGGTCGACGCCGGGGCAGCTGAAGACGATGGCTGTGCCATGCGCGTTCCATCTGTTCCAGTCTGCTGAGGATACGTTCCACCTGGTAAGGCACCTTGCCTTCAGGTACAGCAGAGAGAACACGCAGCAAACAAACAGAAAGTCAAGTTATTCGGCTTCAGCATAAGGCATGCAGCACAAAAGCAGAGATAACACGTGGCGGCATACCGCCCTGTTGGACACAGTTGCTGTTAGCTGTTGCCTAAGGTACCTTACCTTCGGACCTTTTGAGCCCGATTTCCACGCCGATAAACAATAGAAACGTAGCAGTAGCCACTGTCTACTGTGATAAATGGATGAGAGAACCTTGAACTTGAATACCTACCTTAGTCATAATATGACTTAGATGATGTGGACCTCAATGGTTAAGCTGAGGCTTAAGGAGAGCTGGATCTGGCTGTAATTAATGTAGCAATAGATCATCTGTTTCTTGCAACTACTTCTGAACCTCTTGCCACCTCTATTCCTATCCTTGTTGCCGTAAGTTCTAGTACTGCTCCTGTTATCCGTTGTTACTGCCCAAGTATTCGACCAGGAATACTGAAGCAATACCCCGTGGCAGCGACCCCTCCAAAGAATCCCGTCTCCATAATTTCTCCAACGCCCTCCACTGCGTACCTACCTCAGGGCAGGTGGTCGGATACAAACCACTCCGCTCCTTCCAAACCTCCCACCTTCCCCCACCGACCTCCCGCCGCCCGCCGCTCCTTCCCTCGACGAAATATAACCTTAGACGGCGATAGATAGATACCTGCAAATCTCACGAACCCCGAACTCGAACCCGACACCGATCAAGATACCGCGACCATGGCTTTCGTCCCCAAGAAAGCCGACGCAGAGCTAATCTACGCCAATGTGTGAGTGCTGCCCACCCGCCAACTATCGATACCCTGCTCATGCTAAGCCTCTACCAGAGTCGGAGTGAGCCTCAGAGACTTCGCTCCCCGTAAGGAAGTCGGCGACTGCGACGTCGTCCTTCGCGTACAAGACCCGATTAGAAGACAAGTCTCCGAATACGTCGTCCGAGCCCGGCCCCGACCCGACATTGAATCCGGCGGCATCTGCCTTTCGGGCCACCAGAGATCATGGCTGAAGATCGCTCTCACCGACCGCTTCGATGCCGAACCTTTCGATGCTGCCCAGCGGGGCACACCACCACTGCTGGCCATGGACCTTGAGTTGTCTTGGGCTTCGGCCAAAATCGACCCCAGCTATTCCTTCCACTACCAACGAATCCAAAACTTGGTCTACCAAAACTTCAATACCTTCATTGTTGCTCCTGGCCAGCCCTTCCTCGCAGACATCGAGTCTCGCAAGATTATGATGACTGTCAAGTCCGTCACTCTGCCTCCTCGAGGGAAAGGAGAGGCGCCCGTTACCACCAGCGACCCTAGAGCTCGCGGTTTCATCACCCCGGACACCATGTTGAGCCTTTTCAAGGACTCTAACTCCCCTATGAAGCTCGAAGTCGCCGATCACCAGCAGCACTCCGAACCTATCATTTCCCCCGACTTCAAGTTCGAGGATATGGGTATCGGTGGTTTGCACGACGAGTTCTCTACCATTTTCCGCAGAGCCTTTGCCTCGCGTGTGTTTCCCCCAGCTCTGGTCCAGAAGCTTGGCATTCAGCACGTCAAGGGTATCCTGCTCTATGGTCCCCCGGGAACGGGAAAGACGCTCATTGCGAGACAAATCGGCAAGATGCTTAACGCACGTGAGCCCAAGATTATCAACGGTCCTGAGGTTCTCAACAAATTCGGTATGTTCTACGTCGGTTGACTAACACAAGCGCGATGCTGACTTTGCACAGTCGGTCAATCCGAAGAGAACATCCGAAAGATGTTCGCAGACGCCGAGAAGGAGTACAAGGAAAAGGGCGACCAGAGTGGCCTGCACATTATCATTTTCGACGAGTTGGACGCTGTTTGCAAGCAGAGAGGTTCTGGTGCCGGAGGCGGCACTGGTGTCGGCGACAGTGTTGTTAACCAGCTTCTTACCAAGTTGGATGGTGTGGACCAGCTCAACAATATCCTCCTCATCGGTATGACCAACCGTAAGGACATGATCGATGAGGCTCTCTTGCGTCCGGGACGTCTGGAGGTTCAGCTGGAGATCAGCCTGCCGAACGAGGAGGGACGCAAGGAGATCTTCATGATTCACACTGCCAAGATGCGCGACAACAACATTATGGACAACAACGTGAACATCGACGCTCTTGCAGCCCAGACAAAGAACTACTCAGGTGCTGAGATTTCTGGTGTCGTAAAGGCCGCGACGTCATTCGCCTTCAACCGTCATACCGAAGTTGGTAACAGCGCCAAGATGAAGTCGGACGTCTCGGCGATGAAGATAACGATGGGAGACTTCGAGAACGCGCTCACCGAAGTCAAGCCTGCCTACGGTGTTTCCGAGGATGAACTGTCCAGTGCCTTGGGAATGGGCATGTTGCAGTTTAACGAGAATATTCCCGCAATTATCCGCACGATCAAGGGCTATATCGACACCGTCAATGAGTCCGACGTTCTTACCAGGATACCTGTTCTTCTCCACGGACCCCCCGAATCAGGAAAGACTGCTCTGGCTGCCCACACGGCCTCCATGTCCGACTTCCCCTTCGTCAAGCTGGTTTCTCCCCAGCATTTGACCGCTTTCCGCGACGAATTCGGCAAGAAGGACTACCTCACCAAGGTCTTCACCGATGCGTACAAGTCAGAGAAGAGTATTGTCATTCTCGACAACTTCGAGCAGTTGATCGAGTGGAACCCCATAGGACCTCGTTTTTCCAACTCTCTCCTCGACAGAATCATCTCCTTGATCCAGACTCAGCCGCCCAAGGGCCGTCGTATCCTCGTCATGGTCACAACTTCGGAGCGCTTCGTTCTCGGCAACCTCGGCGTTCTCAAGCACTTCCGTCGCCAGGTGCCGGTGCCCGCCATCTCTGACGTCCGAGAGCTCGCGCAAGTGCTGGGTCAAACCGGCATGTTCAGACAGGGCGACATTCAACAAGTTGTCAACTCACTTCGCAACGACACTCGGTCAGACAAGGTTGGTCTCGGTATCAAGACAATTCTGGAGTCAATCGAGGAGTCAAAGATCGAGGCCGCCTCGGAGGGCGGTAACATGTTGGACAGTTTCGCCGCAAAACTGGCAACAGCGATCTCGTCCAATGCTCTGGATTCTCAATGAGGGGATTCCTCTCCTTAGTATACATGCAAAGTATACATGTAGAGTAGAAACAAATGAAAGAAAGGGCGGCAAAGAACCCTGTGTTTTCGATTATATAATATCAGTACTGGTGGTGTCACATTGCAGGAGTAGACCGTTTCACCACTCATTCTATGATCGTCTTGACTCTTCTCCAACTGACCCCTTGACCACGTCCATAAGTTTTAGTCGGGAATGACACTATATTCTTCAGACTATCTGGCGTATCAAAACAGTGCAGTTCCCATGCCCCTCTCGCCAAGAACCAGGATAATTATCCATGGTTATTCGATAGAACTAGAGTCCGGTTTGTTCCGAATTCATGTCAATAACGGAGGGAGTAGTGGTGGTGATATCTGGCTACTTCGAACCACCGTCGATTTCAATTTTAGCCCACTCGTTGTCCAGATTAACTTGCGTCTCTTGCGTGATTTGATTCGAATCCATATCAATGACGAAAAGTTTAACGACGTGAACCATATTCGTATGTTTCCCATCTAAGGTTATGAAAGTCACGTTGGCGTCCAGATAAAGCTGCCCAACTTGCTCTCTTTCCTTCAAATTATCCCTGTGAGTTGAGGAGTAAGCCACGAGTATGTAGAATATAGAAACGGGACTGGCTTACAGAAGCAAGATCTTTGTTATATCCTTTTTCGAAGTGTCCAAAAGCTCATTGACGGCGGTAATGATGATCTTCTGTATGTCTTTGCGGCCAACATATTCCGACGCGGCCATGGTCGTGGTCGAAATCATTAGATCAACATTCCGATCGCGATCGGCTCTAGGAACTTCTAGCCATATAAATTTGGATTCCTCTTGCTCGTTGCTGTGAGACATATTGGCGTCAATTGGATCTCGACTCGTGGGTACTGGTGCTGGAATCACAAAGGTCGCGTGTGAGGGTTGTTGCTTCAGATCTGCCCGTCAGAATATCTGCGCAACTGCATCATTTTTATGGTCGAATGGCATAAGAGTTGATCATGAACATTACCTCTGTTCAAGCCCGACAAAGAAATGTTCAGAAGTTTTCTCCGATTCGTCCTGAATACATCGTGGAGCAAAGCTTACCTCACGTCCTTACTGGACCTCACGTCACTTGCCCACCTCGGTCCCTCTTATTTTGCTGAGCCAGGCTGTAGAACTACGACGACGACTTTTGCGCAAACGAATCATGTTGGGTATACTTCCGATTCAGTACAGCACTACAACGAGTTTTGTTCTCAAACATGGGCGTCGGGAGAAAAAGAAATCCGCGGCAATGGCCCCTGTCCATGGACCAACACGTCACCGCTGTGGCCCATCGGCTACCATGCAACAAACAACTTCACCGGAGCGAGTTCCACTGCGGTGAAGAAACGTGGTAACCAGCTTGAAAGTGGTAAGAGAAGACTATTGATCTGAAACACAGTGATGTTTGTTGGTGTCGTGGGCAGTGCACTGCCTTCACCCTCCTCTCTTGTATGTATGCAACCAAGTTAGAATCCCAGTCAGCTACTGCACGACATTCTCCAGACTCAATTCCAAGCTGTGTCGATGGGAGAAGGACTCACAGAGATTCAGGCCGAGAGTACACCATATGAGGTTGATGCTTTAGGAGTGACAGAGGTTATCGTCTTTGGTCCCTCCCTGAAGTCTGTGGGATACGTGTACGGTGTAGCCTTCTAGATCCCCCTTCAACGCCAGTCAGGGCTCAAGTAGACATTGAAATCTTCCTCAAAATCGACCTCGAAGTCGACGACGCAAGTATTTTTGAGATACTGCTTGAGAGAATTTGTCTTGCCTTTCACTTAGGTGTTTTGCTAGGTAACTCAAGTCTCAAGCAGGGCCTCACCACCTCGGCACATAGGCAGCGCCATTGCGTTCCGAATGAATCAATTTGTCTCGTCTGAACTGATTTTAATTACAATTGAAACTGGAATCTTTGCTCATCATAATGCTGCGGTGCTCCCCCGTCCTCGAGAAATACAAGAACAAAAGAAAGAGGAGGATCTGTATATGAGCGCACTTAAGAATCCTCGTCTATTCCATCTAAACTTGTAGGCCCACTTGACAACACTTTCGGCAGGGACAGGAGTGATGTCGATGGTCGAAGGGTTCTTCCCAGCGAGTCTTTCTCGCTCTTTTTTCTCGTCGTCGGCGTCGAACCTTCTGACTTTGGCGGAGTCAAGCGTCCTACTGACCTGGGAGCTGAGACATCCAGGCTTGTACCCTGTAAGTGTCTTGTGAAGCTCTCGATCGCTGTCAACGGCGAAGACGTGCGGATTTCGTCCCTCCTCCATGCACCTTGAGACCGCCTGCTTGTTGTCTTGTTCTTCGTTACATCGACTCGCTTTTCTCTGAGACTTTTGAAGTGATCCAAGCCCTCTGAACTTTCCTCGGATGCCAAGGAGGCACGATTCATTTCAGACTCAGGAGCCTCCTCCAGTTTGACGTCGAAACTCGTCTTCTGCAGCGTTTGTCCGGCGGCCTCAATCTCGATGTTTACCGATGCTCCACTGCAGCTCACCAGGCAGTCATAGGAGAACTTCCTGATCTTATTTCCATTCTTGTTGACGCTGCATGGTAACTGCTGGAAAGGAATCGGTGATTGAAACGTGATCGTGCGCATATCTCGGACCACGGGGTCCTTTGCGCGCACAGGGGCGATTACTTCTTCGCAGGTAACCAGCGATAATGACACATCTGGGTAGCTGCATGGTTCCTCGTCTTGGTAAAGTCGATAATACTCCAGTCGCTGTGGGCTCTTCTCCGAAGTTTTCTCACCCTGTAGTAGATTTGAGTCAGTTGAGATCCTTCATCACTCCAAACGGCACGTATGATAATCACCTTTCCAAGAAACCACTCCACCTGGTTATTTACTCTCCACTGAGCCGCGAGTCTGCAGTAGTATTTATCCTCTTGGAAGTCCTTGTCAAGTTCATGAGCATCCGACCATTTGAGCGTACATTTGTTGCCGTAATGAGCCCGTGATATTCTTGTGCCGATCTGCATCCGATTCAAAGTCCTCATGACGACACCTCGGCAAATGGCCGTCCATCTGAGGCTAGTTAGCTTAGGCTCGAAAGAATTGTTATTCCATACACTTACGGCGCAGGCCCGCTGGCCTGAAGAACCTCGCTCTCGTTTTCGAGCATTTCGGACAGCCGTTGATATAAATATCGGCACCTTCCAAAGCCACCAACTAACATGACATACTAGACCACGACGAGAGAGAAAGTCAGTGAATCATTTTTGATGAACTGTTCCATCGGCGGAGTTACTTACCCTCGGTGCTTTCCCTGTGGCTTTTTCCAGGGCGAGAACTTGATCATCAACAAGAGATTCGATTTTGGAGATAATCCCTTCGAAAGCCTGCTTTACTAGGCTCCTGCTCACATGTGAGTTTCGTAATGAGAGATGATAGACACGTGGGACTGTGTAGCTAGTTACTTACCCTTCGATCTTGATCATGGTCTCCTGAGTTCTTTGAATGCATGTTGCAGACAGAGATATCGTCCAGTCCCTTGTTTCTGACACGAACTCTTGCTTGATGCCGTTTTCCCAATTGTCTTGAATCATCTTGTCGATCTCATCTCTTGGAATAAAGTCCCAAAGATCTTTGCTGAGAGCGTTAATTCTTGGTTTCAAGATGTTTTCGAACTCCTCGTCGAGGAAAATAGCACCACATAGTCCCCCTATTCATCAATTCAGTGGACGCTGGACAAGAAATTAGGTTGATCCAGTCTTACCTGTGCCTTCAACGGCTTCGCTGACTGTCAACGGATCGGTTTGTTCGATCACATAACTGATGAGATCCTACACAACAGTCAGACAACGTTATTTGAGTGAGATGACAGCCCACGGACTACTGTGCCTCCTCCGGCATCAACAATCGTGATGGTATCACCGGCCTCCACATCGGTCAGCTGAAGAAACTTTTTGCGGCGTAGCGTACTACCCTACCTGAATATCTGGCCTGTCCTCCAAATCCAAAAGAGTGGCAGTAGCTGCTGCTTCGGGTTCGGTGACGAAAGACAGCTCTGTGTGCCCGCAGTCTCGAGGTTCAAGTATTCCAGCCATACGAACCGCGTCTGCCATTCTATCTCTTGCAGCATCTTTCCATATCGCCGGCACAGAGATGACAACGTGAAAAGGGGTCAATCTAAAGATGGCTTTGCCAAACTCTTTCGTCGCCATCTCCTGCACATGCGCCCAAACGCTGCGCAAGTAGTCCGCCACAACATCAGTCGGAGTTTTACCCAGCTGGGAGAGGAGCGCCCTTGCCTCCTCCAAGTGAGTAGAAGCTTTCAAGTGATCCGGAATATCTTTCGGGTCAAGCAGGAGGAGCTTGAACCACTGCACAGACTCCGCATGAGGACGAACATCGTACCCCCATCTTTGGGTCCCGTCCTCTTGATATTGTATTCGAGACGGAGTCTTTTCACGATCGGAGTTCTGGTATTGGAAACTTGGCCATCGTGTGACTAGGCGGATGTCTCTAGCCTGGATCCGTTTCGACCAAGTCCACGCGACGCCGGTGTAGCTGCAACTTGTTATCGGGAGAGCCATGAGGATGGGGGTTGGTGAGGCCAGACTCACGTTGTGCCGAAGTCTATGCCGAATATGAATTTCTCTCTGGTTCTCAGATCTCGGGAGCTACGTAGCCGATGCGGTGGCGGAGATCCGGGATAAGAATGACGGTCCGGCCCCATCCTTCAGACTTTCGCAGACTCGAGTCGTCTAAAGGCTAGATTTTGTACGCCTGCAAGAAAAGAACCGAGCTTAAAAGCTGTTTTTCAATGTCACGGCCAAGTTTCGTGAGTTTTGCATCTGACGAGAAGAATTTGAATGCTGATTTGAGCCGGCGGAGATGAGTGCATATGATGTTTCCAGCACTAAGACCGGACCAAGGCATTCTTGTACATGCATCTACTTCAAGCCACCCTTCAAGGAGAACCGCAAACGCCTCTGGTCGCCTAGAATTTTACATGCAGTCACAGCTATTCGAGTGTTTTTCGACTTGTCATATGCAACGGGGCTGCCCGAGGCGGATCAGGCCTCAAAACCATCTGCTTACTGGGGTCACAAAGCAGGCTGCGGCTTTCGAATGCAACCTGACTCTCGACGTGTTTTGCAGTGGCAGGAGGTTCAGGTACATGCGAAAACCTCGACCAGATGTGGACGAGCTAAGTCGGCAGTCAAGAACGGGTCGCACAAGTAGCAGTGGCAACACTCGTCCACACCATTTTGATGTCAGCCCCGTGGCCACAGGGCAATCTGAATGGTTCTTGAGCCTGCCCGCGTACATGTCTCATTTGTGGTTCAGTCTGCCTTACAATCTTCGGGACGCCTATCAAACTCTCGAGGCCAGTTGAGGCCGCCGTTCATGTAATGAGAGCTAAGTGCACATACGGTCGGTCGGTCCGTGGCAGGATATCAGTGCAAATGCCTGACGCCTATTTAAAGATTCATGCACCCTTGATGTACGGGCGCTCGCCGTAAAACGCTCGATCAACGTAAAGCCATGGCAGATGAACCAGGTATGATCTTCGTGATGGGGCTTTCTGGAGTCGGAAAGTCCCATTTTGTCAACCTCCTCGACCCCGGCTCAGTAAAGGAAGGTGCAGGACTTCACGCTCGTAAGTCTCAGTGAACGAAGCCTCACTGCAGATAGAATCACGTTTACGGAAGCTAAGATCTTGCCAGAGACCAAAGAATGCCAGATCGTCAAGATGAGAATTCTCACAGAAGCTGTTTGTGTTGTCGACACGCCTGGTTTCAACGACACAATGCGCAGCGACGCGGAAGTTCTGGCAACTATATCGAACTTCCTTGTCGCTCAGCATGCGCTCGGGGTGCCCCTAAAGGGCATTATCTGGCTACACCCGATCGACGAGAGAAGAATGCGCGGCTCCGACGTCGACAGCCTTCTCATGTTTCAGGACCTGTGTGGTCAAGAAGCAATGAAGAACGTGACGCTTTTGACAACCAGATGGGACGTTGTCGAGAACCCGACCAAGGGCTCCAAGAACGAACGAGAGTTGAAGAGAGACTTTTGGAGAGACATGATCTCATACGGTTCTAGAGTCCAACGGTTTGATGGGACCTCCGATATGGCATGTGCCATCATAGAGCGTATTCTCAGGAATCATGAGGTTGTACTGCAGGTCCAGAAGGATATCTTGGCGGAGGGAAAGACTTTGGAGGAAACCAGTGCAGCTCAGCGTATCGTTCCTCGACTGGACGAAAAGCTCCGGGAGAAACGGGAGAGGATTCGTGTTCTCAAGAAGAATGTGGAAGTGGCGGCCTGCGAAGATGACAGACAGGTGCAGAAGAAATGGGAAGAGAAGCTGAATCAAGCCGTGCGGGAAGAAGAGAGGATTCGAGCCAGCCGCAAGAGACTCCGCGCCGACCTTGGGCGAGAGGTAAATGGGAAAATCGAGGCGGAGAAGAAAGGGCGCAAGTGGAAAGACAAGGTGTCCATTTTCGCATCGATTTTGGGGCTGACAATATCTGCGGTGGCTAGTCTCGTCTTGCCTCTTGCTGGTGTATCCATTTGACGGTTCTCAAAATGCTTCGAGGCAAACATGTATATATACCATGGTGTACACATAATGTTGCCCTTTATGATTGGTCTGATTATCAGGATTGAGAGCCTGCTTGAAGTTGAGTTCCTTCGAGGCAGAGCCTGCATAAAATATTGCTCTCTTGCATGTTGGTGACCGCGTGACCGCCCGGCTAAGCCGTAGAAGCAACCCATCTCTCCGATAAAGGTCGCAAACGTCAGCAGGCATGGCCCTTCTACCTTTAGTCGATGGGAAACAGCTCAGCCTGCCTTAACCCAGCTCTGCTGTAATTCAGGTGGACCAACAATTGCAGTTTTTGATTACGACGGATTCGTCTCGATATTTCCATTTCCACAGGAGGCAATCAGCTTTTGGGAGACTCGCCACGCAACCCTGAACATCTACGCTCACCGGTCCAGCTCCAAAGACGCTATTTGATCAACAGTCACGACGAGCATGCCCACGAATAAGCCTACTCTGATCGTCAAGAATCGTTTCAGTCAAGGAAGATTACCCCGTCAAAACACCTATCATGTCTCATTCCCCGGAAAAGCCTCTCGTCAATTCCAGCGAGGAGTATCACAGAATGTACGTCCAATACATACGTGATAAGCGCCACGAGAGAAATTCCAAAGAACATGGACCTTCGAGTAAGGCCAAAGGCGACACCAGTGAACAAGAAGAAGTCAAGAATCTGAGAGAGAAAGTAAAGGAACTAGAAGCAAGGAACGCTGAGTTACAATGCGAACTTCGGACAAAAGAGGAAGAAATGCAAAAACTCATCAACGATCATGATGATGACTTTCAAAGGCTGATGGATGAGCGAGATGAACTTGAGGAAGACCTGATGGACTCGAGATGGACGAGCTACCACCACATCGACGACAACGAGCTCACCGCACGGTTCAAAAATCTGGATTTTATCATAAAACAGACTGCAAAGAATAACTACTGCAGCCCGGAAAAGCTGATGAGAGATGGCGGTAGTGTCGACAGTTTTGCAAATCGGCAGAACAACAAGTTCGCACGCCTGACACTCAACTTTCAGAATTACTTGCATGGGCCGCATAGGGTATTCATCATTCAAGCCTACATTTGGCGCTATCTTGTCGACGTTGTTTTCAATTCGACGCGGGCTATCTGGGCTGGGCACATGTCAAAAGAATTCGAGGCTTTTATCAAGAAGCTGATAGGTAGGACACCCTACATGCTTTTAGGCCTCTGATGCTAGCTGGCTGACATCAAGCAGTTTTTCACAAGACATACGAGATTGAGAGTGATGATTACCATCAGTGGAGAGCACAGTCAGTTGCGTTGATCACTGGTATTGGCCGAGACCGGTCAGGTTACGAAGATTCTATCAGTTTACTGGGAAACACGCTATGGAAAGAGTTACATCCTCACCAAAGTAATGACGCCAGACCCGAATCTATGCGAAAAATCGTAGCGATAGCCGCAGAGCTCGACATGGAAATGTCAAAATGTCGGGTATGGTACCAGATCTTCATGGTCGAGGTGAGCGAGACGGTGAACGAGGCTACAGGCGGGCGGCCTGACCTTCCGCGACCCAAACAGAAGCCTACGGTATTCAGCAGGAGCGACATGGAAGAGATTGTGCCGCTAAAGGGACCAAAGTATGTTGACTTGGTAGTATCTCCAGTAGTGTACCGGCGTGGAAACTCCAGCGGGGAAGGGTATGAGAAGGGCGATATCTTGTGGAGGCGGACGGTGCTGTGTGCTCCAGTTTCTAAGATCCAACCTCCGCCTAGGTCAGCATCTCTCCTTGCGCGAGGTGCAAAGCTCATCGGCATTGAATATTAGAGGTAGCTTTACGATTATCTCGCACACTTCATCTGTCTGCTCTAGAATAATACATCCACTTCCAAACTTAGAGGGCGCGACTTCACTTGTAGATATCTTTAAGTTTGAAAAGGAGCGACAGGTATTAGTTGGTGGAATAGTCACATGGAACCAAATATCTCCTCTCGACGAAGCCATGATGATTGGGAAACACGACGTAGAAAGTCACAAATACACATCACAGAGACACTGTGGTTTGATACCCCGCGTTGCTTCAGGTAGAGTCACTTGCTGAAGCCCAGAATACCGGGCCATGACTTTCTCAACTCCCGGATTCCCACGTGGGACGAACCCTTCGATTCGAAAAGCCGTCAAGGTCACCGGCGTTCTCCAGAAATCCATCGTCTGAACAGAACCATCGCGGCCTCAATGGGAAGGTCCCAGCGAGCAAGTCGTCAAGTTCCATCAAGAATGCGCCCTACCCCCCCTTCCCAGACCCGCAACAGCCGCCAGCGTGACCCTCGTGGCAGCGCAAGACACACAAGCGGTGAGCCGTGAACGGCGTGCAACTCGCGGCTATTGATCCTCTCGGGCCAAGAAAAACACAACCTTAATCCATCTTCCCACTTCAAGTCGACTGCAGAAGCGCGCCCCTCTATCGCTCGCCTTTCTGGTACGGCGCATGCAGGTGACTGGCATTCAAAGGTGGAGCGGTTCTGGCGAGCGCACCTGCAATATCTGACCTTGCATATGTGATGCCGGCAATGAGCAGGCCGTTGAGACACTGCGGGCTCACAACCGGCCGGTCAAAGCGCGGATGCTGTTGCTGTCGCTGTCGCTGTCTCTGCCGCTTAAGCGGTCGGTCGATCGGCCGGCCGGTCGGTCGTGGTCTCATTAAACCATCGCCAGACGTCAAGCCGGCCCTGTCTCGAATAGACTCGTCCTCCCTTGACAATATTAAAGCGATCTGCCGGCGGATATAGGTGTGCACCTCACCTCAACCCACTCGACACATTCTAAAATGGTGTCTTGACAGGTCTCGTTTAGAGTTCCTGGCGGGGGACCCGTCAAGTCAATGACAGCTAGAAATCAAGGCACGGCACATACGGATATCTACCCTCAATCAATCCCACGGCGGCAGATTGACGCATCCCATGCTTCGGCTCGCGTGGTCGGTAAAGGCCTCCATTCTGCGTGGCTGTTGCGTGACATCCGCTGTAACGGTGACCAGGGCATGACAAGAACACCCGCCGCACTTTGCTGCCACTGTCGCCATAATGGTGGACCGCTTGACGATATTCCTCTTGATATAAGATCTAGTCTCTAGATGAGCGAGATAAAGAAAGACGGTGTGACAGGCGTCAGCTACCCCGCGACTTATTGACGCCTTGTGTTGCCGGTTTACCCCCCACTGTCGTCGCAGAGGGCGGGTGTTGCGTCTGCTACTACCACTCAGCTGCAGTCTTCCGGTGTGATAATGTCACCTTCTGTAGCGATTGGTAGGTTGTCCTGCTGAAGACATTGGACTGCCGCGCTTGATTTCTTTTCTCTCTCTTTCGCTGATATTGGCCGACGGACGACGGCAGACAGGACATCCCGGCCGCAGATTGAACGTTGCTGGCGAACTGGCCATCAGTGACTTCACGAAGCGTGGACCAACGTTCAACACGTGTGATAACAACCCATTCCAGTTTTGATCGCTCAGTGGAGCGTTCGTCCTGACCGCAATGGTTTAAAAAAACACGTCCCCGGCGCTCCTGCCCTGGCTGCAAGGCCTCGCAGATGAGAAAGAGCCACAGCTCATAGGCGACTGCCAGGGGATATCCAGGGTACCGGGAAGCCGGATTCTCGATGTTATTTAACTCCCAATAACGGAATCCTTGGCAGCTGGCCAGTGCTCCTGAAGGCATCAAATTACAGAGACACGCTTGTGCAAACGGCGGCCCAGAAGACGTCGCTCTGCCGTGTTCATCCCGTGCCCGTCAAACAGTCCAACGGAGGTGTATCCGGGCCCGATGCTCGCCGGAGGATCGTGGTGGGGTGACACTCATGTGCGAGGTGCAGATGTAAAACAGGTTGATGGGCGAGTTCCCAGGGTCGAGAGGTGATATGTGCCAGTTGTATGACTTAAGAGAGTTTCGTTGCTACCTAGTACGATGGTGATGCCAAAAAGTAGACAGCGTGCGGCATGATGGTGCCAGGCGTCCGGAAAGGAGTCTTGGTCAATGCCGACACCATCGAGTGGGGGGCACCCTCGCTGTTTGCTCAAGGCTTCCCTTGCACGGATACATTCGTCTGCGGTCGATTCGGAAGTTCGCGCGGAAAACCCAAGTCTGTTGGTACAGGGCCGATTTCTTGAAGAGACAGGCCACGGATTTCTGGCCTGGTAACGAAGTCCGCAGTGCTGGGCCGCGGAAGACGGGATCTGTGCCGCTTGAGGCTGCCAAGTGATATACCATTACTGCGAGGCAGAGGGGGTATTGAGTGAAGCTGTCCGATATCCTGGTTGGAGGGAGCAACCACTGCGAAGGATCCAGACCGTTGTTGGTCCAAGACGGACGGAAATTCGCAAGCGAGAGTTCGTCTGTTGAAATCCCAACGCCAGTGTGCGTGCGGGAGAACGGTTGTATCTGAACATGGCCATGAGCGATCGGCCGAAACCCAATTCAGCTTCTCCATCCTGTGTGCACAAAGCTTGACTCGCAAGTTCCTCAGCCGAATCCTCTGGAAGACATCCGGGCCACTGGCTCGGTTGCCACAGGACCCAAAACGTCGTGAGCCGTGAGCCCTAGGCTCCATCTTGCTGCCCCGAAGATTTCTTCTCGAAGTTGGGCGTTGGGCATGGAGATCAGCAACGCAAAGCTCCCGCGCGGGTCATCAGCACGGCCAGTCCGAGCTAGTGCGTGCTTCCGTAGATAGTCACGGAGACGAAAATATCACAATGCGCCGCCATTCACCGGAAATGGGGGGTGACATGTTCGGCATGGCGGCGTGATCATCTGACCGGCTGACTGGTTCTCTTCGCGCGGCGCTGTTGGCCCGGAGTTAGTATCTTGCCATTGCTTGCTTTTCCCTATGTTTTGACTACTGTAAGCGGTTGTGGCAGATTCGATACCGGCTTGACACAACATCCGATTATGCCTCTGAAGTATCTCATCGAGCCGGCCGGCGTCTTCCTGGGAATTGCCCACGACATCAAACGCAGCGGTAACGGCCAGAACGACTTGAGGGCGGCGAACCCCAGACCCAAGCTCCCGTCGACATAAGTTGGCCCCGTTGCTATAGCATTGCAGCACAGGGCGGTCAGTGGCCCTCATTTGCACATTTGGGTCGCGCCACAAATCGATAACCCGTGGACAGTGCTAAATTAAGACTTTCGCGGCCAACAAGCTCAATTCTTTTCCGCGGCTTGGACAGCAGTTGATGGCGGGACATAGTTCAGATGGGCGATCAGATGAGATGAGACGAGTGAAATATTTGTCCTTCTTGATTTCCAACAGTGGCCACTCGGGGAATATCAGGTTATCGTGGCAGCGTAGTCTCGAAGTGTCAAGCATCGAGAGCCGCGTCAGTCTTGAATCTTGATAACATGGGCACCGCCACGGTCCACTCTCACGCAGAGTTTGCATGGCGTGAAGCCGGTTGATTGCTTCGCGTCGGTTGGCGGGCGTTTGTGGAGAGTCAAGAAATTCAGACAGCGAACTTCTGTCTTTGCCCAGCTCTTTTGCCTCTCCGCTCCGGTTGACGCGGTTGGGAAGGCTAGATCCCGGGGAAGCTGGAAGGATGACGAGGAGGGAGGGGAGGCCCGGTGAGGGTGACTGAGAAAGGGGCCGCACGCACCAGCCAGAGCGACCTGAAAGAGAGACTCTCGCGTGGGTTCTGGTGGCTGTTGTTATCAATCCCTGCCACAATTTCCGATCCCGGTCTCTAGTCATTAAAAGTGTGATATTAAAGGAATGCTGGCAGACGGGACGCGTTTTTTTGAGAACCGACAGCAATTGTGTTAAACGTGCACCACTCATAGCCCTCAAGCCCTATGCTGTAAATGGCACGCGAACCTTTCGTCGCTATCGACGGGCGAGATCCAAGGTCGGTGGGAGTTGTTAAAGATGCTAAGTGACGAGAAGTCGAGAAAGCCTGCCTGCACTTGTCATTGACCGAAAACCAGGAAAAGGTTTGCTAGGCCCCGTTGCTGCGCGTCTGCGGGGTGTTTCCGTCCCTTCTTTGGGCCTTTCTTTGTGGATGGATGCCACGCGGTTTGGAGGGTAGCAGTCCAAGGTATTTCGTACCTGAGGGGTAGGTAGCTCATCCCTTTTCGTCCTACTGGAGGCGAGGCGGGGTGTTAGAATCGGCCTCGGAGTAAAGGACGAGAGAGCAAATTCGACGAAACCTTCACTTCGTTCTGTCCGGCTTTCGATTCAATCGTGATCTTGTATTCGCCCTCAATCTAGCCCGAACGATCTTGTACGGCGCGAGATCATGTACCATTTCCCGTGCAGCAGAAGAGAATGGGAATGAATTCGCTGATCTCCATGCTCGATTGCCTCATCGAAAGATGGCTCACGCGGCATAGGTGCTAATCATGTCCGGTGCGGTTCTGGCGCCGGAGTTTTTCGCGGACCGTTATATGGGCAACCTGTTGGTGGACGGCAACAATGGGTAGCAAGGTTCCATTGTTCGTGTTCTTTTGTGTCGTTGATGGTGTGGCATAGCATCGAAACATGGTGCAACACGAGGCGGCTTGAGGCAAGGATGCGTTGATTCGACGAGATGACGGCAAGGTAGGGTAGGCGATGTGATGTGAGTGCATCGACTGCAGGACTCACGCCTCCCTTCCTGCTGCCCAGTGGGCACACAACCCTAAGCAGATCCTTGAATGGAGGATTGTTCTGCGGTTCTTCTCTGACATTTCTGTGGAAGCCACTTCAGGTACCCGTGTCCGAACCGTCTGCCATGTTAGTGGCCTGTCAGTTGCAGTCGGTAAAGCGGGCAGCCATCGCGGGCAGGGGCGGATTGTGATGGTGATTGGCCAGGGGACACTTGACGATAGGCTGCAGGTTGCAGAGGACAGACACAGATGCAGATGCAGAGAAACGGTAGGTGACGTGCTGCCACGGCGTGCGACGAGTCTCGAGTGCATCGTGATCGGAGGGCTTCCAGTTCTGTGACTCTGTGCCGTCCCTCCATCTCGACTAGAGGGATAAGTCGTAAAGCGTATGCGAGCCTGTGTTTCGTTGTGCGATGCCTTCACAGGGTGTTGTACGCAAAGAAGCCGCGTCGGATGGAGCTGAGTAATTGGTGTCTTGGTCGGGAGTTTCGACACACGGATGTAGTTTGACAGTGAGGATCCATACCGCGTTGTGAATTGATTAGGACTCGGACGCAAAATGGATCATTATGGTCGAGCGAAGAGGTCCTTTGATGCGTGAGTGGTAGGCGTTTCAGTGCGGTTCCATTGCAGAAGGCCCCAAAGGACTCTTGAGCCCCATCGTGGTGCGGAGGAGACGCCGAAAAAAAAAGGCACGTCGACCTCGGTCCGCGTGAGACGAGACAGAGACAGAGACAAGGGACAAACGAGAGGAGTCGAAGCGTCCCGTCCATGTCCAGTGTTGATCGGCTGGTTGCTGGATCTGATTCTGGAGACTGGAGACTGGAGGTCGGCCTGTCAAGTGCTGGGGTTGTGGCGTCCTGTGGTCTCGCTTGGTGTCGGTGGCCTCGCTTCGTGCCACCAGAAGGCTGGGTGCAGAAGATGACATCAACCGGGGAAGCTCTGTAAGGTAGGCATGACGAAAAGGGCCCAGATTGTGATGCGATGGAGCGATCGGTCTCGGTAATGGGGTTGGACGTCTGTAGACGTCAAGATGCGAGGCGAGAGGCGAGAGGCGAGAGGTGAGAGGAAACGCTCCCTGCGTCAGAGCAAGGCTGGAAGGGCAATCTTCCGCCTGCCATGATGTTCGTTTCTTCTTTCTCTGTCTCTGTCCCTGGTGTGTCGGCGGCCGTCATTGCGCCTGGCACCGAGCAGTGCATTTAACCCAAAGTGAAGTTAAGGCGAGATATTCCGTCACGAGATGGTGTGGTCCCTTGGGTACGTATCTCATTCTCAGATGATGGGCGTAGGTGGTGAAGTAGATCAGACCAGGCACCTCGCGTGGTAGGTTGTTTCTCTACCCGGATCCGATTTCAGATTCATCCCCGTAAAATGGGCGACGGCGGCGGCGGCGATTGCTGCAGGAAGAATCAAGGTTAAGGTAAAGGTAAAACAATAGGTAAGGCAGAGGGGAGCACCTTAGGGCAAGATAAGGTCAAGTATGCCATGTGGTTGATGGACTGGCCGATTCATTGGTTAGGTTCGCTTGAAGCGCAGTCTGCAGTCTGCAGTCTGCAGGCAGTCGGCCATCGTGGACAATAGCAAGAAATTCGCAGGAGTAGGTTTGGTGGTTTGGTGGTTTGGTGGTTTGGCCATGGCTGCCATTGTGACGAACGGATGGAAAGATAAGGTACAAGGCAGATGTATCCCGGTACGTACCCGGTGGTTTCCTCTGCCCCTGCAAACACAAGACTGGAACTACGGGGCCGTAACCGTGCGCGCGGTACTGAGGTACACTACTGAGGAACGCAAGAGCTCTCAGCACAGTGGCTGGCCCCTCCCCGTTCACCCGTTGGCCTCCACTCGTTGCTGGCCCCTGCTCGGCCTTTGAGAGCCAGTGAACCGACCAGCCACAACGCCGGAAGATTAGCCGGTGGGGTCCAGAATGTCAGCCCGAAGAGGTACGTATTTCTCTTCTTATTCTCCCGTCAAGCACAATTTAAGAAAATAACAGCAGGAGGTGCTAAGATGGTGAACCGAGCAACTACGCGCACTGCTGATGCTCCTGCACTTGCACTTCCACGGTACTTTCGATTGCACCTGCTCAGGCCGTGGTTGGCATTGCCTGGCCAAACGGCAGGACTGGACTGAGCATGGAAAGAGCACTTCACCTGGGCAATTGGAACATGGATGGTGGGGTCCACCCGGGACCCCCGTCCATCCTTGCGCTTTCCTTCCCTGCTCCTTGCTCCTGGGCTTGCTCCTGCCTCCCTGTCTGTTGCTGTTGCGTTGCTCTTTCTGTTGCCGTGTGCGCACCTGGCTCCTGGCTCCTGGTTCTTCTTGGCTTCCTGTCCTCTTGCTGCTTGGATCGTTCTGTGCTCTTTTGGTGATTGGAAGGCATTCAGCCGTTGCTTCTGCGTGGCATCATGGCGCATTGGCAGCAATAACAGAGACGGAATAATATGTGCTGTTTCCTTATGCTACCGTATCCAATGCCATTGACCACCCCCGCCACCTGCTCTGTTCTTATTCCTCTTCCCTGTCCTTGATCTCCCGCCTGACAGACTCCAGAGACATCGAACCCGCCAGCGAGGGAACAAGCACAAGCACAAGCACAAGGAACAGGGAACGGCGCAGGCCACCCTAAAAATACGTACCTTCAATTCCTTTCTCATTGAATCTCAAGCCAGGGCAACTCGAGGTAAGGTAACTCCCACGGACCACCATTTTTACTTGGACCAGACTTCCAGCCCATTTCCCGCCGACCTCACCTCACCTAACTTACAGTCTACCTCTCTCTCTGCCATTCCAATATTACCATTCCCATTACCACTACACCTTACCTTAATTCCTCCACTGGCTTGTTCCTTTCCCTTTCCACATTCCAATTGTGCGCCGCAGGTAACAACCTTACTTGTGCCATCCCAATTCCTTCTTCCTTCGAGCCTCATCTTCGCTCCTCCACCCTTCAGCCAGGAGATACCCGACGACCCGACCGACCGACGGCCGTTGCGATCGAGCCCACCCTTGACGTCGAAGCGCATTTGCCCGTTTCCAGCCCTCGCTCGATTTTTTTTAAGGTCTCGTCTCGTTGGATTATGCCCGTTGGACGCTTGTGCTAGGTACTTAGTCCTTGGCTCTTGGATCGTGGGTTTTCCACTCCTGCACCCTCGACCTCGACTTCGACCTCGACCTGCCGTGCCTCGCCTTGCCTTCCACTTCTGCCGTTACCCATTGCTGTGTCCCGCGCCGCTGCTGCTTCTTTATGGCGTCAAAACGTACGTTATCTTCACTTCTCTCCACATGCTCTGATCTCATCTTTTTCTCTCCGACCCTTTGCATCTGCCTCTGCCGCTGCGTTCACGTCCCACGTCCGCGGTCACGTCCATTCCCGCCCCCTCCACCATTTCTGGTCCCTGAGATACCACGGACCCGCGAGGGCCCTTTGAAGATATCCAGTTACCACCATCTCGTCCCAAAAACCCGTCTCGGCCGTCCGGAGTCTGGAGCCTAAAGCCCTGACACAAACAAACGCTCCGCTCGCTTTGACTCCCCCAACGACGACAACGAAAACCGCTACCCTTCTTCTACGCCGCCTGGCCCCATCGTCGCCCTCAGCTTTTTATCCACCTTGTCTACATCAGTATGCTGACCCAACACACCTGCGACTAGTCACCGCAGCGAGCAATCACCGCTGCCCGCAGCTGTAATCGATTCGTGCCCTATCGGCCATGGAGGCCACCGAACCGCTGTCTTCTCCAACCGGACGCGGCTTCAGCGTGCGCTCTCCCCAATCGCCTCGCTCTCCCCGCTCTCCCCTACGCGATCAGCCTCCCCACAGCCCCTTGAGCCCGAGAAGCCCGATTTTCAGCAACACGAGGTTTGGGAAGCCGCCCAAGTCGGCCGGAGGAAAAGAGGGCTCCGGAGCCATTACGGGAGGAAAATGGACCAGCAAAATGCGCCTGCCCGGCTCCTCGACCGCGAAGCCGTTGGTCCCTGTGACGGAGAAAAAGTCCGAGGAATGGAATCAGTCGCCTGCCCGCCGCTTGAGGGCCGACAGCGCAGCCGACGACTACAAGTTTGATATAACGCCTGACGGAGGGTCTGCTGGTCGGGAAGGAAGACAATTCACGGTCTCCAACGTGGGGAATAACGGAAGGATATACCTCAGGTAGGGCACCTTTGTTGACACTGGCTGTGCGGCGACCGTTGTTGATTCGTCCTCGCTGGTCGTGGCAGGAATGAGGAGCCCTCATCGCAATCTCGTATCTCGTCCGAAAACGTACTGACAACAAACAGACCAACAGTCCGGCCCGCCAACCAGAGATTCCCTCAGCCAAACTTTGTCTTTCCCATAACGCCACCTGGGACTGCTGGCCTCGATGCCCTGACCGAAAAGCAGAGACAGCAAGACGCGACCAACGCTCACCTCAGCCAGTGGATCGCCACCCCACCGACTCCCGCAACGCCTGCAACGGCTGCCGCCAACAAGCGCTACTTTTCCAGTCACGCCCCGCGACCTTCTCAACATAGACGTGCTCATTCCGACTCGACGGCACATGATGGCGCGACGAGCAGGAACTCCGAGGCCGAGGGCTTCAAGATCGTCATCTCAAAGCCGGGTGACGAGAAGCGGTCAAAGACGACGGAAGATCTGGACGCACCTCACATTCCGCTGTTAGACATCGAGATTCCGAATTGGAAATTGGGCAACCCGCGGTTTACCGCTAGAGGAACCGCCTTCTTTAGAGGGTCGAGTTATGCGCCGACAGACGAGTTTCCGCGCTCCAGCAATGTCTCTTTTCTTCACCGGACTCCCACGGGCGAGCTCACTCCAAAGATGCCCGAGTCGATCACGTCCAGGAAGCTGAGCCCCATCTCGATTCCTCAAATACGTCTACCACCCTTGGGAGACATGGGGCCGCCCATGTCCTTCAGTCCAGCTCCCATGACAACGCCCCAGTTACCTCTCGCCCGCTCAACCTACATGTCGACCCATCTGGTCATTGAGCCAGCCATGTTTGACGCTCTAACCTTCAAGCCAACATGCGACGACAGATCGATAGTACGCTACTCGCCATCCACAGGCGCCGTCACCGCTGCGACGCCCCCTCGCCTTGTGGCTGAGATCACCTCACCAAGCTTCTTGGACTATGAGCTCATCTCCGACTTTTTCCTCACGTATCGAGCCTTCATGGAGCCGTCCGACCTGCTGAAGTTAATTTTGGCTCGTATGCGATGGGCGCTTGGCCGAAATGATGAGATTGGCATGGTTGTACGAGTTCGAACTTTTGTCGCCATTCGTCATTGGATCTTGAACTACTTCATGGACGACTTTGTCATCGAATATGGTCTTCGAGTGACGTTCTGCAACCTGTTGAATGACATGGTTGACGAGTTATCGACCGACCCCCGTGGGCGCAAGGTGCAACTTAAGATTCTGGCCGAACTGAAGAAGTGCTGGCGACGAGTGTGCGCCCAGTTCTGGGACGGTCCTGAGTTTGAACCTTCCCTGGGACCTAACGTGCCCATTGCCCCGGGCGGCATAGCTGGACACCGAAACGCCAATCTAGACCCATCTTTTTGGGAGCAGGACAATGCTGCCCCCCAGCTCGACGGCCTCTTCGCCCCTATCATAGAAGACAAGGAACAGACAAGCTTCTACGCAGATGTCTCTCGCGCCGGGCACATCGGGGACTCTCAGCCGGTTTTGCAGCGACCTTCCACGCCTGAGAACAACGATGCCCAGACATTCGACAGGAGGCAAGCGGCATCACCCACGAGCATTGCCAGCATGGACGTTATTTCTTGCTCGTTCCCTGGTAAGACCGCGCGGACGATCCAGCCTGGAAATCCGTCTTTGGGCATTCACCCTGTTGTTACTTCCAGTTCGGTCTATTCGAGTGCTGGGCCAGTAGCTACAACGCCAAGAGCTCTCGTGGGGAAGCGAGTAAGGCCAGGGCAGGGACACAAGAGGAGTGGAAGCTTGACGGACTCGCTCAGAGAGAGGGAAAATCCAGCTGAAAAGACGGACCTTCAAGAGACTGACTTTCTGATGTCTCTCCCCTTTGCGGGCAGCCTCGTTCGAGGTAACCTGATGCCACCTGGCCAGCCATACGTTGAGATCATGTCTCCTAGTACGGGAGAGTTCCAGCGACAGACAACCATTTTCCAGGTGCCGCCAGAGGAAAGAAGCGCGGCATCCGCAATGTCTGGTCAGGGTATGAGAAGACTGATAGGCAGTGTACGACGTGCGCTCAGTACGAGAGGGCAAGGCGTGTCCCCGACACAAGGCAACTTCATCAATATTTCGCCCATAGGACCCCGTGGCGCTACCACCAACAGATTGCCAGGTACTGCTATCGTCCCGCAAGCCAGGCCCCAACTCAATGGTGTTCGCCCTCCGGTCCGAATTGATCTGCTGGGTGCAGAGACTGTCGAAGAGTTCAAGAAGGCTGTTCGAGAGGACGCCGCTGTTGAGGCTGCTGCCGATGCTGAGAGGCGCGGGTATCTCAATCCCACCCTGGGAGCGCTTCAGAGCGCGCTACCCGACGGAGTGCTCGACCACTCAGCACCTCACATACTCTCAGCCTTCGGCAGCAGCGTCCCGGAAAACGACACTCTCAGGCCTGTTAGCGACATGGCGATTACAACTGGAAGCAAGTCGATAGTAATTGTGGATGACACAGTGTCTTTTGCTCTTCCCGCTATGCATGGAGCGCTCCCAGCCAACGAGTCTGTCGAGGCATTCGCAGAGACGTTCATGCCGACCGGTGCGGATCCAACACCGCCGAGTACGCCGCCTGGACACCCCATGGGCACCCCTCGACGATCGTCGTATCTACTCAACCAGCATGTCATGAGACCGTCTGTCTCTGCTGACCCCCTACCCCCTTTCGTCCCTGACCTGGCAACGCTGAGCAACGATCAAGGTCCGCAGCCTTCCGCCGATGCAAGCCGTCCCATGTCAGACACTGCCGCACCGGTCTCGAGAAGGCCTACATTGACAAGGTCAGCGAAAAAGCACATTCGGCAGAAATCAAGCAGGACAAACCGGTCTCTTGACTCTGCAGCGATACCTCGACGAACCGCTTCGTTCAGCAGTGCCTTCGACCCACGCTCAACAGTCAAGAGCTTCGACGCGACCACCTTTTCGGAAGAGTATGATTCTGACCAGGGCGAGCCCAGCCCTGTGCCTCCGCCTCTCCGTGTTCTCAGACGGCGACCGGGTGGTGATTTGAGGGCCGTCAAGAATATAGGAGACTTGGACGCCTTCCCACTGCGTAAGTCGCGGTCTGCTGGCTCGCTCACGACGTATTCCGAGTCTATGCGAAGCTCTTACCTGCAGAGCCCAAACCATGACACCAGCGCCTTCGTAGACGTCGTTTCAAGCGAGTTTTCACATCCACAAAACGAGGACACTTTCTCTCTAGGAGCTTTAGCGGAGCCATCAGCTAAGCGACAGCTCTCCTACATCAGCACGCACTCATCCAGGCCGATCATGCGCCCCTCTTTCGAAGCAGAGGCGCAGAAACTGGCTCAAATCCCAGACGATGCCGACGATGACGGTGGAGTAGAATCAGCTCTGGCAAAACTTGAGGGCAAGTACGAGAAGAGAACGTTCAAGTTGTCCATGGAACCTGCGAACGCGCCGCTTCCGGGCACAGTAGCAGAAATGGTCAATGATCCCGTCGACGAGCCGGAAACACACAAGCAAGGTAGACAACATCGCCATCTGCATGTTCTTCCTGGCGATGCGATCATGGCCCACGAGCACCATGAGGGATCTGAGGCGCACAACAGCTTCCTGGACATTCCTCAGCGACCGCCCACTGAGACTGGTTCTTTCTTGTCGGACAAGTCGGGAGGATCATACTGCTCCATTCCTCTTTTGGAACGAGATCTCACGGATGACGGCCAGAGCAAGGCAAGCGCCCGAGAATGGACCAACAGATCTATCCTCCAAGGACCTGATGACGATATCACGCCAGCAGTTACTCCTCGACCAGTCGAAGGCACCATCTCGTTCCCTTCTTCATTCGAGGTCGTTCACAAAACCGAGAGCATGGAGAAGATCAAGGCGGGCGAGACGAAGGCCCCTCCAAGCGAGCAGTCATTTTTGGACGACGACAGCGATGGCGAAGACGACATGATTTCGGATCTTTCTTCTGAGCTCTCCGCAGAGATCATCGAGACGGATGAGTTCGCGCCAAAGGCACCAGGCCCCAAGTCAAACCGCAGTGTGTCTGTTGTCGAATTCGATCCTCGCCCGCTAAGAGAGTCAACTGTCAGCCCAGTCGACAGCCGCGACCCTCCCTCCCCGCCCATGACCCTCGTTCAAGCCCTTCGAATGTCGCCGGAAGCCGCCATGGTTCCGGAGCTTCGCGAGAGCCAAGTATTCCAGCGGAAACCCTTACCGCTCACTCCAGACGCAACCCCAATTGACGGCGTGCGCTCTGATTCACCCGCTGATCCTACCGGTACGAAGGAGGCCCTGCGCGGTCAGCCCTCACCACAAGAGCAAGAGCGGGAGTCTTCGCTGAGAATGTCGGTTCATCTGCCGTTCATCCTTGCTTTCGACTCAGAGATCTTGGCACAGCAGTTTACTCTCATTGAGAAAGACGCTCTCAATGAGATTGACTGGAAAGAGCTCATTGACATGGGTTGGAAGAACGCAACCAACAACGACTCCAGATCATGGGTGGACTTCCTTCGCAACACGGATGCGCGCGGGGTCGAGGTGGTCATTGCTCGCTTCAACATCATGGTCAAGTGGGCTTGCAGCGAGATCGTGCTCACACAGAACATTGAAGAACGCGCCCGTTGCATCATCAAGTTCATCCACATCGCGGCTCACTGTCGCAAGTACCGCAACTTTGCGACAATGAGCCAAATCACCATTGCTCTGACATCCATGGAAGTGTCACGACTGACAAAAACTTGGGCTATGGTTCCTCCTTACGATATGAAGACTCTTCAAGAACTCGAGGGTCTCATCTCACCCACTCGCAACTTTTACAACTTGCGTAAGGAAATGGAGGGTGGTTCTGACACGGGCTGTATCCCGTTTGTCGGCATATACACACACGATCTTCTCTTCAACGCCCAGCGGCCCTCTGAAATCGCAAGCTCGCCAACCACCGCACCTTTGGTCAACTTTGAGAGGTGCAGATACTCTGCTACGATTGTCAAGACACTGCTCCGACTGCTTGAGGCGAGCACTCTCTACGAATTCCAGCCCGTCGAGGGCATCACCGAGCGCTGTCTCTGGATGAGTGCGCTCAACGATGAGGACATTCGTAAACACTCTCATCGCCTCGAATGAGCCAATTCCGGCAATATTCCTGGCACATCATATTCAATAATGCCTTGCTTACATCGCCATGGCCGATGTAGCAATTACGACTATCGAAAGATACCCAAAATTTGTACATGTGTTTCTTATGGATCACGACTTTCGCTCACGTTTCCTTCCGCCATCCTGTACAACGAGCACATACTTTGAACTACACATTCTTTCGAGGCTTCCATCAGCGATTGTCCTTCTACACAGCCCTGCTCGGGGTTGCATCCCCGAGACAGCGGACATATACCCTGTACTGTTAATTCAACGAGATATCAAAAGAGCATACACGGCTCAGAGTAAGGAGAAGAAGAAGAGGGAAGGAGAAGACTAGGCCATGGGTGGCCGGAAACGCACATAGATACGGTGGTCTATACCCTAACTCAGCGTCATTTGAGCGAGCGATCAGGCAAGCATAGGGAGTTGGCGGGATATGGGAATTTTTGGGACGGAAGGGATCTGTTGGGCTTCTTGGACTCGGGGGCTTGTCTTCGAGTAGCGTTCAATACCCCTTTTGCATGTTAGAGATATACTCTAGGCGAGTAAATCAGAGAAACATCTTGGAATGTGTCAATATCTGGCACGCCTTGGCCAACATGTCTGGTGTGATTTTCAACCCGTAGTTAGTTGAGGCCGTTCCTGAGCACCGCCAGTTACATCAGTACCAATATACATCTGACCCTCAAGGAAACAACTTAGTCTTGCATCCGCCTTACTTCAACGCTCGTGGCATGAACCGGACCAGCTAAGTCAGCTTCGATGGTCACAGATGCGGTGGGCTCGCCGACGCTGGCTGCGTGGTGATTGGCTAACCTCCCAACGGCGAAGCCCACGTCGGGACCGCGAACCAAATATCGAGCGAGCACGTGAATCGGACGTTCTGTTATGTCACTGGCTGAGAAGCCGCGACTACTTCTCGGCGAGTTGGTTCTCTTTTGCATTTTCATGTGCTTTGGTCATGATGGGTGCCTGGAAAACGGGTTGTCGACCAGGTCTTTATCGGCCGTGGGGCAGCGAGATGCTCGCTGAAAGAGGAAGAAGTCCGTCTACTCGACCTGGATAGCAGCGAGAGTCGTGGACATGACCTTGTTTGATTTACTGGACCTGGAAGGCAAGGAATCGACCGACGGGTAACGAACATGATGGACAGCAAGCACATCACATGAAGAAAGACGAGCGATGTCACGTCACCACTCAACTCGGACACAGTGGGGAGCGCAAGTGAGAGACCAATGACGGTTGTGGTATTGCAATGCGAGTTTTTAAAACCTCTCCGAGTCCCCGACAATGATGATTTCAACCAGCGGCCTCATGAGCAAGAGCGGGATAACGATCAAGTCCACCCCTTTTGACCACACAGGGCTTTCCCTCTCCCCCAATACATGCACAATCCGGTAGACTATATCACGAATTTGGTTCGAGTATCTTTCCCTCATTAGTGCGGCCAAGTTGACCCTTTTGCCCAAGATGCTACCAGCGATCATAAAAAACTCCGGAAGACGTATCTACCATTCCATGACCATTGATTGCTGCTTCCGCCGACTTTTTGCAAGTGTTTTGACGAAGAATTGGAAAATCTTTGTTTCCCACTTTTGGATTTTTGTGTTTGTTTCGTTTTTCGTCCAGGGAGCCCCTCTCATAGCCTGCCTGACCGACACCAGAACTTCAGGAAGTTTACCACTGAGACTCCTTGGGAGCGGCGGCAGCGGAAGCCTCGCCAGCCCAGTCGGCGGAGGCACCGGCGGCGCCAGCGGCGGCCCAGTCACCCTCGGCACCGTCCCAGTTGGTGGCGGCCTGGGTGCCGGTGAAGCCAGCAGGGGCGGCGGCGGCGGCGTCCCAGTCACCGCCGGCGGTAGGGAAGCCGGACTCGATGGCGACGGGGCCCTCCTCCTCAACACCGGGGAGCTTCTCCTCCTCAACCTTGTCCTCGGCCTCGGCCTCGGGGTCGCGGTCTGTCGCGCGCGTCGGGTTAGCCTGCGTCCCAGCACCAGCAGCAGCAAACGGGGGGAGGGGAAACACATACAGAAGTACAAGTCGACCATGACGTCCCAGGGGGTCTCGCGGTTGTAGATGGTGCCGCGGAGGCGGAGGACCTCACGGGCGAGCATCCACCAGACGAGACCGATGGAGTGACGGCCCTTGTTGTTGGTGGGGATGGCAACGTCGACGTACTCGGTGGGGGAGTCGGTGTCGCAGAGGGCGATGACGGGGATGTTGACGTAGGAAGCCTCCTTGATAGCCTGGGCGTCGGTGCGGGGGTCGGTGACGATAATCAGGCGGGGCTCCTTGAAGGAACGGGTGATGTAGTTGGTGAAGGAACCGGGGGTGAAGCGACCGGCGATGGCGACGGCACCGGTGTGGGCGGCGAACTTGAGGACAGCGCGCTGGCCGTAGGGACGGGCGGAGATGACGCAAATGTCGGCCGGGTTGTCGATGGCGGCGATGATGCGGGCGGCCAGGACAATCTTCTCCCTGTGGTCGCGCAAAGTCAGCGATTGCGCGCGCGCGTTGAAGAGAAAAATATCCCTCCTGGTGCTGGTGCTGCTGCTTCTTACCAGGTCTTGCCAACGTTGATCACGTTGACACCGTCGGCACGGGTCTTCCAGAGGTAGGGCTCCATGTGAGTCTGGAGGTTCTTGCTTCCCAGGTGGGCTTGAGCTGCAAGCAGCATCTCAATGTCCTGGGAAGTGGCATTGAAGATCGAGGGGAGGTTAGCGGGAGCCATCTTGGGCGATTTGGGTCGATCTTCCACGGGGGTGACGAGGGGGCGACTTGGTGGTGATGGAGGAGTAAAATCGACCAAGAAGCTCTCACGAGAAAAAAGTTCGAGGGCAATATTCAGAGTGTGCGCGGAGGGTGCGTTCGTTCGCTTGCTGCCCTGACTGCGCTAACCGGTTTGGGAATGGTGCATCTTGGGGACGCAAGTCCCTTGTACTGCACGTGATCTCAGCCGCTAAGCCCAGGCTGGCGTGGGCCCCGGTTTTCGGGGGAGGATGGGAAGACGGGTCGTTTTGAGGCTGGAAATTTTATGGGCGACTCTCCACGTCGATGACCGTGTGTTGAAGGGGAATTGTCGCCGTCATGCCTCCCAGATTACAGAGCCTGCAACGGCTGGGCACCGCTAGCCGTAAGCTCAAGCGCCGATTGAAAACGTGAAGGAAGTAATTGAATGGCTAATCGGTCGAGTTAGTGTGCCTGCGCCCAGCTGTGAGGCCAGCAACACCGAGCTTCCTCCCGATCGTGCAGACCGCCAACCTCTCCCAGCGGGAGAAGAAGCGCAAGGCGAAGCAGGACCCCTACCGATACCAACAGGCGCAGCAGCGCAAGGCTGCGAACGAGAAGAGGCAGGCCGAGATCCAGGCGGAGAAGGACGCGAGCTGGGGCAACCCGATCTACGGAATCCAGACTCCCTTTGTCGAATCGTTCGATTCCGCCGGCCAGGCGTCCATGACGCCCGAGATTAAGGATGACAAGGGCAACGTCATCCAGAAACCGCACCCCCTCCCGACGTCGCCGGGGCTGCTGAACCACCTCGTCACCCGCGACGAGCTGGAACAAGTGATACAAAAGGCCTACGTGCTCACGCAGCCGGTCATGAACGAGAACCCCGAATACTCCGACCCCACCGCGCACAAGATCGCCGTCAGCAAGCACAAGAGCAACCACGTCAAGGCGGTCGAGGCCTTGAACCGGATTCTGTCGATGGAAAACGCAAGTTCGAAGATTATCCTGCACACCAATATCAAGAGATGCGTGGAGGAGTTTGGACGCCACAACACCGACCAGGTTTTGAGGCAGAAGCCCAAGTCCATCTATGTCGACCCCGAAGCTCCGGAAAAGCCCGAGAGGGCCGGTCCTGACACGGGAAGTTCGGAGGTGCAGATTGCGATCTTGACGGCCAAGATCAGGAAGCTGGCCATGGAGCTGGGCCGGAACCGCGGCTACAAGGACAAGCACAACAAGAGGAACCTGAGGGTGCTCTGCCACCGGAGGCAGAGGCTGATGAAGTACATGGAGAAGAAGGAGAGGGGCAGCGAGCGGTGGACGAATATGCTCGAGAAGCTGGGTCTGACACCGGCAACCTGGCAAGAGCAGATCAGCTTCTAAGGAGAGAAGACGTGTGTAAAACTCAGACTTGTAATTGTCCTCTATGTACAATATAGCGATCGGTAAAGATGCTGATCTCCCCGTCATGAACCTGAGCTACCTCCTTGCGCCGTTGTGACCTGCCATGGAACGATAAAAACTGGTATTCTACAAAACTTAACAGAGCGGGATTCAAACAGGGGGAAAAATCAGAAAACGCTGATGTAGTTGCCGATGCGGTCCTTCTGGTTCTGGGCTATGCATTCGGCAATCCAGGTGATGTTGCGGATTTCCTGATGTCATTGTTAGCTTACTCCGACGGCTAGCGAGGTGGGTGCGACTGACCTGCTCGCGAAGCCTCACCCAGGCGTACACGATGGCAAAGGTGAATTGTCTGGTGAAAGCACTCTTGGAAATCTCCATCTCCTTCTGGTAGAACATGTCCTCGAGGCTCCTGCCATCGGCGCTGGAGCCGCCGCCCTGGTTGCCGGGTCCTGACGGGCCACCGCCGAGACCTGCGGCCTCGAAGAAGCTCTTGTAGTCCGATACACCATCGACAGCCAGACGGACGCCCTCAAAGTCGTCTGCTCTGGAGAGCATCAGGGTTCCCTCCGGGTAGAGCTTGCCGAAGCTGGGGTAGAGCTTCTTACGGTCGGACTTGTTAAGCTCGGTGCCGAACGAGTTGAGGGTAATGTTGATGGCACGGCGGTCGGCCTCGAACTCGAGAATCTCGGACATGATCTCGGATGTGGGGGAGCCAGCCATCTCAGGGTGAGTGTTGACGAAGTTGTAGAAGTCCTCCAGGTAATTCTTGTACAGCGTGTTGCGGACAATCTCGATGTTGAGCTCGTCAAGGTCCTGGTGGCTGAGGCTGCCCTTGAAGTAGGCGGCGAGAGGGGTCTCGATCAGAACGCTGTTGTACAGCTCTTCGATATTCGTCGCAACGCAAAGGACGGGCATCGTCTCGAACCAGCCGAGGGGGTGGCATCTCTCGAGTAGCTCGCGGGTGTCTCGCTCGTGGAGGGTGCCGGTAATCAACAGGGCAACGTTGTCGATCATGTAACCGTAGGTGAGATAGTCCATGAATTTGGCCAGGGTGCCAATAGCGTTCGCTCGAACATAGCGGAACTCGGAGACGAGTTTGTCGGTCGTTTTGGCGGCGAGAGCCGACGTCGAAGGGTTAGGAGGGAGGTTGCCGAGGAAGTCGCCATAGGCAGGGCCGAGCTGCAGCTTGAGGTCTAGAAGACGGTCAGATTGGCATCGCATCAAGGGGAGATAAGAAACTGACCATCGATGGTCTCGCACTGCGTCAAGTTGCTGTAGCTGGAGCTCGTAAGGAGGCCATTTCTGTAGCCGCGGACGATGCCCTCGAGGAAGCTGCACGATGATCAGCAATGAGCTCATCAACATCTCAGATGCATCTCAATAACTCACCCAGCATTAACGTTGAAGAAAAGACCCTCCATTTTGTTGGAATGACTGATGCTCAATTCTCGGGAGTTGAGGTGGTGACGCCGGTGATGTGGAGGCGCAAACGGAGATACCTAGGCGGTCCAGTGTCGTTGATATCGAAGGACTCGGCCAGACCAAACACTGTACTCAGAGCTGCCAGGTCCCAGCCTCTGCCATCCAAGTCCCCATTACGAAGACCCGACCCCGTGCAGACGTGGACAGGCGCGCACGGACCCACTCATTAGCCCCTCGGCAGAACAGATTTTACGCGCTCCGAGCCATCCCACTTGCCAATTGGGTGTGGGGGCCTTGGTAAGGTCCGCAGTCGAAAAAAATTGGTGGAGCTTGGTTTAGAAAAAAAATATTTCCAAACCATCAACTCGCTCTCTCGAGACTGCCTCCGCGGACAACAACATTCATACCCACGCGCGGAGGATATCACCCGAGGGATTCATACGGCTTTTTGTGAAGAGAATCGACAGTATACAACATGTCTCTCTTCGTTCTTGCCGAAACGCCGGCAGGGTGCGTTCAATCTTGCGAAGAAAAAAAAAAGCCGTTGCAACTTTTGAGCTAACACGAGACATAGCTACGGCCTGTTCAAGGCTGCCGACAAGAAGCTTCTGAAGCGTGATGAACTCACGTCTGGTCCTACCTCTTCGGAGAAGATCAACGAGATGTAAGTCGCGTTCACAACTCTCAATGGCAATCGGCCCTCGCGGTGTACCCCAAGGCGCGTACGCGTGCAGACTTGAGACCGTGGGAGAGGCTGGGAAAGGTGCAGTCAGAGTCGAGACTAACAGTCGCATAGGCTCAAGCTCAAGACCTTCGTCAAGTTCGATAGCTCCGCCGTCGCCGTCGAAGAAGCTGCCGGCCTCAAGGAGGGCCGTGTTCCCCCCATGCTCGCCAACCTGCTCAAGGAGATCAAGGACGAGAAGAAGGCTTCCCTTGCCGTTGCCGACATCAAGCTCGGTGCTGCGATCGGAAAGCTTCCCGAGTTGAACATCCAGGCCGTCTCTGATGCCGCCACCGCGGACCTCTTCCGTGCCGTCCGCGAGAACATGTCCTCTCTGATTCCCGGCCTCACCACCGAGACCATGGACCGCATGGCCCTCGGTCTGTCCCACTCCATCTCCCGCCACAAGCTCAAGTTCTCCGCCGACAAGGTCGACGCCATGGTCGTTCAGGCCATCAAGCTGGTCGACGACCTCGACAAGGAGCTGAACGTCTACGCTATGCGCACCAAGGAATGGTACGGCTGGCACTTCCCCGAACTGGCCAAGATCCTCAACGACAACCTGGTCTACGCCCGTCTCGTCGTCGCGGTCGGCATGCGCCAGAACTTCGCTGAGGCCGACCTCTCAGACATCCTCCCTGAGGAGCTTGAGGGCCCCGTCAAGACTGCTGCAGAGATCTCCATGGGTACTGAGGTCACCGAGGAGGATCTCGACAGCATTGTTTTGCTCGCCCGTCAGGTCATCACCTACTCTGAGTACCGTGCTCAGCTCAACAACTACCTCGAGACCCGCATGCGTGCTCTCGCTCCCAACTTGACCGCTCTGGTCGGCTACCTCGTCGGCGCCCGCCTCATTGCCCACGCCGGCTCCCTCATGAGCTTGGCCAAGGCCCCCTCTTCCACAATCCAGATCTTCGGTGCCGAGAAGGCGCTGTTCCGTGCGCTCAAGACCAAGCACGACACTCCCAAGTACGGTATCATCTACCACTCCTCCCTCGTCGGCCAGGCTACCGGCAAGAACAAGGGAAAGATCGCCCGTTCGCTCGCCGCCAAGACTGCCCTTGGTCTGCGTGTTGACGCCCTTGGCGACACCGAGAACCAGGACGACGAGGAGGAGAGGAGCATCCTCGGCCTCACCAACCGTATCAAGCTCGAGAACCTCCTCCGCAAATTGGAGGGCAAGCCTCTCCTGCCCAAGGGTGCCGCTGTCGGCCCCGACGGTCAGCTCACCACCCCTGGTGGCTTCAGCGTGAAGGAGGCCCGCAAGTACAACGCCGACGCCGACGGTGTCGAGACCAACGGCAAGAAGCTGATCCAAGTCGTCGACGAGGAGATGAAGGACGCCGACAGCGACGAGGAAGACGAGGACGCCGAGATGAACGACGCCAGCGAAGAAGAGAAGAAGAGCAAAAAGGACAAGAAGAAGGAGAAGAAAGAAAAGAAGGAGAAGAAGCGCGTCTCCATCGCAGCGGTCGAGACCCCCGTCAAGGAGAGCAAGACCGTGAAGGGCACACCCGCGAAGCTCAGCGAAAAGGACTACGAGCGCCTGGCCGCCGAGGCTGGCGTCAGCGTGTCCAAGTTCAAGCGCAAGTTCGAGCGCGGCGACGTCCAGCTCGGCGAGGACGGCTCTCCCGTCGTCTTCAGCAAGAAGGAGCTCAAGAAGCTCCGCAAGGAGGGCGAGGAGGCCGCCGACGCGACGCCTGTCAAGGACAGCGGCAAGAAGAAGCGCAAGCACGAGGACGACGAGACGCCCAAGAAGGAGAAGAAGCTGAAGAAGAAGCGCAGCTCTCTTGGTGCTTAGAAGGAGACCAAGCGGCGTCGCATTTCTTATTCATAGACGGCACTTGGGCCTCATGTGGATCAACATATCTTGTTCAATGCGCTGTATGATACCTTGATCTCTCTGGCCGGCGTTATGGGATGGACCTGGGGGGCTTTTATGGTCTGATCATTGGATGGGCATAGTTTCTCTTTTACTGGCAGGAAAAATGCAATATAATTGCTCTTGTTGACCGACGTCCCGCGTCGTGTCTGCTACCGTGAATGTGCAGCGCGCCAGCGCAACCCTCGACTACACTCTGAGATACTCCACGCTCTCCCATGGTTTATCTCAATTTTGGTTTCGAGGAAGATCAATCGCTCTTCGGAGCAGAACCCAATACTCACCGCGGCATCCGCTACACCATGGAAGTCGAGGTCCACCAATCGTGGCTCACATACTAAGACACTTGTGTTCATTGAGATATCGTTAGGTTAGCTGTTCACCACCCGCAGGTGTCCTTGGACGATCTCTCACATCGTGGCTCATCTCACTGGAACATCTAGACAGTTTCATAAGTAGTACTTGAATTGACACCACCTTTGCTATCCTGACTCCTTCGATCCACCGTGAATGCATCAGTTGATAGGAATGCAGCGACGGCCCAGAGTACCCCTCGGGCAGATGGGCGGCTTCTTCGCCGCGTTGCAGCACTAATTCATATCAGATATCAGGGTCAAGATCAGATTCATGTCTCGTTACTTACACGGTAGTGGGTAGGCCCAGGACAGTCACCACTACAACAGTCATTGCATTAGCAGGGCTCACTTCGCCACGCTATGGTTTCGTGAAGGGAGATGGGGACGGGACTCACGTCGTGTATCCGCCGCCGCAGGACAGGCTGTCTTTCTGGCATCTGCCAGTCGAGTTGCACTTCGGGAAAAAGCAGCACTTGACGTTGGCTGGGTCGTTGGGGCACAGGTTGCTCGTGTAGGTGCCGTCCAGAGAGTTGCACTTGGAGGTTGTCTGGCAGGTGCCGTAGTTGCCCTTTGGTTTGAGGGTTAGAGGCAAGGCCAGATACGATTTGGTGGACGCATCATACCTTGCTATCCTTGCAGTAGTCTCCGATGGCTGCGAGAGCGCTGGAGAATAAGAGAGCGGAGACAAGGGTTGAGGCCTTCATTGTGATGATTGATTCAGTCTGGAAGAGGAGAACTGTGGTGTTTGGATAACTGCCTGATCAAGGCTTCAGGATGGAAAAAGAGTTGGCTTTTATAATTCTTTGGCATGCTGCCTTCGCTGTGGCAAGCCAGCGGTCTTGAAGTTTTATCCCTCAACACCTCGGAAGCATCTCTCATCCATGGGCAACTCGAGCTGAAGTTTACGATGATCCTATTCAGACCATATTGTAACTCAGACATGCACGTTGCCGCCACAAAGACAAGGGCCTGAGGCCAGAAGTTCCCCGCGTCCAGACCAATGTAAGCTCCCAATGAGGTCTCTGAAGGGATGGGGCAATCTCTTGCTGGTTGGTATGCCACCACATCGTAGATCTAGGGATGGATATACCAGCCTTACGCGGAAATCTCTTGTTTGAGGCGACTCACGATGTTGCGAGTGTTGGGCTAAACAACCCGAGTTGCATTAGCCCTGCAATATTTGGAGACGGAAGTGGAAGGAGGATTCATGGCTGAAAGACGGTAGTTAGACTGCTTACACTGAGTCGGGGTAAAGTTGGGCCTGGACTATGCACAAAAAAGCAATGGAGTTTTCAGCTGAACTGCAAATGGTTGAAGAGCACATCTCCACCAATCGCTTGGGAAACAACTAATGCGTTATTGGGTAGTCTGGTTATACAGCTAGACAACCCCTCTCAAAGGTGCAACCAACTCACTCAACATCTAGTACATGGATGTTGCAATCTGGGACCAAAAAGGTCAGACGACAACTCCAACACCCCAAATAGCAATGTAAGCTCAAAAATGGGCTGATTTAAAGACCATGGCCACAAAGACCGTTCCAGGCCTTATGTTTTGCTTGCTGCAACCTGAGACACTTTGACGATATCTCGGTGAGACCAAGGGTCCTTCACCGATAAGCGAACACGTGACTTTAGATCGCCCCACGCGTTGAAGGAAGCAGCGGTGCGGCAACACGACATCTGAAGCGCGCCTAGCATCTCGACGAGACATCAATTGAGCAGTCGGGCTGAGCTGACGTTAGACAACATGGAAGAGCAGAGTCCTAGGAGAGCCAATGTGAGCGCCACATTCAACAGGCCCCACCTCTATGCATCTCCGGGTGCTGGTGAAGAGTTCAGGAATGGTCCTGACCTAGACTCTAGCTATGGGGAACAGTGGATGAGTGACTATTATGACCGAAGAGCTACGAGGAATCATGGTCCAAACGGTAGGCGTGGTGTGTTTTCCTTTTTTTTTCCCCCTCTTGTGTCCAAATCAGCTCAGCTCAGAAGGGCAGCGTTAGGCATCATCATGTTTTGACACCTGCCCAATGCATTTCATCGATTTTTTGCCACCACTTATGCCAGCAGCTACAACCAAGAACGCCGCCTTCATGCAGGCGCGAAAGGCCGGCGCTAATTCTTTGTTTTGGCGCCAATTCTCCCATGGAACTTCAAGTGAAGTCACGTCTCCTAAGCGCCTTCTGCTTGAAAGGAGCTGTTTGACAGGGGTTCATAGTGACACCTTACCGTCACCTCCAAACTTCAGACGATTTGACAAGCAAAAACCCAGTCGCGGAGCTGCTGTTTCAACTTTCCAAATTTATCCTCAACTCGACCATTCGTCCTGGTCCTGCTGCTGACTCATCTCTCACCTTCAGCCAGCTCGCATGCAGACGACGACGCCGATGACGGCGAAGCCTTTCCCCCACAACGCGTCAACTGGGCTGCTATGAGAGCGGATGCCAACATGGACTACCTTCGAAACTCTCAGATCCCCGAATATTCGGATGAGGACGACCCGGCTGGCGTCCCCTTCGGCGACCTTGGAGACATCTCCGCCGAGGACACTAGCGTTGAGGACGACGAGAATCATGCAGTCGACCAGCAAGAAGAGGCAGAATTCGACCCCCTTGCCGTCGGTCTAAAGGAAATATCCAATCTGGGGAAATTCACCGTTAGCAGCCACAAGCAAGGCAACGGTGTCGACCAGCTGCGGAACGACAGCTTGAAGACTTACTGGCAGTGGGTTCACCATGATGCCAGCGCCGTTGGCGAATATTGATGCTGACTGGTACCAGGTCTGACGGTCCCCAGCCTCACAAATTGACCGTCTACTTCATCAAGCGCGTCGGCATCAGAGACATTCGCTTCTACGTGGACTACAACGAGGACGAGTCCTACACGCCCACCAAGATCGTCTTCAAGTCTGGCACCAGCGAGAACAACTTGATCCAGTTCGCCCAGATGGAGTTGGCGGCGCCTGTAGGATGGCAGCAGGTCCCCATCGCCGGCTCCGGCGGTGGCCCTGACGGCAACACGCTCGTATCGTATGTGTTCCAGATGCAAATACTCGAGAATCACCAGAATGGAAAGGACACCCACCTCCGCTCCATCAAAATCTACGCCGCGGACAACGATGGTGTTGGTGTCGAGCGAGAGGCTCACCCAACTTCTGCGAACACCGTGAGTACCGTTTGGCATGTTATAGAGAAAACATCTGACGCATGTCGCAGGCTACGAATGTCGATGAACCTGATACGGAGGAACTAGCCGATCCCTGGGATATATCTGCCCTCGAAGCTGATCTCCCTGTTCCGGACTTCATGAAAGAGCCTGAGATTCGATGAAATGTCGGTGAAGGGCCTGCCATCGCTTGACCAAGCCTATGATGTTCACGAATGAAGGGATACGGGCACGATGGACATCATTAATACTGCAATTCTTGTTTTCACACCAAAGATACCCCGAATCGGATGCGGAAGGATGCCGGAAAAAGAAAGGGCGTTGGATGGCCGTGGTACGATGTACATCTCAGTTGGAACACCCCTCTGATGACGAGCTTTTCTCTCCGTCGACGATTTTCCAACAGTAGAGGATGTCAGAATTTATTATTCACGAACCCGACGGCACAGCCAACGACTGGTTGACATCGCATCTTGCAACACCATTCTTAGCGTGAGCGGCTGATTGATGATGCGGTATGACAACTATCAAATTCATCCTAATCTCTGCAACCGCCATCTACGCGACTCCTGCTTTTCAATCCAGAGTCATTCGAGAGCCCCTTCGAGGCGTATCTGGGGCTCGTCCACATGGAGCAAGCTCCTCCGCACGATGTATCGCTTTATGGAATAAGCAACATACAGCAAGGGAGGCCAAAGGGAGCAAAATTCTGAAGCCACCTTTAATTGAGCTTGCCATTTGAAGTGTTTCACTCACTAAGCCGACTTTCGAGTTTCATCAAGACTAGGCTGCGCATTAGGTGACTCTTGAAGATACAAGTTTGCTCTGTGGCGACATGGGCGTTTACGAACCAACCACGGCCGTCGAACCGGAGAAAGTCCAGAGGTTATCGTCAGGAAGACCATTGATGACACCCATGCCAACGTTGAGGCCTTCAGTTTCAAACTCGGTCGCTCGCTGGGACGTTATTCGCGGGAATAACGAGAATACAAGGACAGCTGACGGGCCGAGGTTGCTCGAGTGCAGTACCCGTTTCGGAGATCCTGTGACATTGAGCACGATGCTTCACTGTCCAGACGAAGGCCTGGCTAATCTATCTTCACATGTGTCAAGTCACTATCGCTTCTAAGACCTATCCTGAGTCATACGTAAGGGGTGAGAGCTCATCAGGGTTAGCCATAGTCATTACAGAACAAAGCCGACACTGTCCGCGGGTCTACGTTCCATGCAGGGACCGAGTATATCAACCGCGAGTTCAGAATAGCCTGTGGTCTCCTATCCGTCGCAGTAACAACAAGCAGCTCACGTATAAAGTGTGAAGGCATCGGAAGCGTCCACGCCAGCAGCAGGTTTCGTCAAAACAGACATCGCGGCTAGCTGGGCCACCAAACACGGGCCATTGCGGCGTTGACCACGAACAACCTCAAAAGCCCATCGAACCCGGCGCCGGGAAGGGCCGAAGATGGTCTTGAGATGACGAGCCAAGATCGAAGAGCTTGGGCCTCTGATGCGAACCTTCTCCCGTGATAGGTCGACAAGTTGGGACGAAAGGCATGCCCGGTTGCCAATAGATCGAACCGGACTGTGAATATTTCCCGACGTCGCCAGCCTGCCACCCCTCCTCCACGCGGTCCACACACACGCCCGGCAATGGCACCGTGGGCGGAAGGGGTCTCGAACGCCGTCGAGAGTTCATGCTTTAGGCTCAGCTGACAGGAAAATAGGGCAGATGGAGCAGGCAAACCTTTGCTTTGGCGCGAAGCTTTAAGCGTGAAACATACGCAGCCACTGACGCACGCATCCACGGTTCGTCGATGCGGGGCCGATGGACCACTTCTAGGCCTTCTCGCATGATGTCATTTCTTTCAAGCAGTTCTTGTTCATATACATACATATATATCAATCTCGATGTTGCTGGGAGCTAGTTCCCGGCTCTGTTCGTGCTTAATGGAAGCGCCAACGTCTTCTTCTCCCCATCACGATGCAGATTACTGTCGTTCCCGCATCGCCCAAAACAGGACAAGCCTCAATCAGAGCTCTATTGGAGAGCGCGGGGGAACATACAATAACGGGCGTCTACCGGAATCTGGACAAGGTACCTTCCGAGTTCAAGGGGCATCCCCGGTTCAGGGCCGTCAAGGGCGACGTCGCGAATGTCGGGACTCTCAACTTCTCCGGCGCCGACGCCGTGGTTACGATCACGCCGCCGCTGTACTCCGAGTCGAAGCCCATACAGAGAGCACGAGAGATGGCGGCGAATGTGAAGTACGCCGTCGGCAGGGCGAATGACTCTGTGAAGCGGTTGGTGTATGTGTCGAGCGTTGGCGCTCAATATGAGCATGGCACGGTAAGCTGCGACCAGAGAATCCGGTATGGTGTACATCATCGGTACTGTCTCAAGAACTCCAAGCTGAGAAGAAAACCCCAGGGTGAACTGAAAACGAATTACGAAGCCGAGCAAGCACTTGTCGCGGCGGCTCCCGAAGTTGTCTTCATCCGATGCGCCTACTTCATGGAGAACTGGGCGTCGGCGGTTGAGACAGTAAAGACCGATTCGCCGTTCTTTTACTCAGTAATAGCCCCAGAAGATTACAAGATACCAATGGTGAGCGGGCCATCTACTTCACATGTCGTCGGTGTTAGTCCTGGCTGACGTTTTACTTCGCAGGTTTCAGTAGAAGATATCGGCAGGACATGCGCGGCGCAAGTCCTCGCGGCTGGCTCACCGTTGAGTTACAATCCTTACATATTCGACCTTCACGGCCCCGAGGCTTACTCGACTCGAGACTTACAAAAGGTTTTCGAGGACAAGTTGGGGAAACCAGTCCAGGCGAAACTGGTCACGGACGATCAGCTGGAAGGGTTCTTCGCGCAGGCTTTCCAGCCGCCTGTGGATGGTATGTTCGTTGAGATGACTAGGAGCTTTCTGCCTGGTGGCATTGCGGTGGATATGATGGAAGGATCGCGGGTGCAAAGAGGGAGAGTGACTCTGAGTGAAGCCATCGGGAAGATGGTGACTGGTTGACGATGCTTCGGAGTGGTGACGATGCAAGGGTGGTCGGCAGAAGCAAAAACTGGAATCGGGGATCGTGAGAGTAGGGGTATACAGACGCCGGCAGAGATTATCTAGCTGCACAACGAGTGAGTGAGCGCACCTCAGTCTGGGAGACTCATTCGAGGACTAAAAATCCAATCAGAGTTACGAAAAAAACAGCAAAAAATGAAACTGGATGTCAATCGCGGACGGGAATTGAGCCCGACGTGGGGGTCGAACCCACAACCTTGAGATTAAGAGTCTCACGCTCTACCGATTGAGCTAGCCGGGCGACTGGACCCAGCTGGTTTGTTGGAGATTGCAGCCGTAGCACCGCCTATGATTGTCAGCGGTTAGCCAGCGGGGCTCGGGCGCGAAACGTCACCATCGTGAAGCATGAAATCTTTCGCGAAAGGCGGCCAAAAACAGCCAGACTGAGTAGAAATGAAGTTTTTCCTTGTCTGGCTGTTTGTGAGAGTTCTTTGGACCCTGGCTCGTCGGCCTTTTTCATCCCGTCTTGAGTTCGGAGAGGCGAAATCCCACTGGCCACATCAACCCCAACTTCAAGCCGCCAACTCACCAGCCGAAGTGTAAATTGCCAAAGTATAATCGCCAAACCCTTGTTTCCTGGAAGACGGTGTAGGGGATGTGATGAGAGGAAGGAAGGTAATATGCTAGCCCGCTAGTATGCTCTCGCGCAAGACACACATTGCAGAACCTATACTCCCAGACAGGCAGATCTATTCGGCCCTTTGAGCAGGGTCTGTCAACAACGATGCAACCCATCACCGTTATAAGGCGGAAGTTAACGGCAGTTGAGGTCTCATTTTCGCAGTATATGGATGCAACGTTGTTTTTCGGCGTCAGATGGATCATCGTCTTCCTGCCGTGACTCCGCACCGATACTCTCAAGTTTTGTGATCTGTAATACCTATTCAACGCTCAGAAAGTGATGATGAAAGATTGCCGGCGAAGCTGAACCGTTTCTTTGATTGATTATGATTCCAATCAGAAAAAATCAACAAACCTGGCGCAGCGAGCCGCTATGATATCTCCTCACACGCACCTGCTCTCATGAACCGAGGCTTCAACTCAGTAAGATGCATGACAGAGTTCAAGCCCTGATAAACCAGCTTGAGAGAATGATACGTGAGGTTTTCATGGAATTCCGGCCGACTAAAAAGGTTTATTCCTGACCCAATTGTTCTCATCCAAGCCTCGCTGCAGAGGTTTTGCTCAATCAACCTAACCCCTTTTTGGGTCCAACACGTTGTTTTCGCCGCCAGAGCATACGTTACAAGGCCAGGAAGATGAACCTTTACTGTTCTATTTTTCAGCAACATAATTCTGTCTTTCGATCAGGCATGTGTTCATTTATGTTTCCTTCACAGTCTTCGCGGAAGGCTAGCGATAAATCAATATTACAAGTGAGGAGTCGTAGGTTCTTACAGAGGGAAGCGTAGTCAGCATAAGTATTCCAACGAGATGGATTAAATGTGATGGCTTCACTGGCTGAGTCGTGCATTATGGTATAAGTTTACTAACTTGCGAACATGAAAGCTTCTCTGGAAGCCCACATCTCTGAGACTTGCGCCAGGAGTCGGGAGAATCACAGAAAACCCCTGAATCGACCTCATCGTTGCGCGTAGGACGTATGGGCTTCTCAGAACATGGAGAAACATGAAATGAGTCTACCACCACACGAAAAGTAGCGGCAGTACTTCACGTTTCCCGAAGACTCTTTAATAACCGTGTTATAGCGGGCAATTTGCTGTGGATTCGGCCAAAATCACCCCAAAACCCTGCTCCAAGACTGCCATCGCACACCATGTATCAAGCCAGAATACCTCAGGAGGTGCCCGGAAGCCGAATTCCGTCAGCTTGAGAATATCCAAAATCAGTTGGTCTAATCTCCGAAAACTGACGACGAAGCACCATACCAAGGCTCAGGGGATGCAAGGCCGTGATATTGAGACGGCGGCCGCCGCTCCCCTTGCCGTCGCCGTCTTCGCCGTGCTCGCCGCACGACGCCGTCCCGGCTCTCCGGGCGCGATATCGAAACTGCTTGACTAATGTGTGCTCGCTTTGGGAAGAGCATGTCACGTTTGGCAGCTCTCTCGAAGTTCTCGGCGAGAGCCAGCGAATCCCCGGATGTATCACATTCACATGTTGATGTAGTCGCTGTGCACTGGTTGATCAGACGGGACTGGCGGCGTGAAATCGCATCCCCTTCTTCATCGAAGGTATATGTTCTCTCTTCAAGTTGAGATACATAGTCAAGATTCAGAAAGCACCTTTGGACGTCACCTTCTAGCGAAGTCTGCAGTCGTGTGAAGACTCCAACCTCACGATCCAAACGTCTCGGCTTCCGTGGACATGATCGGTCTGCTTGGGTTACGTTGCTATCGCCAGGGTCTTTGAGAGCGTAAAAGGGGTTGGTTTAAACCGGCCTCTGCTGAGGTGCTTCTCACCGAAGGCCTCCGGTGAATCGGCCTAATGGAAACCTCAATATTTTACAGGTTCGGGTTCATTTTCGCCCCTACCATCGTGTCAAGACTCGCCAGCCATAATCCAAAGACTCAGTCGAACAGCACACCTACCTTCGCTACGCAGACATCGAGCTAACGTCTTCATACAAACGCCAAGACCATCAACCAACGCAATCGACCGAAATCCAAATTTGCAAAACCCCCTGGAATCCTGCGTCCCCATCGGAGCTCACTCCGGGTTCCGAAAGAGCTAAAAAAGCCTCCACTCTCGCCCAGCCTCACGATGCGGCTGCGCCGCAGGAGAATCTCATTTCGCGGCGCGAGGCAGACCGCGAGGATGGGTGGTGTGAGTGGGGATGGATGGTGAAGCGAGTCAACCAACTCCGTACAGGGTCTCGTGGGAACGAATCTCTATTTGATCTTATTTCATTTTAGGGTTTTTGCGTGTGAATCGCGAGGACTCGAACTCGAGCTCGTGACTGTGTCAGGACGATCGTTATCCGGATCAGCGCTCATACCTCATCGACGCCAAGTTCTTGATGAGCAGCTGACCTTGTTTACGAGTTGAGAAAATCACATCAGAGACTAGCCTGAGGGCATCTCGAAGCTTGAACTGTCCTGCTCTCGACCATTCCTCCTGATGTCTGGTGCAAACGACTATAGAAGACTCTTAACGGTGCCGAAAGACGGATTGGGCACTAGCATACGATTCGACCCAAGGGTAGAGGGTATCCGTATTCCGGTTCCCCGGCATCTGGCCGTTTTGGGGGACGTTTTTTACAGCGCAATTACACTTCTCACTCGGGACTTACAGCCAACTGCCATCACCTCCACTAGGAGTGAAGGATCATCTCGGGGCTAACTTTGCTTCGGTCCCAAATTACCGAATGGCCGATCAGCTTCCTTGCACGAACAGACAATTTGACTGCTAGTCAGAGCAGCCTGCGAAACGGTTAGAAATTGAGGCTTCTGCGGCGTGCTTCAGATCGTCAAGGGGGCAATTCGCCAGGAACGATTCCGCGCGAAGACTGGGAATTTCGGATCGGATTCGTTCTGGGTAGTTGGGTGCGGCGTGATATGCCGGAGGTGATGCCACGACGGTTCACTCGTACCGTGGTTATGGGCCCAGAGGCCCCATATGTGATGTTTGCTTCCCGTCGTGCATAATCGGAACATGTAAGTGCCTTCCGCGTGTCACATCGGTCACGTGGTGGAAGTGAAGTTGACAACTTCGCTAGCAGCCTGCCATGCCGGATCTGCAACCGTTTTGTCATGCTTGTTTCTCCCTCGTGGGTTGTCCACAACGGAGCTACGGATCGTCCGGTGCTTCCAGAGACTTCGAGATCGGCCAGGCCCCAACTCGAAGGCCTTGTAAGATTAGCGCCGCCCCGCCGGATGCCTGCGTTTGAAGCAGGGCGTATCAGTACTTGCGTGTTGGGGTGTCAAACGTGATGCCCTCGTGGTTCCTGCCAACCAGGTCTTCGTTTCTGCGAAACGAATGTTGTGCAAGCGCAACTTGCGCAACAGCACTGATATCGCGGCTTCAGGCCGAACATAATCGAACAAGGGTGTCTTAGAACAGGCGAACACTTGGGTGGCAATCGTGCTTTCAAAAGAAAGCTCATGAGAACTGCATGAAACGGAGGTTGAAGAAGCTCATTGTCCTCGGCCAGCGCTGAGCAACCAGAGGAATGAGGGTCGACTACCAAGAGGCAGAGGACTCAGCGACGGCCTCGCTAGGGACTCAAGTTGAATGAAAGTGAGTAGCCTCTCGACCAAGATAATACAGAGGCACTAGCCTGAGCCTGAGCTTAGATAGAGGCGTCCTAGTAGATCAAGGGATCTCCTCGGGGGAAAAGATAATAGAGGGCGAGCGGCCAAGTCATACCCAATGACTCTGCAGTGGAATGTTGGACAGCTAAGCCTTCAACTTCCACAAACGATGAATGAAAGCTGTTGAATTGCGCAGGAAATTGGGACGAAAACTCGTTCATGTAGATACGCGTGCTGCATGTCTGAGTTGAGTGAACGCTTCTGAACGCGACGCGAGTTGTCTGACGATTTAAAGTCGCCATTATTAGCGAGAGGTGCCGCAAGTCCAGGTTGTGTTGAACGCCTGAGTGTGAATTGAGGTGATAATGGCGTATGTTTCTGAGATGGCCGCATCGAGGGAAGCCGCCACTTCTGCAGGGGTTCAAGCAGCCGTTAGGGAATAGCTGTAAGCAGCCCGGCTGCTGGCGAGGCCGTGATGTTCAACCAGCGTACATGATTGGACGCAGTCTAAGGTGCATCACGACGGGATTGTGTGCTATTTGCTGCGAGGTCAGCGAATCAATGGGACGATCAGGCCATCGATGACGGTTTAGGACAAACCGCTGACCCAGGACACCCTCATCAAGACAGTAAATCGATGCGACTCTTGCGTATTCGCAGAGGTAGAGCATTGGACCAGATGATCGCTCTCTTAGGACAAGATGTTGCAGACCAACTGAAAGCCAGCAA